AACTCACCTGCTCGTTCAGGAAATTTGTGAGAATTAGGAACAGATATGCCTCCTTTTTATCCCTAGCACACACCCAGAAAAAAAAAAAATGTTGCATGGAGGGGTTAGAGCGGGTTGTTCTGGTTGTACCTGTCTATAAGACTTACTCTGCTTGGCTACTCTATAGCTAATACAAAAATAAAATAAAACAAATTAAATGCAATAACTTACACCCCCTTTAAACGCCTATTATGCTCCTTTTTACAAGATGTAAAAATAATAATACGTAATAATAAGTCTCTGGTGTCACTAGAGCAGGGATTACCAAACTTGTTCCTGGAGGTCCAGTGTCCTGCAGATTTTAACACACCTGAACAAGCTAATCAAAGTTTTAGGTATACTTAAAACACCCAGGTGTGTTGAGGCAATTTGGAGCTAAACCCTGCAGGGCACCAAACCTCCAGGAATAAGGTTGGTGACCTCTGCTCTGGAGTGTGTATATGAAGTTTCATCTCAAAATACCAAACTCTTTAAAAATGCCCCTGTAAGATTTTGATCCAAATTGTGCTGTCGCTTTAAATTCAAATCAGACTGGTGCACTTTTTAAAAGCTACAAATGCCTATGCATCAGATTCAACTTAGAACTAATATCTCTGTGAACAAGGTCATCTATGGAGAAATAAATTAAAGTAATAAGTGAAAAGGTTGCAAACACATGAGACATTCTTCCAGAAACATACATTATTTGTCCGTGAAATAGAAACACATACATTAAATAAGAAGTATTTTATCCCAAGAATGTCTGCAATGGCCTGATGGTTGATTTCTGTGAGTTGTTCTGTAAAGGAATATGTCATTCATTTGGTAAAAACACTTTTCAAATTTACAAACCCTGTCATTGTCTTCGTCCTCACTCAATTTAACCTACAGCTTTAATAGTTTTGCTATGCTAAAAACTGTTAAGAAAAAAAAACATTCTGAAATAGCAAGTTTAGGCTGTTATCATTACCATCAATTAAAAACATTAAAAACATGAAACTATAAATAAATTCTACACATAAATTTCATTCACATTTCTGTCAGTCCTGTCATATTTGCTTAAATTCAACATAAAATGCAAGCGATACACTTTTGAGGTTATGGGCTCTGTTTTATTGATAGGCGCAAAGTCTAAAGCGCAGGGCAAAAGCATAAGAGCTTGTCCGAATCCACTTTTGCTATTTTAAGGACGGAAAAAACACTTTCTGTGGGTCTGAAAATATCAACACATCAGGGCAAACACCTCTTGCGTTTTATTGTGCCGGGCAGTGTTGGGCAGTAGCGTCGCTACTATTGACGGTACTCGCTTAACTACATTTATCAGTAGCGTGGCTGTAGCGTCACTACTTTCAAAATCAAATAGCTTTTCAGTAGCGAAGCTATTTTATTAGTCAAGTAGCGCAGTAGCATCCACACAAGCTACATTTACCGATCGCGGATCAATAAGTTACGGCACCGACATTCAGAGCTGTGAGGTCGGTGTCTAGCTGATGAAAGTAAATCCATATGATGGCGAGAATGACGAGTTCTTCTTCCTGTTTTACAGTGTTCGACAATTAAGTTTTTGGTGCTTTATTGCCACCTCTGGTGAAACCTGATTCCTGTGGATGGTTGAATCCTTATGACCAAACCTCGAGAAGTACATGTTACGATGCAATAACTTAATTTCTCATGCTGTGCTCAAAAAATAAAAAATTCTTTAGTATATAAAGAACTTTAGTATGTACTTTACATACACATATATATCGGTGTGTGTGTGTGTGTGTGGATATATATATATATATATATATATATATATATATATATATATATATATATATATATATATATATATATATATATATATATACAGTATATATACACACAGTATATATATATATATATATACACAGTATATATACACAGTATATATATATATATATATATATATATACATATATACACACACACACACAGTATATATATATATATATATATATATATATATATATATATATATATACACAGTATATATATATATATACACACACACTATAATGCTTATTCAAAAATATTTCTCTTTACTATACATTACTTTAGTATTTTAAATGTGTAACACCTGGTTTTATTGGATTTTTTGTTTTAGCTGTTATATACTAGGCTATAATGTGTTTCTGTTTAGTACAGCATATTATTTACAGCAAATAACTGATAACTGAACTATTATGCATTATATGTTTCATTAACAGTATTATTGATCACTAAGATTTGATTGACTTGGATTTAAATTGCTTCCATTTAAAAGATGAAAATTGTAAAAAATAGCTTAGATGTAGCTAAGCTACATTTGCCATGTTGCTAATAGCTTAGCTCACTACATTTTTCAAGTGCCCAACACTGGTGCCGGATGTATGATAGGGCCCTATGAATCAAAGGACGTGACAGCATTTGACGGACTAGCTGACAGTGATCAGGGGTGCGTTATATCCTTGAATTAAATGACTTTACGGTTGTTTTGCCTACTGTATGATTTTTTTTTTAGAAGGACAAGCAGGTCAGGCTTTGTCAAAGACTTTATAAGAGAAAATGTACCTTTCCGGTCGAATGTCCCCTATACTTTAATAAACAATGGCTTATTCCTATTCCTAATAACTTAAACAATCATTTCAAACTCAGAATGTAGAATTTGGACACATGTCCAATACCTTAATAGTCATGAATCACAATGTGCAATTTTAATATTTTCAGTTATAAGTATCCCATTCATTCAACGGTAAACCGGAACTAAAAATACACTGCGTTGCTGAAAGGCGAGCTTGCAGGTTTTAAGGTGACTACAGACTTGAGATTAGAGGAACCATTAAGTCCACACTGGAGTCTAAGTAAGCGTTTATGCCTGTGCTCTGTGTGATATAGTAGATCAGCCAATCAATCAATCAAGGGATTTGGGTGTCACCCAGTGGCTACTTTGGGTATAGCATCTAAACAAAATCCTAGAGCAGGGGTGTCAAACTCAGTTCCAAAAGGGCCGCAGCTCTGCACAGTTTAGTTCCAACCCTAATTAAACACACCTGATCAAACTAATTGAGTCCTTCAGGCTTGTTTGAAACCCACAGGTAAGTGTGTTGGAGCAGGGTTGGAACTAAACTGTGCAGGGCTTCGGCCCACCAGGAATTGAGTTTGACACCCCTGCTCTAGGATTTCGTTTAGATGCTATACCCAAAGTAGCCACTGGGTGACACCCAAATCCCTTGATTGATTGATTGATTGGCTGATCTACTATATCACACAGAGCACAGGCATAAACGCTTACTTAGACTCCAGTGTGGACTTAATGGTTCCTCTAATCTCAAGTCTGTAGTCACCCTAAAAACTGCAAGCTCAATTTCCAGCAAACAAGGTAAAAATGCATAATGACACACTGAGTGACTTACAATGCCCAGACTGTGTCTCCACTGCTAAAGAGCATCCCTTCTGGACAACTTCCCGTTGTCCATACAAAGATGGACTCACAGCCAGGTAATCATATTTATTTTAGTTATATCTCTTAACCTTCCTTCCCCCTTGAAATGATTTTTCTTCACGTCTGGTCACCTGTAATGCTTTTTGGGTGGAGCTATCAGTCCATTAGGGCATGTCTTGTTCCTGCACTGCCTTCATCCATTCATCAATGTTCCTTCATTTTGATAGCAATGCCCATCTTCCACTGATCCAATTGGTTCCCAAAGAATGAGATCATCCAAGACCGTACATATTTTTCTCATTTCAGGATGTAAGTCACAATATGTAGACAAAAGCAAGTCAATTTTAACTTCCATTTCATGACAACTTTTAACATATATACATATTAATTTGTTTTGAGAACACTTTATTGAATGTCAAGTGTCACTAAAAGAAAATACATTTAAAGGGATGGACTAGAGTGTATTTGTAAGGCTTGGTTGTGTATATGGGGTGCAATGCAATGTGTGTTCATGCTTCACTTGTAGATATCACATTATTTTTTCATATATCTTACTTTGATTATAAACCGCTACTCAGCTAACAGAAAAGACTGTCATATTTCTTTCCTCTAAAAGGTCCTCCCTCAAGAGGCTCTGATTGGTCAGCTAGCATAATGAGCTGTGATTCGCAGATCAGCTCAACATCACCAGGAAGCGTCTCTGTCATAATATTGCAGTGCCTCTAGCCACGCCCCTTCGATCCATGTGCTGTATGTGCATAACCTGAAGGGTTCATGACATCATTAACCCGGATGTATTTTTTGTAGTCCCCAAACTTCGTTTGCTTTTCAGATGACAAATTTCTCTCCAGAGTGCCATTCGTGCCTGCTGTTCTCACGTAAATGCACCAGAGACAGCTGTCGACTGACTGACCAAACAAATAAAATTATTTAATTGTTTCCTACATTTTCTGGCTTTTGTTTTTGTCTTAACTGGTTTCTGGAACCGTTCTTCATTGAGCTCGAACCCCATTTTCACGGTCAGCTTCTCTCTGCGTCTCAAGTCCACCGACATACATGTCGAGCTACCGGACAAACTGTCCACATGGAGGTAAGCGGTCAGCTGATAAGCAAGAAAAGAAACAGCATCATACCGCCCATAGCGTTGGTTTTAAAGAGGAATAATAATAATAATAATAATAATTCCTTACATTTATATAGCGCTTTTCTGGGCACTTAAAGCGCTTTACACATTGGGGGAAATCTCCTCATCCACCACTAGTTTTAAAGACGGAATGCAGCCATACAGTACGTAGCTCTGGCTACATAATTCACAATCTCCAGAAATGTATATAGGGCTACGTTTTCAGAATGAGCCTATGTTAGATTTAAGCTAAGCTAAATGTGATGCAGCTAGACCTAAAGATCAGAAGAATGGATTAAAAAATGGTATACTTCAACTGTTTCACTCTAGAGATTTTTTTAAGTTGATAATTTCTTGAACCACATCTTTAAGTGTTGAGTTGAATATACTGGTCAAAGAAATCTCTTACACAACAAGTTGCACAACGGATGATTTAATGTAAAATTCCTCAAGAGCCACACCTAGAAGAGTTACGTGTTTTCGACGGTCATGAATATTTCAGACATGTTTAAATGATGTGTTTACTCTGCTGAATGAAGATTGTTGTTCACTGAGAGCCACAGAGCACCAGCAGGATCTTCTCGTAATCTCCTTTTGTTTCACTCTGCAGAAGACAAACACAGAAGCCACTTTTTAATTCATTTTTGCAGCTTTAGAGGAATATAAGAATGTGAAGCTTCCTTTAAAAGCTTTTCACCCATTATGAGTTTCAGAGACTGACCTGAATGGCCTCCTGAAGGGTTTTGCCGTACATCCTCTTGTACTCCTGCATGATTTTCAGCAGGTCGATTTCCGAACGGCTCACAATGATTCTGATCAGTGTGTTATCATCGGTTCCCAAACCCTATAAAGCAAGGCCATATTACTAAAATAGCAATAATCTGAGCAAAACAATGTAACAAACAGTTTAAGAGAGTTTGCAAGACTTTGGTAACATGTCGGTTAGGGCTGCACGATATTGGAAACATCTGATTTGAATACGTCTATCTGACGATTTTCTGGGAAGTCTAAAAGTATTCAGCTACAGGAATTTAATAAATACTGTAACATATGGGCTGCAGCTGAGGAATGGATTTGCCCTTAAATACCATATTTCTTATTGGAATGACATTCATAATCATAAAAACATTGAAAAAGACAAAGAAAATCTCCCGCTCAAACTTTACCATGAAACCATTGGTCAGTCAGTAGAGAATGAGTGTGACTTGATTCATTAGCCGAATCCAGCTCTGAACTGGGAGAGATTCTAGTTGCTGTTCTTTGTCAAATGCTAGCTATATGTATTTTTTTGTAATTATCTGGAACATTATTAAAATTAAACTGTAAGCACTTCTCTCTTTGTGTCGTGTCATTTGGAAGCCCACATACAGAAACAGAACAAGCTCTGTGGAAATAGCAGCGGTTGGACGACATTTTAGCTTTCTCTGCTATAACATTACAGCGCCTATGGCCACACTCCTTTGCTGCGCAGGGTGTGTGCGCATGGTGAATGTGCATAACCTGAAGCGTTTGTAATATCACTAGCCCACAAGCTAATACCACAAGCTTCGTTCGCTGTAGGCTTTGCTAAGCTAACTCTGTAAAAGCCAATGTCTCCCTTTGCATTGAACTTTGAGCACATTACATTCAGAGATGTTGTTTATGTTCACACAGCTACATTACGCATCAACTAAAGTTTAAAATATGAGATCGTAGTGGACCCCCCCATTAAGAAAATAATAAATGTAAAATTAGATGATTTCTAAATTCATGGCAGATGATTCAAATTAGACTCTGATCCATTTAAACACCCTGATTAATGCCTAGAACAAATATAAGAATAAATTATTATTATTATTATCATCATCATAAAATAAAACTTTAAAAATAAGTAAGGTTTCAACTTTGACTAGATTCCGATGGAAACAAAATGGATCTAAATGAATGTATACATTCCATGTCTTCCTCTGCAACTTTACCTTCATAGCATGTTGGAGCTTTTCCGCAAAGTAGGCAGGTTTATTCCAAGCAGCCTTCACTAAAACATAAAAGAGCGATTAAACTGTTGGGAATGCAGTTTATACATGTTTTCAACCATTACATTTCTTTTTTACGCTGTATCTGGTTGTGATACGTTTACTGAGAGTGAGTGAAAACGCCCTAAACATCTGAGGATGGAAAAACAGGTCTGTCTTGCTAAGGAGCTTCCTTCAATCAGATGGACAGTGAAGCGTTTGTCTAGTTTCTGTTTTTAACACACACACTAATACATCACACAAAAGAAAAAAAAAAGAAAAGAAAAGAAAAGAAAAGAAAACATGTACAGTATATTTACCCAGAGTCATCAGGCAGTCTTCAAGGTGTCCACTCAGCTCGCCCTCCAGATCTTTGGCCAAACCATCTTTGCTTAATTGGCTATAATATTGGAAAACTGTGGATTTTAAATAACACTGTTAATTCTAGTCTGCTAAACTTTACCACAATCACATAAGTGACAGATATCCTACTTTTGCACAGCTGAGCTTCACTCCTGTTTGTGAGGATGTCAATCAGAACTGAGCAAACTGTACCGATCCGATTCTCTCCTGCCTCAAACAAAGCCTGAAACAACACGAGATCAGAGATACATCATGCGTTTTATACAATCCTTGCTTGATAAGCAGTCTACAAAACAAAAATGTGATTGACAGCTATTGAGAAATCAGAAATGTAGAGAAGTTCAAAATCACATGCTAATTTCTTTTGTATGCCATGATCACAGTACATAATATCTTACTACCTATAGTATTTCGCAAGATTTTTTTGCTTGGTGGCACGATGGCTCAGTGCTTAGTACTGTTGCCTCACAGCAAGAAGGTTGCTGGTTTATATCCCGGCTGTACCTGTTGGCATTTCTGTGTGGAGTTTGCTTGTTTTGCCCATGTGACCTTCTTGCTGTGAGGCAATCATGCTACCCACTGTGCCAACGTAACGCCCTATCAACAACATGGCTTTTTAATATTTTTTTCTACATTTTTGCAGTGCCTTGGATGGATTTTTGCCGTTTATGCTTATCTTACTATTTTGTTTACAAAAATGTATGTTCATTTACTAAAGTGCATTTAAACTGTAACTTATTACAATTTTATATGTAATGTAATGATATAAAGAAAATTGAAATATATGAGGTCATATTGGGGGCCAAATTCTGGACTTTGTCAAAAGGGGGTGGGTCTTTCCAACCACCCAAATCGCTCATGGCTACTGGCCTGTAATGGTACACCTTACGCCTCGGGCGGGTTGTGTGTCTTGTGCAAAATGAAGAGGGGGGAGGTTTGGTGCGCGAACAGAAGAGCGAGAGGCGGGGGCGGGGGGGGGGGGGGGGGGGTGTTTGCAGCACGAACTGGAGACTGAGGGAAGGGGAGATGGGTCTGAAATACTACTGGGAAAAATGGGAGTGTTGGGAGGTATGGGATAAACTATCTGTAGTTGTAATGTAAAAGGGAAAATGCATGGGTGCTTTCCAGCACTGAGCTTTGTACACTGAGGGTCCTATCATACACTTACCTCAATAAGGTGCAAGACATGTTTGGCGTGATTTGTTGCAATATTGAGACGAGTGCAACCCTAGGTTTCACGTTTTGCGCAACTTGTTTAAATAGCAAATCCATTTGCGCCGCTTTGGGGACTCATGGGTGTGCTGGTCTAAAAAGGAGGTGTGTTTAGGCGCATTGTTGGCGCATTGTTTGTTTATTTTTAAGGAACTGAAATAGACCAACTAAGAGCAGGTCTTAAGTCCAGTGCAGAGCGTGTTAGTTATGCGCCAATGCAGGTTCAAACGCTTATTTCTTAATATACACAGGATGTACAGCGATACACAAATACCTTTACAGATAAAAAAAATAAATAAAATGATTAAAATGTTACAAAAATGATAATTTTCTACATAAATATAAAAACCACTGCCTCCATGCCTTCTTTATGTCAGGGGACTTTTTTCAGTAAATTCATGACAATTTTGTATATCGTTATTATTATTTGCAGTATTATTTATTATGTGCATATTTATATTTGTTTTAATAAAAACAAGTTTAGATTTGTCCACCTGTTGGGTTTTGGACCATATGTAGCATAAGAATAGGACGTGTGTTTGGATATAGCTCCAACCACACTTTGCCCACACTTTGTTATAATTGTTCATTTATTAGTTTGCTGGAAATTAGAACAGAATTGAACAGCTCATGGTCTTTAGCCTCCTTGGTAGAGCACCCAACTCCAATGCGGAAGATCGCTGGTTCGATACCAGCTTGGAGCAGGTTGGGTGGCATAGGACCTGCGGGGTTACATAGGCTAATGGATGTCTTTAGTGGAGTGACTTTCCACTGTTCCCTTACTACACTAAAGGAAAGGAGTAAAGTAAAGAGTAAACGTAAAATAAAGAGAAAGTAATGAGGCCAAATGGAGGAGGCTCGTTCTTTATCCTTGTGCTGCAGACGGTCTGTTTAACTGATTTTTTCTCTCTAGAGAGGCGTTCAGTTTTTCCTCTTACAAAGTCCATCATATTAATAGCAAATGTGCCATAGATTGACGCAACTGACTGTTAAAGGGAATGGGAGATGAGACTCTGATTGGTTTATGCTCAAAACACACCCATAACTCATTAAGAGAATAAGCACAACCCCGTTAGACCATGCTCCAGGACGCAGAGTTTATTTTTCCGCCCTTAAAATAGCAAAAGTGGATTCGTACATGCTTTTAATGCGTTTGCGCCCTGCGCTTTAGACTTTGCACCTAGATCATTAAAATAGAGCCCTGCGTGTTTATTTGTGGCTGAAAAGGCATCCGCTGTGTAAAACAATTGCTAAAGGAACTGGTGGTTTTTCCACTGTGGCGACCCCTGATAACAACAGGGAATAAGGCAAAGGAAAGTGATTCTGAACTATTTAAAATCAATTCAGAAACGTTAGAGAAAGACTCACGGTCTATCATTCGTTTTTCTCCTACCATATATATGCATTAAACACAAGAAGAAAGTCAAAGCTGAATTTGTGAATATAGATGTAAGTAAAAAATAATAAGTAAATTCTCCTTACCTTTGCATCACTCTTAGCCTGTGCGTCATCAATATTACGATCTTCACTCCTGGTAGCCTTAGGAGATATAAATATGTAATTGTCCGCAATACACATAATCACCTATGCAATACTCATTCCAATTAAATTTAGAGGGAATATGCTATTTTTATACCTTGCAAAGGGCAAGCAGGGCAGTTTCAAGATTTCCTTTTACATCACTATTAATATCTTCCTCCAGCATCTCGCCATATACTGCATAGCAGAAAAGGGGTCACACTTTATTTAATGCATAATTCACAATACTAATAAATCACTAACCAAGACTTTTAGCTCAGTAAACTACTAATTAGCTGCTTATTAATAGTAAGGTAGTAGCTGTGTTTAGGTATTTAGGATATGATTAGAGATGTAAAATAATCATACTGAAAAAGTGCTAATAAACAGTTAATATCTTTATAATAGGCAGATAATAATCCAGTACTAAATGGTGTAAATTATTACTTGAACTAAAGTGTCACTGAAAAAGTACAGCAGCTTACACATTCAGTACATCTGCTTTGGGATGTAGTATTTATGTGATTTTTGTTACCTTCTTTGAAACTATTCTTCAGCGCCGTAATCTCCTTGTTTGACCTTGTCCCCAGAATTTCACTCAGGACATTCTCACTTGTCCCAAGACCCTGAGTATCAGTTAAGTAAGCAAGCAGGTAAGTACATTTAGGTGTTTTTATGTATTAAAGGCTTAATACACCCAAAATAGAAAGTTTTCTTAAAGAAATTAAAAGTTTTAAAATTAATTTACGCTTCCTTCATCTGACCCAAACAGTTTTTTTCTATCTTCAAAAGAAGATATTTTGAAGATTGCTTGAAACTGGTATAAACTATGAAACTATGGTTCCATTGTACCTTTTTCCTACTATGGATGTCAATGCTTTCCAGTCTGACTTTTTTAGAGTTCAACAGAAAAAGAAATTAACTGATAAAGGTTTAAAACCTAAATGGTAAGTACATTTTCAATTTTGGGTGAACTATCCCTTTAAGACGTTAGATAAGTTATTTTGCAATAAGATCAGCTGTACCTTCAATGCGTTTTTCATCTCAAAAGCATCATATTCAGAAGGGGTCATCAACAAGGCCAGCACCACATCCTCAAGATGGGAGGAAAGCGCCTTTTTCAGCGCATCTGCCAGAGGCTCAATCACCAACAAGATATAAAAGGTTACTCACATCAGTTCACCGTAAAAAAAAAAAAAAAAAAGTTCTAATAACTTAAGAAGTTTTTGAAATATATTTGAATAGTTAATTATGTCCTAAATGGTTTAAACTATCCTACCTGTCAACACTGCAATGTGGAAAAAAAGGGACCCCCCACCACGTATTTAAAAAAAAAGGTTTAATTGTAAATAAACAGTAATACGGTGAGTAATATATTTTATTATTATTATTATTATTATTATTATTATTATTATTATTATTATTATTATTATTTACAAATAGTAAACAATAGAGAAAGCTGCAAATAAATTAGCAAACAGTCTAGCCTATTAAAATTAATAGCTATTATAAAGAAATAGAATCAAGTAATCAAATCTCATTAACTTTTTCTTCACTGTATAATTCAAACATTCTAATTAAAGAGCAATGATTAAAGCCCTCATTTGGATTTTTCATTTGATTACTTCAATCAATCTGGGCTGCATCCAATGCTTTTTAATGAGCTCACCTAACCCCACCCCTAAGCTACCCCTCACAATGATGTCTCTCGCTCCATTAGAGTGTATGACATTGCATCGCTAAGTGATGCAGTCTCAGCTTGCAATGCATCATAAAGGCTGCATCCCGATACTATTGGCCTAGCTAGCCTCTATGGACGTGCTGGTGTTCTGATGAGGAGAACATGCTAACTCCATACAGGAATGCCAACTGATCCAGCTTAAACTTCTTGCTGTGAGGCAATTGTGCTACCCACTGCGCCACCGTTCATTCATTCATTCATTCATTTTCTGCCGCTTTTCCGGGGACGGGTCGCAAGGGCAGCAGTCTTAGGAAAGAACCCCAGACTTTCCTCTCCTCAGACACTCTCTCCAGCTCCTCCGGGGAGATCCCGAGGCGTTCCCAGGCTAGTCGAGAGACAGTCCCTCCAGCGTGTCTTGGGTCTTCCCCAAGGCCTTCTTCCGGTGGGACATGCCTGGAACACCTCCCTCGGTAGGTGTCCAGGAGGCATCCGAAACAGATGCCCGAGCCACCTCAGCTGACTTCTCTTGATGTGGGGGAGCAGCGGCTCTATTCCGAGCTCCTCCCGGGTGACAGAGCACCTCACTCTATCCAAAAAAGTGCGGCCTGCCACCCTTCGAAGGAAACTCATTTCAACCGCTTGTATCCGAGATCTTGTACTTTCGGTCATGACCCAAAGCTCATGACCATAGGTGAGAGTAGGAACGTAGATTGACTGGTAAATCGAGAGCTTTTCCTTTCGGCTCAGCTCTTTCTTTACCACAACGGACTGGTACATTGACCGCATTATGCTGCCGCTGCACCAATCTGTCTGTTAATCTCACGCGCCATCCTTCCCTCTCTCGTGAACAAAACCCCGAGATACTTAAACTCCTCCACCTGGAATAAGGACTTTCCTCTAACCTGGAGATGGCAAACCACCTTTTTCCGATGGAGCACCCTGGGCCTTGGACTTCGAGGTGCTACCGTGCTCCCTATTAAATATTTATTTATTACTTTTTGTATGTAGTTTTAAATCAAATGATCCCTCCAGTCATTATTGCTTTTATACTATTACCATCAATAATAATAGTAATAATAATAATTAATATTAGAGTGATTTCGAAAGGATCGTGTGACTGAAGACTGGAGTAATGAAGCTGAAAAATTCATCATTAAAATCACTGGAATAAATGATTAAATTAAATTATAATCTTCACTTGAACAGTTATTTTATAGTGTAATCATACGTTTCATATGTTTACCATTTGTATTGTATTTTTTAATGAGCAGGATAAGCTTATTTTAAAACATTTAAAAATCCTACTGACCCTAAACATTTGACTGGTAGTGTATGTCAGTGAATAGATTAACTAATGAACCTTTATTGTAAAGTACCATCTCTACACATCCTCTCAAAGATATTCTTACCTTTCCTGCACTCTGCTGATAAGCCGCTTTGATCTGCTGTCTTTGCGCATTGCTTTTCTTTGCTAGCACCTCTATAATAGTGGCTTCATCCACACCTTCATGAGAGGAAAACAGAAAGGTCAGATAACAACAGTTTTCACCTGAACAGTATCACCAAAATGAATGGACATAAATGAGCACAAATAAAAAGTGCAAGGAGCAGTGGTAACTAGGGTTGTCACGATACTGGAATTCGGTACCAATCGATATTGAGATTTTAAAAATGTACATTTCCTGTTAACATTTGAGCGCTGTTGATCGCGTTCGTAAACAGCTCTGATGACTGTCTTGTTTACTGAGTGTAAACACAGATACAGAAACACTGGATCGTTTTAAAGCCGCGATTCATCAGTGGATCGCTCGTATGTCAGCTTATAGACAAACCAGCTGACGGACGTGACGCTAAACGCTCCAGTGTCCCAGTATCTGCACTCTCTGAAATAAAGGTACAGGCGCTAAAGATACATATTTGTACCCAAGGAGTCCACAGTGGTACCTTAAAGGTGTACACTCTCAGAAATTAAAGTACAAGTACTGTCACTGGGGTGGTACTTTTGCTAAAGGCACAAGTTTGTAACTAAAGGGTCCATATTCATACCTCAAGGGTACGCACTAGTACTTAAAAATTACATTATGTACAAATATTGAAAATTCTGTGTACTAATACACACCTTTGAGGTACCAAAATGGAGCCTTTAGGTACAAATGTGAACCTTTTGAAAAGGTACCACCCCAGTGACATCACTTGTACCTTTATTTCTGAGAGTGTACAATAGTGCCCCAAACTATCTAAAAAGTACCTTTGAGGTGTCATTATGGACCCTTCAGTTACAAAAATGTATCTTTTGAAAAGGTGACAGCTCCTGGACACTGGAGCGTTTAGCGTCACGTCGATCAGCTGGTTTGTCTATAAGCTGATATTCGAGCGTTCAGCTGATGAATTGCAGCTTTAAAACGCTCCAGTGTCCCTGTATCTGTGTTTACACTTAGTAAACAGCGAGGAGTTTGGTGAACTGATGACCTTCACGGCCAATGACAGTTATATCTGTTGAGTATGTAAACAAAATGGCAAATCAGCACCGTTTAAGAACGCAGTTAACAGCGCTCAAATGTTAGCAATAAATGTTTTTAAAAATTTCAGTATCGATTGGTACCAAATTCCAGTATCGTGACAACCCTAGTGGTAACTTACACTGTCCTTGTTACACATGTTGTATGTAAAGTTTATATTAGTTTTATATTTTCCTAATGCAGATTTTGTCACAAGCTGATTGATATCTCTAAAACTAAGACTGAAACTAACATTCATTCATTTTCTTTTCGCCTTAGTCCCTTTATTAATCTGGGGTCACCACATAGGAATGAATCGCCAACTTATCCAGCATACTTTTTACGCAGCGGATGGCCTTCCAGCTACAACCCATCACTGGAAAACACATATACACTCATCCACTACAGTCAATTGTAGCATATCCAATTCACATGTCTTTGGACTTGTGGTACAGGTGACTTGTGGGGGAAACCAGAGCACCCGGAGGAAACCCAAACAAACACAGGGAGAACATGCAGACTCCACACAGAAATGCCAACTGACTCAGCCGAGGCTCGAACCAGCAACCTTCTTGCTTTGAGGCGAACGTGCTATCCATTGCGCCACCGCGTCACCCTGAAACTAACATCTAAAATATTTTATTTTGATTTCAAGGACCGCCACGGTCATTATTAAAGGTCTGATAAAAATGTTAAAAAATAACATTCTTAACTAGAAACTTGCTAAAGACAAAAAATGTAAATGTCTTTAATGTTCAGAAACTGACGTGTAGAAGACATTTTGAAAATGAGTAAATGCTCTAAAACACAGGTGTCAAACTCAGTTCCAAAAGGGCCGCAGCTCTGCACAGTTTAGTTCCAACCCTAATTAAACACACCTGATCAAACTAATTGAGTCCTTCAGGCTTGTTTGAAACCAAGTGTGTTGGAGCAGGGTTGGAACTAAACTGTGCAGGGCTTCGGCCCTCCAGGAATTGAGTTTGACACTCCTGCTATAAAATATGTATTCCAGATGTAAACAACAAACAGACGTCTCTATGATGTAAATGGATATCAGGGGTATTATAAAGGCTTTTCAGCAAAGTGCACACTGTTGTACAAGGCTGAATAATAGCATTCTTGGTTAACTTTCTGAATGTGTTACTAAGGCGACGCAGTGGCGCAGTTCGCCTCACAGCAAGAAGGTCGCTGGGTCACAGGTTCGAACCTCGGCTCAGTTGACGTTTCTGTGTGGAGTTTGCATGTTCTCCTTGCGTTCGCGTGGGTTTCCTCCGGGTGCTCCGGTTTCCCCCACAGTCCAAAGACATGCGGTACAGGGGAATTGGGTAGGCTAAATTGTCCGTAGTGTATGAGTGTGTGTGTGAATGAGTGTATGTGAATGTTTCCCAAAGATGGGTTGCGGCTGGAAGGGCATCCGCTACATAAAAAACTTGCTGGATAAGTTGGCGGTTCATTCTGCTGTGGCAACCCCAGATTAATAAAGGGACTAAGCCGACAAGAAAATGAATGAATGAATATCTTACTAAAAATATCTTAAGAGACATCCATAAATCAATGCCTAACTGCCTGCCATCTGTTATTGTAAAGATAATTATATGATGATGGGCATTTGTTCATTACAATATGCATACTTGAAACTTCCAGACAGGTGTGTTGAGGCATGTTGGAGCTAAACTCTGCAGGGACACCGGCCTGGTCTAACTGTCTAGATAAGCACTCTTTAAATATTATAAACCTGCATTTCCTCAGGTGTTACCTCTGAGTCAGAGTCGCTATTTTCTTTCACTCCTGCCGTCACACCCATTCCCATACCTTCTGCTCACAGCTTTCCACATCCATTTGAGTTGCACAAAATTTCTGAGGTAGCATTGTACACTCTCAGAAATAAAGGTATGTGAGCTGTCACTAGGGTGGTACCTTTGTGCTTAAAGGGTCTATTTTGCTAACTCAAAAGTATATATTAGTACCTAAAAAATTTAAGAGGAACACTATTGTACTTTTTAGCTACTAATATGTACTCTTGAGTTATATGGACTTTTAAGGTACAAATTTGTCCCTTTTGAAAAGGTACCACCTCAGTGACAGCTCGCCTTTATTTCTGAGAGTGTACTGAAATAAGGTGATATCATGATCCTTTAATGAGACTAAAAATGCTGTCTTTCAAGTATTTGCAATTTCTTTTTCCAAATTCTTCCTGATTCCTAACCCCATTATATGGAACATGAAAGTGTTTTAACTTTGCATTTATCATGGCATCTGTTTTACCTTTGGTTTCAATGGCTTTCTTTAATTTTGCAGCATCATTCTGGGCATTGAAGTTTGTATCAGCCTTCACTGTTCCAAAGTATCCTGTCTCAAAAGCAGGAGCAGCTTTAAAACCCTGAGATAAAGCATAAAGCAACACACAAGACCAATATTATCACCTAAAGGAGAATCACACTTTGAATGACCATAATGAATGAAAATGTGGGGGGTTTTACCGTGTCGTCATTGACGTGATTGAACAATTTCTGGAAAAAGGCCATCTTGCAAACTTTGAAGAAGCTATAAAAATTGCAAATGTTAAAATGTATGATCAGTAAGGCCAAAAACTGTCCAGAAACATTAATCTGGGTCATGTAAATTCTGTCAGGGCTTCGTTAAGAATAGAGCTTCATTAAAAACAATGTCAATATGTGACACTGGAGCACAAAAGACAAAAAAAAGGGTTTATTTTTGCCAATAGCCTTGCTTTTATGCTTAAAATCAAGTAAAGATCATTTTCCATGAAGATATTTGGTAAATTTCCAAGCATAAATATATCAAAACCTAGTTTTCTGCATTGCTAAGAGATTAACTTACAAACATATATAAAGGGGATTTTCTTAGTATTTTGATTTTGTTTTAACCCGCAGAATCTCAAATAGTTGTATCTCTGCCAAATATTATCCTATCCCACCAAACCACACATCAATTGAAAGCTTATTTAGTCGTCCTTATATTTAATGCATATATTCAATTTCCAAAACCGACACTTATGACCAGTTTTGGAATCTTGTGTCACATATTAAGACGAGCAGGAGATAACAAGCAGTCAAATGCATTTACAAAAACTCACCTGTTCCTCTGTGAAGCCTGTGAGGGTTAGGAGCAGATTTTTTACCCCCTTTTATTCCTTGTCCACACCCAGCAAAAAAAAAAATGCGTGAAGGGCTCGGACCAGGTTGTTCTGGTTGTACCTGTCTGCAAAACCTCACATAATCTTTCATTTCATGCGTCTGCTCTACTCACCATCTCTAATATTCTCTAAATCTAAAACAAACAAAAAAATGATTGTAGAACAAACATCACTACTTGCCATACACTTTTATACACATATACACTTATTTAACAACACACTTTACATGCCAATTTGCACATAACAGCTGCACATATAACATTGTATATAGTAATATAGCTCTCCATACACTTGTCTATTTTGTGTATTTTGTATTCACTTCTTACTGCTTTTCTATATATTTATTTTCTGTTTATTGTCCTGTCTCTGTAATTCTGTTGCACTGTAGAAGCTCTGTCACAAAAAAGAATTCCACGTATGTGCAAACACACCTGGCAATAAAGCTCTTTCTGATTCTGAAAATGATAGATTAAAATAAAAGTAATTCTGCAAATAAAAGGCACAGAGATTGAAAGAGTTTATGAGTAGAGTGAGCATTCTTTATTTTAAAAAATTACAGTAGACACACAGGTGTGAGTGTTCCTTCCTTGAGTTGTCATCCGATGTAATGTCCGTCACATTTTAAAGAAACAAATCTGGTAATCATAATGTAAAACACAGCCAGCAGTTTCAATACAAGCATAATCTATACAGCAGTTTCAATCCAATTAAAGGGATAGTTCATGCAAAAATGAACATTTGCTGACCATTTACTAATCTCAAGTGGTCTCAAACCTGATTTTCTTTATTTTGTTGTGAACTAAAGAACATATTTCTGAAACCCTGACTTCTGTAGAAGAAAAAATAATAATACTATGGAAGTCAATGGTTACAGGTTTTCAGCTTATTTCTAAATCTCTTCTTAAGTGTTGAACAGAAGAAAGGCAAACAGGTTTAGAGCAAGTGAAGGATGATTCATTTTAATTATAATAAACTGCTACTGTAGCAAGGTATGTCCTACTGTAAATGAACAGTAATAGTTACAGTGCGCACAATGACTTTTATTTTCATTTCGGATGGAACACTTTATAGTCTACTCACATGTAATGAACATAATCAGACTAACATATTATGTATACATGTTTCAAAATCCAGGGGAGATTAGTGAGCTCCACATATTGTCAGCAGAATCTTCTGATAATCTCCTTTTGTTTCTTTCTGTAAAATCAAAAAGAGTTTCAATAATTTAACAAGTTTGCTTTTATTTGATGCGACATGGTGAGAAGAAAAAGACGCTATTCAATGAAGAAAAAACTAGCATTAAAGTAATTATATGAAGGGAAATGACATTCAATAATGGTTGTAGGTTATATATATATATATATATATATATATATATATATATATACACACAGTTAAAGTCAGAATTATTTCCCCCCCTAAATTATTAGACCCCCTTGTTTATTTTTCCCCCAATCGTTTCTAAACATAATAGTTTAATAATTAATTTCTAGCAACTGATTTATTTTATCTTTGCCATGATGACAGTAAATAATATTTTGCTAGATATTTTTCAAGACACTTCTATACAGCTTAAAGTGACATTTAAAGGCTTAACTAGGTTAATTAGGTTAACTAGGCAGGTTAGGGTAATTAGGAAAGTTATTGTATAACAATGGTTTGTTCAGTAGACAGTCAACAAAAAAATTTGCTTAAAGGGGCTAATAATTTTGTACTTAAAATGGTGTTTAAAACATTAATAAATGCTTTTATTCTAGCCGAAATAAAACAAAATAAGACTTAATACTGAAGAAAAAATATTATCAGACACACTGTGAAAATTTCCTTGCTCTGTTAAACATTATTTGGGAAATATTTAAAAAAGAAGAAAAAAAAATCTGTGGAGGAAACCGGAGCACTCAGAGGAAACCCACACGAACACAAGAAGAACATGCAAACTCCACACAGAAGTGCAACCCAGGCTCATTATTGATACGCACCCCTATATTAATTTTTGCAGATCGCAAAATACGTCCCAGGAGGGACATTTTTTGCCATTTTTGAATTCACGAATCCACCAAAAGCTGCTGTGTACGCTCTTTCAGATGTCAAATTTCCTTCACAAGTGACATTCACGCCTGCTGTTCTCACATAAATCCACCAGGGGACGCTGTCAACTGACTGACTGACCAACCAATCGCCGCACCCACTTCCTTCCCTAAACCCAACCAAGAGTGTTTTTATAAGCAATCCAGAAAAAGAAAAGCCCTCACGGCTGCTTGATTTTTACCATTTTTTCAGATCTTACCATGTTCCCACCTCGTTATTTTCTTCACTTTTTTTGCCTTTTGTTTTTGTTTTATGTTTTTGCAACCGTTCGTCGCTAGACTGGAACACCATCTGTGCAGTCAACTCCTCTCTGCGTCACAAGTCTGCCGACGTACATGGCGAGCTAATGGCCAAACTGGTAACAGCGGAAAAGCTGTCCCTATGGAGGTAATGGCCCGTTTCCTCTGACTGGTACAGTACGAGTTTGTAGGTCTCACCTTTATCAGGTTTGCGTTTCTACTGCCTAAAGGGTACCAAGGATACCCTTTTAGTGGGCGTGGTATACGACAGAAAGTTTCAGTTAACGTCATTCTCGCTCGAGGAAATCTTGCTCGAAAAAAAGCTGTACCTGTCGTTCACATATTATATGAGAAGTACTACTCACAAAACAGAGGCTTTATACACATATATACTTGATATACATATATACGTGATACTTCTATGATTTGATTAGAACTGCAGATTAATGACGTCTGTAACGTCTGCAATTATATAAATTAAATTCATAAACGCAACATACGTGAACCCTTACAGTCTCCGATATGTTACCAATTACAGAAAATCTACACACAGCATACATTTAGTCCTTATCTGGGTTCAAAAACAACACACAACATATAGCCCAACCAGTGCAAACCTCTCATCTGTCACTTTAATATTCACCAGCACATGTAACCTCTGTTAGAAAGTAATCCCGTCATATAATCAGGTGATAATAATAGTTATACAGGGCAGTTTGTTCATGTTTTAGGTTGCTGAAAGAATCATTCACTCCTTTGTTTTTTCGGGCTTTACTCTCACGTTTGTCAGTTTCTGAAAGGATCAGATGTCAGAAACACTTCAATAATCACGGTCACGTTATTTCAAATATAGACGCGCACACGAGTGACCGCGAGCTCCCTGTAAAAAGTGAAACCGTTCGCACTTTTAGACAGCCTCGTAAAACAAAAACAGAACACGGCAGATTTTGTTTTTCTTGGCTTTGTGGCTGTTCTTTAAGATGACGTAAAGGTTTGCTCGTTATTATATGTATATTTTATTATGATGTAATGTCTCAGCTGTTTATTTAAAAATAGACGTTTCTTTGTTTTCATTCTCCTGCTTGTGTATGCATGAGTGACGTTTCTCTGTAAACCAATAGCGCTCAGCTGCTAGTGTCAGAGTCCAGCTCTGCTTTTTGGTACCCTTTAGTTGTGCTAGGCACCCTTTGCAAAGGGTACCCAAAAAGTAGTACGGTTCGCTTTTAGGTATTTTTGACAGTGGAAACGGCCATAAAAGTGTACCGAACTGTACTGTGCCGTACTACTCAGTGAAAATAGGCCATAAGTGGTCAGCTGGTAGGCTGAAAATAAACAGAAGCCGTCGGCAGCGCCATACTGCCACGTAGGATTTCTTTTTAAAGACATAATGCAGCCATACGTAGCTCTGGCTACATAATCGGCACTCAAGAAATGTATATGGGGTACATTTTCATAATGAGCTTGTGTTGTCAGCTGGCCCAGCTGCGAGGCGAAACTGTTAACCACTGATCCCCCATTTATTTACTAGTTATACAGTACAAAATTTTTAAAAAGTAAGTAAGTGGTCTTGTTTTTATTTGTGTTGACTTAAAGTTGGTTAAAGCTTTCTCACCTGAATGGCCGCCTGAAGGCTTTGGCCTTGCATAGTACTGTACTCTTGCATGATTTTTGTCAGGTCAATTTCTGAACGGCTCACAATGATTCTGATCAGCGTGTCATTGTCAGTTCCCAAACCCTGAAAGGCCATGGTGAAAACGAAAATGTCAAAAGCTGAGAACATCATGCAAGTACATCATGCAATATGTTCAATGAATTCATTCACTTTACCTTCATCGCAAGATGGAGTTTTTCTGCAAAGTATGCCGGTTTGTTCCAGGCAGACTTCACTAAACATGAAAAATAGGAATAATGTGAGGATTCTTGGGTGGTAAGAAGCGGTTAGGTTCAAAAGTTGAAGTCAACATTACTGCTTGATTTAGTAGCTATTGTATCTTTGTACCTATCTACGTGTGATAAGCTTTAGCATAAAAAAAAGCTGACTGCACCCACCCTATATCTGGAAAAACAAGCTCGCAGCTCCATTTTCTTTCATAGATTTTTGCATTACTGAAGCATCAAACATGTCTAGAATTGTACACACACCCACGTACATTCATTCAACTGAAACGAGCACTTGTTTCCTTACCAATGGTCAGCAGGCAGTCTTCAAGGTGTCCATGCAGCTCACTCTCAAGAGCTTTGGCAAAACCCTTCTTGCTTAATTGGCCGTAATACTGGAAAGCTGAAGAAACATTTAAACTCTTAGCATCTAAAAATATAGTCAACTACATTTGCTCATGCTAATTTTTGTATGCATGTTTCCCTCCACTTACTTTTGACCAACTGAGCATCACTCCTGGTTGTAAGAACATCAATCAGGACTGAAACAACAGTACCAATCCGATGCTCTCCTGCCTCGTATAGAGCCTGAGAAAACAACGGTTCAACGTCAGAAACAGTGAGTGCATTTAAAGATTTGTTAAAAATATGGCACTTCATTTTAAGAAACTGCTAAATATTTTGCTCGGGGTGTGCATTGCTACCCTTTATAAGTTAACACAATCTAGCAGTATTAATTGTAGATACTCTTTTGCTTTCAGTCCGATTGGTGGAGCTAAAGGATTAATGCATTATCTTTGTAAACAATCTACCGCCCACTCTCAACCCTGCCCTGAGATGACATGAACTCAAGCAACGATGCTGTTTTTCCAGATTTTCTATGGCGCTTTGTCAAAGCATGTCTTCCAGAATTCATACCAAATGCTCTGCATTCCAAGTACAACCCATTACAAGGTGAGTTACTGAGTAAACTGACTATGCTAAGTAAGTGGTAGATGTGGAGACACAAAAGAACAGCCCAGACAACACCCGTACGTCTGCGAGATGTATTTAAAAAAAAAAGTGTTTGGTCTGGAAAACATCTGAGGTATGATAAATGACTTAAAAGGGTCTACTGTACTTTAAACGTCCTAAATGCATATTCTAAATGTCTTCCAAACGGAGACATCTGATAATGTAGATGAGCAAACACTTCAATAAATGTCTTCCATGTGTAAAAACAAAACGTCGCCTTGGAATTATAAGTTTCTGTCTGCGTTCTAAATGATTTTTGAGATACTGAGCTTTAAAGTTTTTGCATATAGCAAACAATATGCAGGGATGGGCAAAATACATTGAAATGTTTATTAAAATAAAATACAAAATACATCAATTTTAAGTGTATCAAAATACTCTACAAAATACAGCAGCCACAAATATATCAAAATAAAATACTGTATTTTGTATTTTGAAAATACTGCAAAGAAATGGGAGCATGCCATTTCTACACAAATCTATTATCGACAGGCCTATTCGATCAATCTTCTTACCATTAAACTGACTTAGTAAAATAGACAATGATTGATAGCAGCAGCATTTATCAGAGCAAGTTTAAGTCATTCTCTGCCAACTCATTTGCCTCTTTACACAAATAGGACAGTGCTAACCACTGAGCCACCATAAATAATTTTTATTATTTATTATTTATAAAAATAAAAAAAATCTGTTTTTTTGCAAGTGAAATCTTTCATACTTAATGTAAAAACATGAATTAAAATTCATGTTTGATTTGGGCCTCCATGATTATGAAAAACAATAATTGGGATAAAACAGTTAAATTGCATCACACACCTCTCTAAATGTCTCTATATTCATACCTCCTCAAAGCCTGACAGCAATAAAAACATGTACTGTAAGTGGACTTTTGCAGCATGGGACAGGATGGTTATTTGTATTATTGAGTGTTTACTTTATATTATTAAGTAATTTAATCATGTTTTTAAAAGCACAAAACAGAATTTGTGCTGCACAATGCATGCGCTCTATGGGATGTATGTTCACCAATGTCAAGAGCGAATCTACGCTCTTGTGTGTGCATTTGAAATGTAGAAATGCTCAGAAAGAACCCTAAAGAAACAAGCTAGAGTTCAACTTTGAAGCCTTTTTTGTTTTTTAAATAAAAAGTCTCAAAATATAAACCACCAATAACAAATATATTCCATAATGTAAATAAGTTGTGATTTAATAAGAATATGTGAGTGACTCAATTTTGAGAAAAATGTCAGATAGAACCTTGTCATTCTAAGGTGACGAAATATCAAATAGCTATTTCTTCAGTATTTAGGTGCTATCAGAATTGATAACAAACCATGCACACTCTTAAAATGTTTTGATGTTTTTAGTATTGTGCAAAATACAAAAATCAACAACAACAACATGCAAATCTATCAGGAATTACCACGACTAATTATGTGAGTGCCTCAAGGCTCTGTGCTTGGCCCCCTCCGTTTCCTCTGTATTTACAACCTTTCTGGACACAAATCTGGAATCTGAATCTGCCGGATTCAACACTGAAAACGGCTACCTTGCGGTTATTTATAAAACACTGGATAAACGAGATAAACCTCATCCTTAACTGAATAACTGCACATACATGAAGATTCTCACTTTACAACATCAGACCCTCCCTTCATAATAATGCTGTAGTGATCAACGATAAAATCAGGAACTCAATGATTGTGAAAAGATTCATTCTCAAAACATTTCAGTTAGAACATGAAAAAATGCCTCTTTGGAGTCGGGTAAAGTCATACTTTAACCCAGGGACTGTCTTTGTTGAAGCTAATCACTTCTTGACAACACGAAGGAAAACTTCAGTTGCATTGATCACAGAATGAACCATTTGTCTTTTGTTTTTCCACTGGGTAGTATGAGAGGCCACTGACCACAACTAAACTACAGCGAAAGGCAAAACCAAATCAGCATTTGCCTTGTTTCCCAATCCAGTAAATGATTAGACTCACCAAACCGGTTTTTGTCATGTGCCTCAGGCACAAAGTGACATGATCATCGAACACTAAATATTTAATTTCATAAAATGGACACAAAACGGAGCAAATCTACTTTATACAGCCTGATCTCATGAGTAAACGTAAGTATTTTATGTTTTGCCAGTTTAGTGGATAATTCGTACGAATTTGTACAAGTTCAGTTGTACGAAATTGTACGATTTTAAAAAGGAGTCATGGCACCTAACTCCACCCCTAAACCCAACCATTGGGGGTGAGCAAATCGTATTAAATTGTACGAATTAGATCGTACGAATTCATATGAGTTAGCCACTAAATTAAAAAGTTACGAATTGCTGTACATTTGTGTTGACTTTATAAAGTATATTTTAGTGTTTGAGTGCTTCCCAACACTGGGGGTTGTACTCTCTTTGATTGTTTTGGCTAGAAGGGCATTCAAATCACTTTAAAGTTGGGCGAACTTCGTGTTGTAACTTCTGCTTTTTGTCGCTATTAATACACACACTGAGGACTACACATCGAATAACTTTATTCCCTCTAACACCAGTGCGCACACAGACAAAGGCTACATCTTCAACTACAAACACACATCAGGGCCATACCATTACATAAACTGTGTGGGGGTAAATCTGGACTAAACCATTCACTGCTTATACTACACTTCGCATATTTCGCAGAGCTAAAAACAATACAATTTCTTCCATCGTGGCTAGTGTGGCACAGATGCTAGAACTAGCCTTTATGCATGCGTGACATTGTTAATTGTATGGCAAGTGTAAACGCATGAATTGAATATCGGTCACAATTAAAGCAACGTGTAAACAGACAGGCAAACAAATCAGATATAGGCAACAAATCGAAATTGGGCATCAAGACCTAACAGTGTAAACGGGGCCTAAGTGAGTGTTTGAGATACTCCAATGTGTGCAACCTTGCATATTACTGTACTGTATGTATATGAAGTATAAGTAAAGTTCTAACTGTTGACCTTGCAAAAGCTGTTCCCAATCTCATGTTCTAGAGAAAGAATAAAAACATTCTCTTAAAAAAGACAGAGAGGTGTGGTTGTGTGTTGGTTGTTTTGTTGTTTTAAGTGTTACTCCTCTGAATGTCTGCCAGAAAACAAAGAAGCCGTGAACTTGGGAAGATTTAACAGCAACTGTAGAGCAACCACGAGTGCTTCCCTCAAGTACTTCAGTCTCTGTAACTTCTGTTCGAAAGATCCACTTCTGCATGTTCCAGATTATCTGGACTGCTCAAAGCTTCCAGACTGATTTGCTCTGCATAAAGCTTTAGGACCTTCACCTTTTAGGATCCGGAAAGAGGATCCTCTTTCCTTTTACTACATTATCAAAGCAGTTAACACTTTTTTTACCAATTCTCTTATCAGAGACCATGGCAATAGTGTGTTCCATGACATTCTTATATTTTCATTAGATCAGTTAAAACCTCCTCAGTTATTCGTTATTTTAGTATATGGTTTACCTTACTCTATCTTATCCTTAGAGACAGGGCCGGAGTGGGACTCCTTTTCAGCCCTGGAGTTTCAAGCCTCAGACCGGCCCACCTCAGTTCACGACTGACTATATTAAAATAAGGTCATTTCCAATTCAGTTTCTAATAACACTATCACGAATTTTTTTGGAGAAAACAGCTGCTTTAGAACTTCAAATGTTCAACAACCCTAACAGTATTATATTTCTTAACAATAGAAATGAAAAAAAAAACATACTCGGACGAGAATCAAACTCAAAGTCGAAGTCGGCGGCGTCGTAATCTAACGTACTAACCACTGGACCATAATAGTTGTATGTAGAGAAGTGACTCATCTTTATATCATCATTATATCATCATTAACCTGCAGGCTGGTTATGTATATAAAAAGAGCAGAGCTGCGGTAAAATATTGAATAAGAAGACTGTGGTCAAGTAAATAAATAAATTAATTTAAAAAGTGTGACTGCTGAGAGCAACAGATTCTGGAGCTAGGGACACCAGCCCTCGGGCCAAAAAACGGACCAGCCCACCGGGAAATCTCCCGGTCCTCCCGATTAGCCAATCCGGGCCTGCTTAGAGAAGAGTAACTCATCACATCTTCCAACTGAAACACATTCATGCATTTTTTTTATTATTGTTCACTTCATTTATTGCCCATTTAGCAGTTTTTAGTTATCCTTGTTTATGTTTTCAATAAATAATCATTCATTACAATTGTGTCTGCCTTGTGTTGATAACGCAGTATAAAAGGCTCTACAAGTCAAATGATATCTAACAAATCCTTCAGACTGGCTAGATGATAAACCTCATTATTTATTCATTTTCCTTCGGTTAAGTCAGGGGTCGCCACTGCAGAATGAACCGACAACTATTCCAGCACATGTTTTACGCAGCGGATGCCGTTCCAGCCACAACCCAGTACTGGGAAACACCCATACACTCTTACATTCACACTCCTACACTACAGCAAATTGACCTATAGTGCATGTCTTTGGAGTGTGGGGGAAACCGCAGCACCCAGAGGAATACCACGTAAACACAGGGAGAACATGCAAACTCCACACTAAAACACCAACTGGCCCGGCCGGGACTCAAACCAGCAACTTTCATGCTGTGAGATGACAGTGCTAACCATTGAGCCACCATGCCGCCTTTATAAATGGCATCAGATTTATATAAATAACTGTAACAATCTTTGATTGTTAATTTTTGACCGGGTGAAATCTTGTGCCCCTGAAGGAGGAGCTATTCATCTGACCCCCTTCAGATCAATATCTGAATATTAATATCCACCCCAATATGAATGTTCATTTTTGGGATTAATATATCACTCATTATTTGGTGGCACATGAGAGATAAATCAAAATATCACTTCATTGCTCTGGTTCCAGGTAATGTTTTCGAGACTACTGTTTTCAAGACTATCATGTGTCTGATCTTCAACTGGTATAAAACATACTACAATAGACTTTTTAACGCCTCAGCATTCCTGTAACTAAGCATTCATGCTAACAGGTTAAACTTGCTCTGCTGGCTACCAGCTCACAATGTTTGAATGCTATTTTTTTGTCGTCCAGGTCCCTGAACGGCAACTGTCCTGCATGTTTTGGCTCCTACGCTTAACCCCAGGACATACCAATCCACCATCATAGAACAAGCAGTCACAAAAGCTGCAATCACAAGCAGTCACTTTTCACCTCATTTGGGCTATCAGGTGTTTTTGAAGTTGTCAAAGGTATGTAACTCCACACTTATCTCATGAGATTCACTCATTTTCTTAGTCCCTTTATTAATCTGGGGTTGCCACAGCGGAATGAACCGCCAACTTATCCACCATATGTTGTACATAGCAAATGCCCTTCCAGCAGCATCCCATCACTGGGAAACATCCGTACACTCTTGTTCACACACATACACTACGGACAATTTAGCTTACCCAATTCACCTAGCACATGTCTTTGGACTGTGGAGAAACGCAGAGCACCCGGAAGAAACTCACGCGAACACGGGGAGAACAGGCAAACTCCACATAGAAATGCTAACTGACATAGCTGAGGCTCAAACCAGCGACCTTCTTGCTGTGAAGTGACAGCACTAAACACTGCGCTACCGTGCCGCCCATGACTATTAATTATTATAACATAAATAAACAGGTGGCACTATGGCTCAGTGGTTAGCACTGTCGCCTCACAGCAAGAAGTTAGTTAGTTCGAGTACCGGCTGGGTCAGTAGGCATTTCTATAAAAACAAACGAGTGTAGTGATGGAGACAAAATGGCAGCAAAAGCAAACAGGAAGTGAACAGGCTGAGATACTTTAGCATAAAAGTCCTAAATACAAAACAGGGGAGACGACAGCAATTGCAACAGTAACTCGATTATAGTAAACACTATTGTAGTAATGGAACTTAGCACAGTACCTTTGCATCAGTGTGTGCAAGCGCATCGTCAATGTTGTAGCCTTCAGGTCTGGTGGCCTAACATTATGAGACACATATTCAGTGCGTAATATTTAGCTTGCTTACGTTATAATATAAACTAGCTGTCACTTTTTACCTGGCAAAGGGCAAGCAGGGTAGTTTCAAGTTGTCCACTAACTTCACTTTTGATATTTTCCTCCAGCAGCTCCCCATATGCTGTGGAACATAACCGTAATTAGCAGCTAGCTTTCAGCAAGTACATTCAGGACTTGAATCTGTCTTGTTACCTTCTCTGAAGGAATTTTTCATGGCTTTGATCTCGTTGTTTGTTCTGGTCCCAAGAATTTCACTTAATACAGCCTCATTTGTCCCAAGACCCTGTTCATTAATTACATATATTGTTAAAAACCTTAAATAAAGCATTGGATAGCATTGTGTTGCTAATGTTAACATGTAAACAGTTAAAATATCACAACAGAAGCAATCCAATTTTTGCAGTTTTGATTGCAGAAATGATTTTTGTTGAACATAAGAAGATTCTGTCAGGACCTTCATGGCTTTTCTCATCTCAAAAGCATCATATTCAGAGGGGGTCATCAGCAAGGCCAGGACCACATCCTCAAGATGGGAGGAAAGAGCCTTTTTCAGTGCATCTGCCAGAGGCTGAATCACCAACAAGATACAAAAGGTTACTTACATCAAGATTACATCAACATTTAGGTCAGTCCTTAATAGCTCAAAAAAGCTCTCCACGTTGATTTTGACTGTTTAACTGTGTCATAAACAATCTAAACCACCACATATTTATTTGTTAATCTGAGACCTTTCCACCACCAGATATTCATCAATGTAAAAATAAACTTAACTTTCAGAATGTAGGCTTGTATGTATTAAAACAGAACTATGCATGTGTACTTGTGGAAAGCACCGCAGAAGTTTGGTGAAAGCGCCCCCTACTGGTAACATTTAGCATAAATCTACTTATTAACTGTGAAACATTTGCTTAATAATCTTTCGTAAACTATTTTACAATTCCTGAGGTAATTTAAGGTAACAATATCGTTGATGTGCTTGGCTCTGTCTATTTAGTGTCTCCTTTTTTATTAATCTTAAGAAACTTGAAGAAAGTCAGAGTTCATATTTCACTGACAAATAGCTGAACTATGAAAACAACGTTCATTCCACACACACACATACGCACACACACACACACACACACCTCATTAACATCATTACACAAGTAAACAAGTCGAGCATGTTGGAAAATAAGATTATGTAGAATATGTTATACCTTTCCTGTGCTCTGTTGATAAGCTGCTTTAATCTGCTGTCTTTGTGCATTGCTCCTCTTTGCCAGCACCTCTATAATAGCTGCTTCATCCACACCTTCATGAGGAAAACAAACAGAATATCAGAAGGTATCAAAATATCAAAAGGTTTATGTTTTTATGAGTTTACCCATACAGAAAAATGATAAATGCAAATTACATATATGACACAGAAGTTCTGATTTGGATTTTATGCTTCTAAAATATTTTATTAATGCAATTAATAGTTTGAAATATTGGAATGCCCGCTTATATTTTTTAATTATAAATATGTACGTTTAAATACATATGTAAATTATTAATTTATTCATTTTTAATATAGACTTCTTTAAAACTGTGAATATTTCACTTTAATTTTATTTAGGATAGATTATTTTATTTAACAAACAAACACAATCTCACTGCAATTCGTGTTACAGCGCATAAAGCGGACTTGTTTTGTGCTTCACCTCAGATGTTATTCGTTATTCTTGTTTATAGATAACAGACCAACAAAAGATACATTAAAATTAGGATACAAATGATAGCAAATGAAATTCATTTCAAAAAGATTTTTTTTCCAAGCAAAATATATAAATTATATTTTTGTTTGTGCCCCTCCACTACTCAACTATACAGGTGGATGATTTGTTTCGCTCAGAATTATTAGCTCCCCTGTTTATTTTTTTCTCCCCAATTTCTGTTTAGCGCAGAAAAGATTTTTTTTAAATACTCATCTCTAATAACTGATTTATTTTATCTTTGCCATGATGACAGGACATAATATTTTACTAGATATTTTCAAGACACTTCTACACAGATTAAAGTGACATTTAAAGGCTTAACTAGGTTAATCAGGGTAACTAGGCAGGTTATAGGGTAATTAGGCAAGTTATTGTATTACGATGGTTTGTTCTGTGACTCTTGAAAAAACAAAAATGCTTAAAGGGGCTAATAATTTTGTCCTTAAAATGGTGTTTAAAAAATTTAAAACTGCTTTTATACTAGCCAAAATAAAGAAAATAAAACTTTCTCTAGAAAAAAAAAATGATCAGACATACTGTGAAAACGTCCTGGCTCTGTTAAACAACATTTGGGAAATATTTGAAAAAGAAAAAAAATTCAAAGAGGGGCTAATAATTCTGACTTCAACTGTATATTTGCTATTTTTTTTAATATGTCATTATTTTAAAGATTATGTCTTGAGCATTTGATTTTTCCTTGCTGCTGCTGTGATTTCATTTTCTCCGTCTCACTTGCGGCAAGTTCAGGCCAGAGATTTTAGATTTTAAAGAAAAATAGCTTAATAACAAAAAGGAAACATAAGTTTTATCCTATATATCTATGTCATAAGGAATGCCTCTAAATAAGGTAGTTATTAGTTGTCAGCGAGCATCATAGTTTACTGAGATTGACATTAGATAAAAAAATTAACTTGAAATAAGAAATATGGTTTTGGCAACACTTGTGACTGCTTATTTGTAAAATAATGCTCGTCGTAGATGTCACGGAATGAGTCTTGGTGAAGGAACGTGTAGTCTGGCACATTTGTTACCCACAACAAGTCAAAATTTTATCAAGACAAAAATCACATCATCTGACATAGTGACTTTCATAACCGACAATCGTGTGATCTGACCGGGGCTTAAATAATTGTGTTGTTTCATGTTTTTTTTTCTAAAGAAAATAATTTTGTTCATCAAGACGCCATTTATAAAATGCGATAAATATTGTTAAATATTCATTAACATTTTAAAAAACTGCTTTCTTATCGTGTGAAATTTCAAATAAAATTATTACTCCAGTTATTATTGCTTTTATTACTAATACTGTTAATAATGATAATAATAATTCACTCATTCATTTTCGGCTTAGCTCCTTTATTTATCTGGGGTCGCCACAGCGGAATGAACCGCCTGCTTATATGTTTTACGGAGCGGATGCCCTTCCAGCCGCAACCTATCAATGGGAATAATAAATATTAATAATTAATGTTAGAGTGATTTCTGAAGGATCATGTGACTCTGAAGACTGGAGTAATGAAGCTGAAAATTCATCTTTAAAATCACTGGAATAAATTAATAAATTAAGTTATAAACGTTTCACAATTTTACAATTTGTACTGTATTTTTGATTAAATATATGTATGCAGCCTTGGTAAGCAGGAGGAGCTTATTTTAAAACATTTAAAAACCCTACTGACCCCAAACTTTTGACCGGTAGTGTAGTTTGAACAAACAGCAAGCGTTTGAGTGCGCGCAACATAAAACAGGTTTTGTGATCCAGGGTCACATTTGCCCCAGTGCTGACGAACAGAAATACTTTCTAAGAAAGGTTTCCAGGTACCGCAGGGGTGTGTCCTCCACACCTTTCCTTAAAAAACCACAACATATCGCTTGAATAAACCTATAATATATCACAGTCAAATGAACTCAAAATACACATTCAGAAAAACATTATCTGATACATTTCCGACTATAAACAAAAAGTAACATTCATTCATTTTCCTTTGGCTTACTCCCTTTATTCATCAGAGGTCACCACAGTGGAATGAACCGCCAACTTATCCAGCATATGTTTTACACAGCTGCAACCCAGTACTGGGAAACACCCATACACACTCATTCACACACACTATGACTAATTCAGTTCATCCAATTCACCAAAAGCGCATGTCTTTGGACTGTGGGGCAACCCAGAGCACCTGGATGAAACGTATGCCAACATGGGGAGAACATACAAACTCCAAAGAGAAATGCCAGCTGACCCAGCCGGGACTAGAACCAGCAACCTTCTTGCTGTGAGGTGACAGTGCTAACCACTGAGCCATGTAATACATCAATAATACAGTATTTTTTCTTATGTGTTGTTTACCTTTTGTCTCAATGGCTTTCTTCAGAACTGCAGCATCATTCTGGGCATTAAAGGCTTGTGAAAACTTGACTGTTCCTGAGGGTCCTGCATCTTGAAAAGGGGCTGGAGATCCCTATAGTGGAACATGCAGTAACAACCACTGAATGTCAGAGCATGGACTACTTATTAACAATCATCCTGAGGTGTGCTTTAAATGCATGTACATAAAAATAATAGTTTGGTGCTTACCTTGCTGCCATCTTGACTAATTTTTTGGAAGAAGCTATTGAAGAAAGCCATCCTTTAAAGAAAACTACAAGTGAAAGCATTGCAGGAGTAGTTATTGATCTCTTCATTTATACTGTAAGTCATTTATTTAAAGTTAAAGAGATTTAAGATTTAATAAAGTATTTATAATTAGTAATATCTCACCTGTTTCACTGTAAAGTCTGGGAGAGCTTTCGTGAAATGGAGGTTTTCAAGAACATAAGCTGGCTTTTTATTCTCCAGGCTTAGCTTTTGGGATGGGTGGAGGGGTTGGACCTGTTTGTTCTGGTTGCACCTGTTTTCATTCGTTTAAATCACACCGGATCACACAGATTTACAGTATGAAAAATTAACGCTTTCAACACTCATTCTGTGGATTTACATAAAATGACATGGATTTCTTCTGTTAAGCTGATTATATTTTCTATTTCATTCATTCATAATTATCAGTGCATAAGAATGACATAACATGAAGGTGAATTATCCGAAAACTTAATGCACTATTAATCCAAAACTAAATTAATCCAAAAACTCACTCATTTTAATTTTAATGCTTTCCAAAAATGTTTAAATAAAAATATAACAGCAATAAAAATGGATATTCTTTAAATGCTTAAGTTAATTTAATTAAATTTTTAATTGAAAAACAATCTTTTTAAATAATACAATTTAATTGTTAAAAATAACATATAATGAGGCTAAATTAATCCAAAAATTCTGATTTTTTTTCTTTTTTTTACTCATTTTATTTTTAATCCTTCAAAAATTTATCAATGAACGGATTATCCTTCAAATGCTCATGTGTACAAAATCTATAATTTATTTAATTAAATTAATTAATTAAATAAGTTTATATAAAATATAATTAATATTAAAAAACTATATACATATATATATATATATATATATATATATATATATATATAGTTCAATAATAATAATTATTATTATAATAAACTATAATAAACTGGTTGTTCTTCAAATGTTTATGTTTTTAAAATCTATCATTTAATTTTAATTTAATTTAATTCAATACAATTTTATTTCAAATTTAGTAATTAAATATAACAAAACATGAGGGGAAACTAATCCAAAAACATTGTCATGCTCATTTCAATTTTCTAAAAATAAAACTAAAAATAAATAAATAAATAAATTACATTAATTTAATGGTAAAGGGTATCTTTAAGGGCAAGCTAAATAAATTCTTTCATACTACAGATGTTGACTCAAATTTGGGCTCAATCTAAGGTCAAGTCCTTTATATTTATGTTTAAAATTTCTCAGCGGCCCAAAAAATATTAAAAATAATTCAACGCATGCAATGCAAAAAATACCCAAATCCAAATTTGAACTCCAAATAACCCCTAAAATCCATCTAGTAACAGAACCATAGGCCAAAATTCAGGTTGTAAACAGTGGTTTGGTGTAGTAAAGTTGAATAAGTTTTATTGTGTAAGTATAAGCTGTGTGTGTGTTTAAAATGTGTATCATACTTTCAAACAAAAGAAAAATGCACAACAGCTCACAACCAGTTTGGTTGCTTCTTTCATGGAACTGGGAACTTTATCTTTGAGATCAGAGTCTTCATAGTGTCACTAAAATAAGCAAATGATTCACACTTCTCAGCTTAGATTTATTCTAAAACACTGAACACAGAAAAGAAAACAACTGTAGCAATTACACAATATGAAAATGTATAGGTAACACTTATATTTATACATATATTATGACACATACTGGAGCAGCACAGTGACGCAGTGAGTAGCACAATCGCCTCACAGCAAGAAGGTCACTGATTTCAGCCTCGGCTGGGTCAGTTGGCATTTCTGTGTGGAGTTTGCATGTTCTCCCCGTGTTTGCGTGGGTTTCCTCCGGGTGCTCCAGTTTCCCTCACATATCCCAACACCTATGGTATAGGTGAAGTGGCTAAGCTAAATTGTAGGATGTGTGTGAATGAGTGTGTATGGATGTTTCCCAGTGATGGGGTTGCAGCTGTGTAAAACATATGCTGGATAAGTTGGCGGTTCATTCCGCTGTGGCGACCCCAGGTTAATAAAGGGACTAAGCCGAAAAGAAAATAATGAATGAATGAATGACATACCACAGACAAAAAACTACAATTAGACACTTAAGATACAATTAGACATAAATCATTTGTGTGAATGTGAGTGTGTATGGGTGTTTCCCAGTGATAGGTTGTGGCTTTGTTCTACTGTAGCGACTCCCCCGATTAATAAAGAGACTAAGCCGAAAAGAAAATGAATGAATGAATGAATGAATGAATGAAGTCTGTAAAATAACAGAAAACTTACTGGCAGATATTCCTTTGTTCATTCATTTTCTTTTTTAGCTTAGTCCCTTTATTAATACGGGGTCGCCACAGCGGAATGAACCGCCAACTTATCCAGCATGTTTTTTAAGCAGCGGATGCCCTTCCAGCCGCAACCCATCTCTGAGAAACATCCACACACACACTCATGCACTACGGACAATTTAGCCTACCCAATTCACCTGTACCGCATGTCTTTGGACCCGTGGGAAACCCACGCGAACACGGGGAGAACATGCAAACTCTACACAGAAACGCCAACTAGCCCAGCCAAGGCTTGAACCAGTGACCTTCTTGCTGTGAGGCACTTGTGCTAACCACTGCACCATCGTGCTGCCAATAGGCATAGTCACAGCAAAAAAAAACACACACACAAACACACACACACACACACACAGAGCACGTAGCCTATAAACGTGTTTAATATATATATATATATATATATATATATATATATATATATATATATATATAAGTGCCAGGGAGGAAATAAACTACCCAGATGTTGTCTGTTTAGATAAAAAGGGAAAAAAACGTGAGTCGGAAGTGTTTAATGATCATTTCCGGGCAACGCTCATGGTCAAATAGAATCCAACATGGCTGCTCACATGTCCAGACTGAGGGGCTGGAGCCGAGCGCAAAGGTTTGCTCTAAAGTCTTTTTAAATGTCCAGTGTGATGAAATGCATTACACATTTCGAGGTGCGGCAACATGTATGTTCTGACTTCGTAAAATAATGTATTTCGTATGTTTTCTGCGCCTTATAAAGTCGCTTTATGGCGGTAATGTTGGAGACGTACAATATCTCGCGTGTTTTTCCTCCACTTCAATCAAATTAACGTTAAATTGTGTTGACAGCAAATCTCACAACTCCCGCTGTGGATAAATTAATGTTCTTATTGCTGCTCATTTAACTGTGTTGTTGTTTAATGCTGAGAAACCTGCAGAAAAGTCAGTATGGGGGTGTAAAACTTTAGGTAAAGTTGGTTTTATATTTGCACATTCGTTCAGTGACAACTTCTGACACGCTTCCTATATTATTTACCATGGTATTTTCAATATTCGGTCTGAAATGACAGTATAACTTCAAAACAACATTAGCGCTATTTAATACACTGTGAACAACGTTGTACGATGATATTCACTGGCATTGAGGTAAAGTTGATGTTATATTCACACATTCGTTCAGTGACAACTTGTGACATGCACCCTCTATTGTTTACCATGACTTCAAAACAGCATTAGCACTACTTAATAAACTGTGAATAACGTTGTTAGATAGTCATTGACTCCTAATGTGATCTCTATTTAGAATTAGCAAAGAACACTTTTCTGAAAATATATTACTAAAGTAAAAGTCCAAATATTAAACAATCTTTACCCCAATGTCACTGGCTGCTAATATAATTTCCCTGTTTAGAATTAGCAAATACTACATTTCTAAAATTATATTGGCAATTTATCCATAATAATATAAAACCAACCCTAATCCTTTGTGTAAAAAGCACTCCAATATGTTATTAACCCAAATGTAAGTGACTGTTGGGCAAAAATATGCTTGAGTAAAAGTAACAGGGTTCATACACATTTTAACTACTAAAATTCCATGACTTTTCCATGATTTTTTAAAGACTTTCTAGTAAGTTTTCATGAGCTAATGTTTCATGCAATGTCTACATTTGCGTGGTAAAAGAAAATTTATTACAGCATATCGTAAAACAAGCAGCAATCTATTTAGTTTCAATTTATATCTATCTGAAGTTGATTTAGATAATGCTTACACCTATGGGGTCAATCTAGGGCCATATATACTTGTAAAACAAAAGAAAGTTTTGCAAGCAAAAAAGAAGCATTGAGCAAAAAAAAATTTAAATCGCAAAGCAAAAATTTGATTTTAAGAAATAAACTTAATTTTGCTAAACTGCAAAAGGAAGATTGGGTCTTGAGAAAAAATGAAATTCGCAAACAAAAAAGAATTGCAAAAAAAAAAAAATTTAATTAATAAATTTCAGGCAGAGCAAAAAGATATATATATATATATATATATATATATATATATATATATATATATATATATATATATATATATATATATATATATATATATATATATATATATTCAACCGTTAGTTTGCGATGCTGTTTTTACTTTGCACTTCCTTGCAGCCCAGTAGGGTGTTGCCTATTGTAAACACCCAAGTTTCCTTGACTCCGTTTTGGGGCAAAAACAGCCCCACTGTTTATTACAGACATAACTGTATCTTAAATTTTCAACCGCTGCACAACAACTAGGACTACGTTCTCAGTTGTATAAAGCAAACAGTCATGCAAATGTTAATGTAACGAGGATTAGAGTTATAATAATGTCTGCAACTGCAACACTGTATCAAGCCTCCTTTCCACAGCACATGACATTTGGACATGACTGTCGGAATACGCCCCAATGAGACCAATCGAGGATCAAAATATGACCTATCTATACAGAAATTTTAAACATGAATCAATCAATAGCTTTTTTTAATGTCTAATCATCTCGTTTAATCCTGCTGTTTTTTTCGCAGCGCCGTACAACAGAATTTCGCACACACAAACTCTAGTGTGACTGCAGCTTAAATAAGTGGGAAAAAAAGCAAGAGCCATTATTCTCTGTGCGTTCACCATGGTTGAATGTATACTAGAAACTCATAGACAGCTAAAAATATTGGAGGAAATGTAGAGACAACATAAAAAATATATATTTTTATTGCTTCATTACTTGCATTTATGAGTAGAAATGTTTTTTATAGACTTGATAAAAAAAAACAAAAAAACAAATAAACTAGTATTTCTCATCACACACTGAAATACATCACATCCGGTCGGCCGGTCGCATACAGTCTAGTCGCAGGAGTTAAAATATTTCAGCGGATCCGCAGCTCAATTCGGATCTGAATATTCTGCATACGGAGATGATCGGAACTCCACTCAGCTCCCGCACTACTCTCCATTGGAAATAAATGACTTTTGGTCTGTCGCTTGTTGTGTGCAGTGGAAAGGTGGCTTCAGAGTTGCACAAGTTTGTTGATTCACAAACTATGCATGCTCTCTTTCTGTGAACACTTTAAAATATCTGCAGAGTTGTCCAAATTAACATCTTGTGAGTGTTTTATTACTGACACATGTCCGTACAGCAGGATCTAGCGAGACACGGTGGTCTCTGTTCCCGTCAGCGAATTTCAATATTGTTCAGCTACAAACCAAACCGTCTTCAGATCCATGCGTTTCAACAGATTTAGAGGGTTTTTACTGTATTTTACATTTAGGGTTACGTGGTTTATTTTAATGGATATAAATCGATAGATGAATAGAAGTCAGTCTAATTCAAAGCAGCAGCAGTTTTCTCTTGTAGTCCTGTCAGATTAATTTACTGAAGAAAAGGCCCAAATACTTTGAAGTTGTAAAGAATTCAGGAGCTTTGAACCTGTCTGTGCGTTTTTTTTTTATTATTAATATATACTTACATACACATATATATATATATATATATATATATATATATATATATATATATATATATATATATATATATATATATATATATATATATATATATATATATAAAATGCACAATGTTTCGAGTTTTTTTTATAGAATGATGTAGAAAAATAAGGAAATTATAGAAGGCAAAAAAAATGTTTTGCTAACAAATAAAGCTTTAAAATAAGCATTTTTGCTAGACAATCAGTTTGGGCCTTCAAAAAAAATTTTGGAAAAAATGTTGAGAACCCCTGGTGTAAATTTATCACTCCAGTCTTTGAATCCTCTGTATTGTTGTTTATTGATATGCAGGTATGGCATCGCAGTATGTCGACAGTACAGCAGCGGCAGCTCGTATCCCAATGTATCTCTGTCCACACCGCTGCCCGGCATCCCCAAACCTGTCTTCGCCTCAGTGGACGGACATGAGAAATACGAGACTAAAATCACCACATTAGAAAACGGACTCAAAATTGCATCGCAGAACAAGTTTGGGCAGTTCTGTACAGTTGGAAGTAAGTTCTGTGTCGTTTTCTGATGTTGTTTGGTTCATAAGAGCAAGGGGCAGTACCATGAAGCTGAATCAGCTGGCTAGCTAGCTAAGTTTTAGTGTAGTTTGCACTTATTCTGGGTTTTTGAGTACCACAAAGGTAACTCGGCTGCTGAGGATTACAATGGCAATAAAGAGTGATTAAAAGTCGAGCTGCCTTCATGTAGGCTTAAACTTAAGATTGGTGGAAATTAGCGCTGCACAACATATTGATTCAGCATCGATATCTCATTGTGATCATTGACAACAGTCATATCGCAGGATCTTGTGGGGATTATTCACAGTATTAACCCAAACAATGACCAGTCTGTCAGATGAAGAGGAGAGATTCAAAATAAAAAAGGTTTACTGAAGATAGTTTGCAGTTTCATTAGCAGAAGCCAGCTTCAACACTTGCAATGCTTTCCTAGGCCGCTCTGCTTACAATCACAAATCAATAACAATTATACTCTTTACACAAGACCAGAAAGGGTGCGATTCAGGTAACAGGTTCTGATTAGTTAAAACAAAGATAGACAATTCTATATGTGTACATCAATGAAACTGAACTTAGCTAGCCAGCTAATCTAACTTCATGGTACTGGCCACAGAACACCCTTTGTACTGAGCGTTTTATTTCACCCTTTTGTTTTTAGTCTTGGTAAACTCAGGTTCACGTCATGAAGCAAAGTATCCCAGTGGAATTGCACACTTTTTGGAAAAGCTTTCCTTTTCTGTAAGTGTTAATATTTTGAGTTGGGTTTCGTTGATGGTTTTTATACTTCATTGCTTTGACGTTGTTATTCTGATTTAAAGTCTACAGCCCAGTTCGGAAGTAAAGACGAAATTCTGCTGACACTTGAGAAACATGGAGGGATATGTGACTGCCAAACATCCAGGTGTGTTGGGGACTTAAACATGCATGCACACAGACTCATGGGGACCTAAATTGGATAAACTTGCTTGAATCATACAGAATTCTGAAAATGTAAAAATGAAGAATGTTTATAGTTACGGTTGAGTTTAGGAGTAGGAGGATAGAATATACAGTTTGTACAGTATAAAAATCATTGCGGCTATGGGAATTCATTCATTCAAGTTAGGGCTGGGTGATTTTTTTCGATTAATTCGAATTTACGTTTTGACGACGATTTAATTTTATATTAAATTGAGAAATTGCAATTTTTATATTATAAAAATATTTAATACATTATAATGGCACCAATGCCCTTTGGTTCACTTTCTGTATGAAGCAGGTCGCACACCAAAAGTGCCGTTTGGCGACGCACCACGCAGCGCCATGGATTTTAGGTTCTAAACAGGTTCGATACACACACTGGCGCCGCCCAGCCACGATTCAGAACGCAGTTCATATTTCAGCCACGCCACAGAGCGCCATCTAAATAGTTTCATGTTAAATATCATGCGAATGTGCTCGTCTGGTGTGTGATCCTTTAAACTGTCATGTGCGCGCCGTGTCGCGGCGCTTCTGGAGTGCGACCTGCTTGACTGTCTGTTAAAGCGTGAAGTCGTGTAGGATTTTACTTGTTGCATTAGTCTGAGTCACGTCTGTGTGGATTGTCAAGACATATTCCCTCATCAAGTCGATAAACTCGATCTCAACATGTATGAAGGACGTAAAATCCTGCCATGTGAATAACCGCGCCAATCTTAGTTTGAACCGCGCTGATCTTTTGGTTTGAACACGAGCAGAGGTGAGCAGCAGCTCAGCAGCTGTAGTAATAAAAAGCGAAAGTACACGCCCCCATGACGTCATTTAGCGGACCTAGTTGAAAACCAGACAGATCAGTCAGCATAATACAGAGAGTGGTGCAAAGCGCATGAAATGATCGATATTTAAAAGGGGGGAAAAAGAAAAATAGAATAAATATATTATTTTATATTTGACACACATCTGGTGCTTGTATTTGCTCCTGCTATACGTCCACAACTTCACGCATTGGGTTAAATTAGGCTTTACAGTTTCCATGTTCAGTCCTTTACTTCCACTGTATCTTTTTAAGAAAAAGGCAGCAGCATTACAACCTGTCATTCAATCAGAGGAAGACAAAGTCAAAGCCGAGCTGACAGAAAATCTTTCCTAGGCTCAACAAAACTTGCAAAAAAATACCTCTGTATTCCTGCAAGTGCAATATTTACACAAATATTTTATTCAAATCTTCTTTTATTTAAAACAGTATTTAACTTGTGAATTTGTTTTACATTTATTTACACCTTGTTGACCAATTTATGTATGGCATGCCATTTAAAATACAATGATCCTTAACCAGATGGTTTTTCGAGTTACTTATAAAGAGAATGTTACTTTAGTCATGTTGTTGTAATGTTTTAAGTTGACTAGTTACACAATTAAAAAAGATTTTTTTTCAGTCAAACTTTATAAAAAACCTAGATTTTTTTTGACATATCGCCCAGCCCTAATTCAAGTGTTTTTGTTTAGCACTTTATCGTTCCAAAGCAGCTTTACCAAAGGTTATTACATTACCATAAAAATCAGAAAGGTTAAAGTGTTGTGTATGGCAATATAAATATAGTTCAACTTCAATTATACAGTATATAGAGTTTATCCGAAAAAGTGATGCTTATGTTTATATAATACATGTTCATTGAAGTTAATTAATTAATTATTACTAATAAAATCACTAGATTACGGGGTTTGACTCTTCAAAATATGACTTTTTCAAGTGTTCTCCCCACAAGAATAGCCAAATCGTGTGCGTGTTTGATGCTCTTTAGATTTTTTTGATCCTCGTGTTATTTAACATGCTTGATTTCTGTGTCATTTTTACAGGGACACAACCATGTATGCGGTTTCAGCTGAGGTGAAGGGTCTGGATACAGTAGTGCATCTCCTGTCAGATGCGGTTTTACAGCCTCGTTTATTAGGTTAGTGGCTGAAACGCAACTAATTCATTCAGGTTTTAATGTTAGGTTCAAGAGTTCACACTTAAGCTTGTTTGGCTTGCTGTCCCGGGAGAGAGCCCTGAGCTCATAAACTCCTAGAGCCTGGGCCTCCCTTCCGTTTGCAAGTCAAGAGGGGAGTTTGAGCTCTGGTAGATCTTGAGAACTCCCGTGCTGTAGTAGCTAATGAACAGATGGTGACTGCTATTAAGAAATAACTACTTATTAGGAGCATGTCAATGGTGATGATTTGAATTAGTCAAATGGGGGGGGGGGGGCGACGTGTTAATTCTGCACAGAAATGTCTGCTGGCTTGGTAAAGACTAGAACCCGTGACGTCTTTGCTGTGAGGCAACAGTGCTAATCACTAGGCCACCGTGCCACTCATCTAGAAAGGAGGAGGAGTATGGGTGAAAGTAGGGGATTCTTCAAAACGAAGATGGTTGTTATATGGATTTTAGGGTATTTATAGCGGCTAAGGAATCGTCTGATTGGTGAATCATAAATAATATAATGCGGTAACGGCTGCAAGCAATCATCCTCTCGAAATTAGTTTATAAATAAACTTCACTTATTGAGGATCTAATGCAGACTTGAGTGCTGCAGTTGCATAAAATCATTGCAACTACATAAATGAGGGGAACGCAGCATTTTATATTTATATTTCTTATTACACTTAAGAGATTTGACTTGTTCATCTCAGGAGTTCTCAAAATGAGGCGGTTGAAGTAAACGTTCACATGAAAATTAAAAAATATGTTTGTAAGGCTTTCATACATGCCAAAAAAAAATAAACAATAACTTTAAAGTTTATCAATGTTGTTTATTTTTCCTGAAAACTCGTGAAGGACCAAGAAGATTGAAGCGTCTCATTTCTCACAGGATGTTTTCAGTATTATTGCAGTTTTTCATGGTCATTCTAACATGGTAACTTGGCAAGAAAGGTGTCCACAAAGTGAGTCATTAGTATTGAGAAACAAACAATGAGTTGCTGTCTTCATTGGTTTGCTTTGTCTGATTTCTGTTATTTCTTCAGATGAGGAGATTGAGATGGCCAGAATGGCTGTTCGGTTTGAGTTGGAGGATCTGAACATGAGGCCTGACCCGGAGCCTTTACTGACAGAAATGATTCATGCTGTAAGTTAATTTTTTTTGTTTAACTAAAATGTACAGTGGATGTCTTCAATTTTGATTAGTTTTCATTCATTGTAATAAAACAAATTGGAAGTATTACTCTTCTTTATAATACACAGGTTTTAACGCATTAATTGCCTTCAGAGGGCTCATTTATAGTGCTCGGCATAATTGAGTACGCCCTATTTTGAAAGAATATTTTTATCCATTTCTCAGTGAATATAGGCAATGCGTTTTGGTGCATTTAAACAAAACAGATTTATTAAACTGATATATTTATTAAAATAATATTTTAGTAACCAAACATATTTAGAAATTGAGAGAGAATACAATTAAATTCAACTAAATTTTTACATTTTTGTTTGCTTCTCATTTTTTTATTTTTTATTTTTTTTAAAAATTTGTATTTAATATTTTTTTTATAACATATAAATTTGGGTGTACTAATTTTTGGACCGTTGCCGTAAGTTATTTTGTTAGATGAGCTCCTGATCTGGCTTCAGTACTGACTAATCTAATGTGTATGCACAAATATAATATTGTATAGCTTCCTATTAAAAGCATAGCTTTGTGAGGGGTGTACTCCTTATATGCTGAGCACTGTAAGCAATGGAAATTAAAATCTGAAAAAAATCAACCATTATAAAATCATTAACATGCATGCTAGAAAATAGGTGCTACATGTTAGGAGCTCGAGCGAGGCAGTGGCGCAGTAGGTAGTGCTGTCGCCTCACAGCAAGAAGGTCGCTGGTTTGAACCTCGGCTCAGTTGGCGTTTCTGTGTGGAGTTTGCATGTTCTCCCTGCCTTCGCGTGGGTTTCCTCCGGGTGCTCCGGTTTCCCACACAGTCCAAAGACATGAGGTACAGGTGAATTGGATAGGTTAAATTGTCCGTAGTGTCCTGCTCTGCCCCCTCATATTGGGCCGGCTGACTCGCATGCTTTTCCGCAAACACAGAAAAATGTAATTCAGCGCGTAACGAGGCTGAGCATTAAAACGACACGAACCGAAACCAAAACTTTTAAAAGTGAGATTTTCTTCCTTTCTTTTGTCCCTTCTTTCTTGAGATGCTTTGCCGCTTTCAGCAATGAATTGAATGATTTATTATATTATTTTGTTTGTTTTGTAGCAGAACTATTATTTATTAAATTGACATGCATATAAAAACAATAGTACAAAATAAATATTTCTTACTACAATGCTTCATTTATGTTTGATGCAAACCATAAACTTATTTTTCATAAAGTAGAAGTAGGACTTTATCTAGCAGATAACTTACGTTAAAGCACATTCAAGGCAGCATGATGAGAAGTATAATTCATTATTAGTATTATTGTCATCATGATCATCATTGTCATCATTGATATTTTATAGTTATTCAACATTCATTTTGGAATTATTGCACAAATATTAAGTCATCACAGTATTAGTTAGATAGTTGTTCTGGGTTTTGTTAGTCCCAATTGATGTTGTTTTCAAATACAATAAATCCCTTAATATACAACTTGTCAAATATATCATTCATTTTTGGTGGGTGCTCCTAATTTTTTTTTGGTGCTCCTTATATTATATTATTTTAATATTTCAGGTTGGGAGCACCGGTGCTACCAAGTAAGAAAGTTTATTTCGAGCCCTGTAATTATTTATTAATTATTAATTGATGGGTAAATGGGGTAAACTTGGACAGAATAACAGATTTTGCATTATTTTCTTTTCAGTTGTTTTTTTTTATTTCTTTACATTTCTTTGGGTTTTGGCATGATTTCTAGCTTTTGAGGATCTTTTGGTCTACTTCACTTTGTCAGGCAGGTCCTATTGTATGTATGTATGGTATGTGTGTGTGTGCGTGCGTGCGTGCGTGTGTGTGTATGTGTATATATATATATATATGTATATATGTATGTATATATATATATATATATATATATATATATATATATATATATATATATATATATATATATATATATATATATATACATACATACATACATACATACATATATATATAATGTGTATATATAACATAATATAATAATATAGAACTGGTTGTCTGTAGAGCAGTGATTACCAAACTTTTTCTTGGAGGGCCGGTGTCCTGGGAACACACGGGAACAAGCTAATCAAGGTCTTACTAGGTATACTTAAAACACCCAGGCAGGTGTGTTGAGGGAAGTTGGAGCTAAACCCTTTAGAGCACCGGACCTCCAGGAATGAGATTGGTGACCCCTGCTGTAGAGTAATATAAACTATTTAAAAATGTATGTTTGACCTTGTATATATCCTCGTTATTATGAATGATTTTGTCTGAATTGTTGAAATACTTTACTAGTGTACATAAACTTGCATTTGTATTTAATTACAGAACAATTTAACTATAAATAAATGTTTTTTTACAAGTTAACCAATTTAAAAATACAAAACCATAACCTTGGGATTAGTGAACACTGCGTAGAGAGCCTGTCGAAGTCTTCATTTCACAGTTTCTTCAATGTTTAGGCCGCATACAGGGGCAACACCGTAGGCCTGCCGCGCTTCAGCCCTGCTGACAATGTGGAGAAGATCGACAAGAAGCTGCTTCACAAGTACCTGCAGAGCTATTACTGCCCGGAGAGAATGGTGCTGGCCGGCGTCGGCATCGAACACGAGCAGCTGGTTCAGTGCGCCAGAAAATATCTCCTGAATGTTCAGCCAGTGTGGGGCGAGAGCAAGCCTGCCAACGTCGACCGCTCTGTGGCACAATATACGGGTGGCATCGTAAAGGTGAGAGGGGTTCTGAGACCAACAGACATTGTTAAATACAGGGTTTCCATGCTTAATGAAGTGTTCTGGAGTTCCTATGGTTAAATAAATAAAATGTTTGTGTGTTTTTATGTGAAATAACACAATCATACACATGGCAATTCGGAACTTTTTGATTTAGTGGCTAATTCATATGATCTCATTCGGAAAATTCACTACGATTTGCTCATCTCCTAATGACGGTTGGGTATGACTGAACTCGTACAGTTTAGCTAATAAACAGACATAAAGCAAAATATTTATGTTTCCTTGTGAGATCAGGCTGGAAACAGTTATGATCAGCAGTCTGACTCTGATTTGAGGTGAAATGCTAATGTTTTTATAAATTGTTAATATTGCAGCATGTCTCTTCGTTGTTTCCAATCATCTTACCATATAGTTTCTCTCAGCTGCATATTTTCTTTTAAAATATGTAGATAATATTTCATTGTGAAAGCTGTTTCTTTCTTTTATTCATTCATTTTCTATTCAGCTTAGTGCCTTCATTAATCTGGGGTCGCCACAGCAAAATGAACTGTCGCTGTTTCTTTCAATGTCAGATTATTTTACACTCATGCATTGTTAAATGTTTAACATTATTGATATGTTTAACCCTTTTTTAATTACTTAAAATTTAAGGAATTCTTTCAAATTGAAATCTTTAATAGGAACTACAACAAATATGATATATATATATATATATATATATATATATATATATATATATATATATATATATATATAGAAGAAAGAGTACAGTTAAACGCAACAATTCTATTGTTCAGAAATTATTTATTTTTTAGATATTTCCCAAGTGATGTTTAATAGAGCAAGGACATTTTTCACAGTATTTTTTAATGTTTTTTTTTTCTGGAGAGAATTGTTTGTTGGAATTAATCAGTATAAAATTGTTTTAAAAGATTTTGTAATGGTTAATATTAGTAAAGAAAATCTTTTTTTGATAGTCTACAGAACAAACCACTGCTATATAATGACTTGCCTAATTACCCTAACTTGCCTAGTTAACCTAATAGACCCAGTCAAACCTTTAAAATGGCACTTGGAGATAAATACTAGTATCTTGCAAAAAAACACCACTGTAGATCCCAAAAAGTTATGGTAACTCAAACTATTTGAAGAAACTGATTGCTACAAACCATTTAAGTTCAAAAACTAATCCTAATGAGTACTGTGAACTTAATCCATTTGAGTAAATGAAGCAATTTGAGCACAGTAAAACCCAATAAATGAAGAGAACTCAAACCAATTGAGTACTGTAAAACCCAATTAGTTAAGGCAAGTCAAACCGTTTAAGGTAACCGATTGCCACAAAAAAAAAAAAAAATACTAATACTACTAATACTTTCCTTCTTAGACTTTACAGACCTGAAACTTGCCTATAGCACTTATTCATTGTTGCTCTTAGTTGTGTAAATTGCTTCCTTGTCCTCATTTGTAAGTCGCTTTGGATAAAAGCGTCTGCTAAATGACTAAATGTGAATCGTTTGAGTTAAGAAACTAATCCATGAGTATAATGAGGTATTTAATTAACTCTTTACCTTCAACACTGAGTTCAAAACTCTTTTCACATGAGTAGAATTAACTTTCAGTACATTTTGAGTTAACTACACTCATTTCATTAGATAAAGTTGACTGTTGGGTTTAACAGTGTACTAAAATATTGTCATCAAGGCCCTGACAACCCCTACTGTTTATGGTTTTTGTAACCAATAAAGTCACTTAATTGTAAATTCTTTTATATAAATATTTTTATTTCTTGTACAGTTAAAAAAGTCAACAGTGCACATATTGCACATAAACCATCTCTATATTATTTGTATTGTTTACTTTATTTTCTACTTATTTAAATGTCATTGTGTGTTCTTGTGTTGATATTTATGCATGTACTGTATGTACCCTGAGCTCCTGAAAAAAAGACCCACAAATTTGCACACACTTGGTGAATAAAGCTCCTGATTCTGATTCTAATCTTATTGTGTGCTGTCAGATGGTGAAGGACATGTCTGATGTGAGTTTGGGTCCAACACCCATTCCTGAACTCACACACATCATGATCGGGCTGGAGAGCTGCTCCTTTTTGGTTCGTTTCTCATATTAATTTGATTTAAGGTTTTATGAAACTGCTTGCGTGCTGATTTTTGTTTGTTCATGGCTGATAGGAAGAGGACTTCATTCCCTTTGCTGTCCTCAATATGATGATGGGAGGCGGAGGCTCTTTCTCTGCCGGAGGGCCTGGAAAAGGCATGTTCACCCGGCTCTACCTGAATGTGCTCAACAGGTGTGTCTTTATTTCTTCATGCACTGAAATCACACCAGGGTGTCTGCTGGTTTTTTAGTTATATTTAAGACTTTAAGACATTTTTAATACTACTCGGAATGAAATTTAAGACCAATAATATAGCACAGTTTGCAAAAACCCCATGCAGCACACAACTAATGACCCTCCCTAACACTGTTAATGATCAGTGGTGGAAAGAGTACTTAAAAATCATACTCAAGTAAAAGTACCATTGCTTGCCTAAAAATGTAGTGCAAGTAGAGTAAAAGTATCTGTTGTGAATAAAGTAAAAAGTAGCCCTTTCAAGGGTAGTGAGTATTACGCTGTGAAAAGCTGGTGTGTTTACATGTAATTTGTGGTTGTGTGTTAATGTAACACTCTGTAGTGCGTTTAGTTATAATGTTGCATTCCTGCTTGGCAATAAGACGTTAATATTAGGTTAGATTTGGGTTGTGATGTCAGGTGACCAAAATTCAATGTCTAGCCAGTGTCTAAAGCCTGGTTTATACTTCTGCGTCAAGTGACCGGCATAACTCACGGCGCAGGCAACGCGCGTGGCTGTGCATTTATACTTCTGTCTCTGTCGGTTTGCATTAACACTTCCGAAACGCTAGTGGGCAGTGAGGTGTTAATGTTCCTCTGTGTCGAGTTTCTTCTCTGCTTTTTTGCTTTTCCTGAACACTTCCGGGATGTACAAGTGGCTCAAATTCGCTCATTTTGAGGCAGGATCCGGCGGACGTGCAACAATTTTAACTATGAGGTAAACACAAAACAAAACTTTCCATCCGGAGCTCCTTCACGGGACTCCACACTTGTAAACAATCGCTCGAGCCATTCGTGCGGCTCTCGGTCCCGCCCAGACTTGTCAGCGCTACCAAGCCGACCAATCACAGAGCTTACGCTACTGGTCGTTGCGACGTGTAGTGACGCAGAAGTATAAATCAGCCTTAAGGATTTAGGTTGTGTTAGAACAGAGGTCTTAAACTGCTTGCCTGCGGGCCACTTCAGTTAGCGATCGCCTTTTCTGCCCCATCCCACCTTACCACCTCCCCTGTTCAGTTCACAATGGTCTTCCCCCTTCTATTCAGTTCACGATCGTCTCCCCTCACTCTTCAGTTCGCAATCGTCTTACTTCCCCTCCGCCCTGCCCCGTTCTTCAGTTCGCGATCGCCTCTACACTTCCCATCTTCAGTTCGTGATAACTCCCCCCTCCCACCACATGCACCTGTCGAATTTTTTATTTTTTAAGCACATTCCCCTTTGAACATCTACTGATACAATGGCCCCATCTTGTTTGTCAATCGCTAAAATGCCCCCCCCCCCCCCCCCCACCAATTTAAAGGTTCAGGACACCCTGGATAACTTTTTTTTTTATATATTAACAGATGTGTGTGTGTTGAGCATCAGTTAAGACAATGTTAGCACCTGTCAGCTTTAATTGTGGGGAAAACTGGATAATTTTGAGCTTTTGTCAGCTAATTTCAGCTTCCGGTTTTAAAATGGTTTTTGGGGCGGGATCAAAATCGGCGACGCAGCGCAGTACTGCAAGTGCAATGATGACGCGTCGGTTTCTCATTATTATTCATAGCGGAGTTTTCTTATCCTATGAGAAGAGCCGGCTGCTTAATTATTCATCAGACCTGCCAGAGTCAAGCCCGAGCTCTATCACGGACCCACGGGCACACAGTATTTAGCCGTTCATGAAGGCTCATATGCGTTTGTTTCCATGATCCACGCGGTTTGTTGCATGTTTTCCCCCGCGATCTTGTCAGGGCCGATCATACAGCAAAGCTGTGTGTGTGCTGCTAGCATTTTTGTCGGGAGAGCAGCACGAGAATTAGAGAATGGCGGACGCTGTCTTTTATCAGGAGTTCGTTTACATTCAGACACATCGCCGTGCTGCTGTGTTTGCCTAAATCCTCCAGATTACCAGCAGGGCTAATGGTTAAAATAGACAGGTCAGGAGACCTGCTGCACTGAGTCTGCTGGATACGGGGATTGTGGGAGAAGACCCCATTTATAGGGTTTACATGAACACACTTATCTTTATAATGATATAAATTGTGGTTGTGTATATGAAATTACGAATAACAAATGTAGCAGGGCATTAAATCACTGTTTATTTCTTTGCATTTTAACTTTGTAAACTATAAACTCATGCGTCTCCTCACGGTTTGTCTCATTTTGTGAGCTAGCTTCGTTCGCTCCGCTTCTTCCCTGCTGGCCACGCCCACTCCTGCCCTGTGCTCGCGGAGCTCCACGCCCATTAATCAAGCATCTTTTGAAATAATTCTGAAGTAGACTTTAACTGAAAGTGGGGGGTGTCATGGCCCTTTAAGTTTTGAGACCCCTGTCGACCCCTGTCTTAAACCAATGTCATATTGACATCAGATACTGATATTTATTCGTCAGGTCTGGCAACCAAAATCCACTGTCTGATAGACATCATAGAGGTAACATCCACACAAAGCTAACATCATCAGACGTTGATATTTGGTTGATTTTAGGTTAGACGTGGGACATTAAGGCTCTAAAGTTATTTTAGGTTGAACATCGGGGTTCTGATGTCAACCTGATTTTTTTATTTCCAAAAAAAATGCAATGTCCCCATGACGTTGGGGTACAACGTCAATAGGACGTCATGTTGACGTCTTGTGCCTGCTGGGTATTTAAGACCATTTTAGTCATCATGCAGTAAACATCAGTCATCTTTTCATCAGTTACATGCATCTAAACAGTCTCTGGGTCAATGCATGTAAAGATTTTGAACATCTTCTTGTGCACTTTTAACACTTTCAAACTGTTTGCTGCGATTATAAATCACCCATTTCTCGAGGTAGTTTATTATGATACGATTTTTACCTTCTGTGCCATTTGATTGGACAGGAATCACAAGACTACTCAGCCAATCCCCATAGACACGAAAAAATAAAGTAGTGACTGCAGATTGAAGGAAAGTAGTGGAGTAAAAGTACTAATACAGCACTAAAAATGTACTCATGTACATTTATAAAACTACTTACTGTACGTTCACATTGAAAGCCGCGAGAGCGTCAAAATAGCCGGAAGTCATTCATTTTCAATGTAAGCTGGCGGCGAGGAGCAGCGCGGCGCGTCTTAGCCGGTGTGGGCGGCGAGGAGAGTTGAAATCAAGTTAACTTTATGGTAATGAGCTATGTTACTGGCGAGTTACTGATGTGCAATAATGGTGTGTGTGTGTGTATATATATATATATATATACATTATTTTTTTCTTTAAAAAAAGCTGGAATCTTATGCGACAATACAAAACAGTACTGCTGCTTCAGAATATTTCAGACATATGGACACACTGGATAATTAAGTGGAGCAAAGCCACACCACATACAACTTGATCTTCCATTGTTAAAGGAATTTGATAAAAAGTGTGGAACCTTTTCACGCTAGAAAGCATGTTTTATGCGGGAATGTAACTGATATGATATGCTGCAACGGCCCCTTTAAATACAGATGGATGTAGCCAATTTTAACGCTCTCGCTGCCGGAGCTGAAGGCATTTCAGATGAGGGCGTTAGCCCCTTTCACACAGTGATAGCGGTAAATATCTGGAAAATTTCCGGAACGACTTTACCGGTATATTCAAAAAAGCGCTGTTCACACAGGCGAGGACGTTACGGAAATTTTCCGGAAAAGAGCATTCACACATCCATTCCAAAATACCGGTAAATTCTGACATCATTCACCACAAATGAGCTTTAAACGGCTGCGCTTGTATTTGTAAACATTTGACTAAATTACAAACTCTGTGGATGATCAATATTGTGAACAACTTTGGCAGGATCACTTTCGCATGTCGAGATGTTCATAATATGTGCGTTTGCAGGCGCTCATAGGCGCACGCAAAGCTTGAAGGTAAACAAACAACGGCTTATCATAAGCATCTCATCGATGATTATTTACACAGTTGGCATAAAGAAGAACATATAAACGTGATCTGACTAACTTCTAGCAACTAAATGTGTCTGGAAAAATATTCAAAGGCTTTTATCCTCACAAACCGCGCGGACGTAAATGCGTCTGACTGTTGTGATTGGCTAAAGCAGACGTCTCACGTCAGCACATTCTAGACGTGCACGCGCTTATTACGGGAATCTTCCTTCTGCATTCACACAGCGCAGCATTCCAGCAAATTGCCGGTAATGTTACAACTTCTCTTTCCGGAAAATAGCCAGAACGAATTTACCGGTATTTTCAAAAAGGACCTGTTCACACATACAACCTTTCCGGAAAATTGCCGGCAATTTTCCGGAAAGGTCTGTATGTGTGAAAGAGGCTATTGACGCCAGGGTGGCCAGAGCAACCTTTGACACTCTTTGTTTGTAAATTACAATTTCTGAGAAAAACTACTCAGTTCAATTCAAAACTATTATTATTATTAATAATACAATAAAAACAATAATAGCTCCAAAATAGCTACATTTATTTAAATTAATTGTACTTTTAAAATGTATTTTTGCGTTTTAACACCCATCTTAGACTGATGTGTGTGCATGCTTTTATGGATTTTCCAAGTATTATTTTTCACATTGAATGTTTGATACATGCTCAAACTGCTGGGTCAAAAAATATGTTTAGGAAAGATTTTAAAGTAGTGTGTCAGGCACCTATAAATCATTTGTCATGCTTTGTTTGTGACCTGCACAGGCATCACTGGATGTACAACGCTACATCGTACCATCACAGCTATGAAGACAGCGGTCTGCTGTGTATTCATGCCAGTGCAGACCCAAGACAGGTTCGCTAGTTACTTCTATGTTGTAAATATTCCTGCAATACACCACATTCTCTCAAATATTCGTTTTGTAGGTGCGGGAAATGGTGGAGATCATCACTAGGGAGTTTATTCAGATGACCGGGACAGCAGGAGAGGTGAAACCTTTGTCTATCACGTGTTATTATGATCGATTCGCACATTAAACAGGTTTTCAGGAATGAACATTATTGTAAACATCTAGTATATTGAATGTGCAAATATATGTTTATATTTAAATTTCATTAGCAAGGAATTTTCTATAATATTTTTTCTTATTATTTTAAGTCTTGTTTGTTTTATTTTGGCTAGAATGAAAGCAGTTTTAAATTTTTTTATAACCATTTCAAGGTCAATATTATTAGCCCCCTTAAGCAAATTTTTTTTTTAATTGTCATCTCCATTGTTATAATCTGACTTGCCTAATTAACCTAGTTAAGCCTTTAAATGTCACTTTAAGGTGAATACTAGTATGTTGAAAATATCTAGTAAAATATTATGTGCTGTCATCATGACAAAGATAAAATAAATTTGTTGTTAGAAATGATTTATTAAAACTATTATGTTTAGAAATGTGTTGGCAAAATCTTCTCTCCTTTGAACAAAAAAACAAAAGGGAAAAAAAAAACAGGCGGGCTAATAATTCTGACTTCAAATGTGTGTGCATGAATTGAGTAAGTGTGGAGCCTGTAATAAGAGAAGTTAGTCAGCATTAGCTGCATTGATGAGCTCAAATGTGGGGTTTGTGCAGATGGAGCTGGAGCGAGCTAAAACGCAGCTCAAGTCCATGCTCATGATGAACCTGGAGTCTCGACCGGTCATCTTTGAAGACGTGGGTCGACAAGTGCTCGCCACCGGCAAGAGGAAGCTGCCGCACGAGCTGTGTGAGCTCATCAGTAAGTATGAATGAAGGGAATGAAGCCTAAATAAGTGTTTAGCTTATTTATATATTTCAAATTAATTAACTAAAGTGTAGCTTCAGGAAATAAATAGTGCTTTTTTGTATTCAGCAAGGATGCTTTCATTTTTATGAAATTCTTTTCTTATGAACTCTGTTTAGTAAAGTTGTTTCCACAAATGACAAGCTGCACATCTGTTTTTAATAATAGTAATAAGAAATGTTTTTTTGTTTGTTTGGTTTTTAAGCAGGAAATCTGCATACTAGGCACTTTTCTGAAGGCTCATGGGTAGGCCCACATGGAATCTGCGCAATTTTTTTTTCTGTTTATTTACTTGTGTAAATGTGTGTGAATCTATATTTATTCCGTTTTTAAATTAATTATAGCAAGATTATTGACTAATATGAAAATGTTCATCTGATTTATGTACAATGCCGTTTGTGAAGTACTATTTTCTGTCTTTTAGTAGATATAGTATATGAGAGACTTGCTTTGTTTATTGAATAAAGTGGATGTAATTGGATTTGCATTGTAGACATTAAAAGTAAAAAATATATACATTTTTATTTCATATATTAAGGTTTTAGTTATAATACTCCCAAAATAATTCAGCAGAAATTCGCAGATTTTTACCAAAATTCTCTGCAGAAATAGCAAAAAACGTCCGCAGATTCTGTCTGGCCCTACTCACGGGACACTAAACGCTGGCCTTTTTTATTTATTTATTTATTTTTATTTTTTTGCAGAAATATAAAATCGAACCATTTCGGAATTATAAGTTTTTCTCTAAGCTGATGTTAAGATTTAGGTTTTATCGTCATCTTCAGAATATAAAGTGAATCAAATCCTTTCATCAAAGTGGTCCAAAAACTATTTAACAACACCAAAAATGTCTTTGATCCACTTTAAATTGTAAAAAACCAAGCTGACTGTTTTAAATGTCAAATTATACAAACAGTGGAACATTTCAATAAAATAAATGTGATAATTCCTCTAAACCATCGAATTTACTATTTTTTTTCCCCTCCCAAAAAGATCTTTAAATCATAGAACATACGGTAAATGCTGCTTTTGGATCAACTTGTTACATGAAAATATATTCCTGTCATGTTTGACACCAATTTAAACATTCATTTAGAATCGCAGATCTTCTGAGATGATCCTGATTGGTCCTCGTATGTGCTTTCAAAGTGCTGGTTGGCTTACAAATAGAAATAGAATAGTTAAGAGTTCGCCTTTGTAGATCGAGACTTTTGTTGTATAGATAAAAGATCTCAATGTGCACAACTTAAACAAAATCAAATATAAATGTTGTCTGGACACAATCGTAAATAAGTTGTCAATGTTATAATGCCTAGACAACGAAGATAACACTTTAAATGTACAGTTGAAGTCACAATTATTCGCCCTCCATGTGAATTTTGTTTTCTTTTTCAAATATTTCCCAAATTATGTTTAACAGAGCAAGGAATTTTTCATAGTGTTTCCTATAATATTTTTTCTTCTGAGGAAAGTCTGATTTGTTTTATTTCAACTAGAATAAAAACAGTTTTTTTTTTAACCATTTAAGGTCAATATAATTAGCCCTTAAGCATTTTTTCTTTATTTTCTACAGAACAAACCACTGTTATGCAATGCCTAATTTACCTAGTTAAGCCTTTAAGTGAAGTTTCTTAAACTTATTTTGAGAGGAGCTCATGATAAGATTGAGCTCATCTGGCCGCTCATCTGTAATCAGTAATTATCCAATCAGAGTGATACTAGTTTACTCAGTGTTCTTACGGGTGCTGTAATCGCGGAAAATGCTTGATTTTTATTATATTGTTTTCAAGGTTAGAAAAGTGCTTGGATTTTGGAAGATGCTTGAACCTGCTTAAATTTGAATTTGCAGGGTTCGAAATTGTGACTGTTTGGGTTGCAATGCGCACTATTTTATCTATGTGACCTCAAAATATATTTGGGAGCATATGTGCGAGTGCATAAAATGTTGTTGAGCGACCAGTTTTCATTGCAAAATGTTCACCGCATGCGCTTATTTATGGAGCTAATAATCAGCCAAAACAATCTGAATTTGAATTGTGTTAAAATGAATTATTAACATTTGTAAGTTAACAATACTGTATGTCCTATTAGAAATGTTTTGAATTTGTATTTCTTAACTTGATTAATAAACATCTGAAATTTAGGACAACTTAGTTTTTTAAGTCAGATTTATTATTAAACTTCAGATTTTTTTTGGTTTTGAATTAAAGACTGCTGATATTGGGTATGTAAATTTTAAGAATTCAAATGAACACAATTCAAATTCAGATTGTTTTGGCACTATTAGCTTCCTACGTATTTAGGAGACATTTACCCAGAATGCATCTTTGCACCTGAAATGTCAATCCAATGACTGTAAAAAAAAAAAAAAAAAAAAAAAGAAAAAAAAAAAGCAATGCACACATTATGAACGACTGGTCATTAAAGTTTGGTACTACACCCAAACAAAATCTGACTGTAAGCTCATTTCTTGAGATATCAACTTGAGGTAGAGACTTAAAAACATACTTCATCCAATAACTGAACTTTTTTTAAATGATTTTTTTTCTCCTTTTTGAGTGAACTATCACAATAAATCTATGCTAAGTACTCAATTTAAGTTGAAATGTCATATTGTGTGTTTTTTTTTAAAGCTCAATGGATTTAAATGTGAAAAGTACATACAACAAATATAAACATAATTAACCGTGGTTCTTAGGTGATTGAAAAGCAGTCAAATGCTCTTTGAAAGTGCTTGAAAAGGGCTGGAATTTAAAGTTGGAAAAGGTGTAAGAACCCCGTTTTTTATAAATATTTAATTTTCTCCCTACTGCTCTATCTTCGTTTTGGCAGAATCCCCCCTTCCACCCCATCTCCTCCTTTTCCTCCCTTTTCTAAAGGAGGAGCTCTCGAGACCTACCTGATCTCAGATCTCCTGATATGCTCATTGACCGGGCGGAAGCCCTGGGCTCAAATATCTCCAAGCTCAGGGTTCACTCCTGGGACAGCATGCCAAACCTTCTATAAATGCTAAGCATATCTAAGTGGGAACTCTTGAAATGTCACTTTAAGCTGAATACTAGCATCTTGAAAACATATCTAGTCAAATAGTATTTACTGTCATCATGGCAAAGGTAAAATAAATCAATTTTTAGAGATAATTAAAACTATTATGTTTACAAATGTGTTAATGTTCTCTTCCTTAAAAATTGGAGAAAAAACATTCAGGGGGGCTAATGAATCAGGAGGGCTAATAATTCTGACTTCAACTGTATAATTGTATGTGTAGTTCTAATATCAAGCCAACGACTTCTTTGCTGCAGACCTCTATTAACCCACGTCACTCTTCTGTTTCAGGTACAGTCACAGCCAGTGACATCAAGCGAGTTACGATGAAGATGCTGCGCAGTAAACCAGCAGTGGCTGCTCTGGGAGATCTGACAGAACTGCCCTCCTATGAGGACATTCAAGCCGCTCTCTCCAGTAAAGATGGACGCCTTCCTCGCATATATCGCCTCTTCAGATAGAAAACCAGCTAGCAGACCCAAACAATCTCACTCTGGAGTTCAGGTGCAATGCTGAGAAACACTGGCTGGATTTTTTTAATCTACGTAGTGTTTGAATGTGACCTTCAAGGGATCGTTCACCCAAAAATCATGTCATTTGGAAAGATAACCGAAAGATAGCTATTTATTATTATTCACAAATATAATTGGGTCGTCTTCAAAACATCTATGTTGCACAGTAAAAAGTCTAATTGTTGACCATATGAGTTCTCATTTGTTTTTGGGTGCAGAATCTCTTAAATGGTTAATGCCAGAGTTTGGTTTCTCTCTCACACACTCTCTTTTGTTAAACCCCATCATGTATGGAAAGTAAATGAATATGCTTGTTCTTTTACTTTTTCAACTTAACCGGCTCAATAAGTGGACATTTTTCCCCCATGCACTTTGTTCATATCTGCACAGGCTGTTTTTCTGTGAAAAGATGTTCCTCACGTTACACTTTTCCACGAATCTGTATAAAACTTTTAGCGTTTAGTATATTAAACTATTTATAAACTACAACTTACTGTTTACTGTAGCAGTGACAACTTTAACCAACCAAAACCCTTCAAATATTACCATTCATCCCTAAAATACATCTCAGTTTCAATAATAATTAAGTTATTGTGAGTTTTTAGGATTTTCCATAATTAGGTATGCGTTTACTAAAGTTTTTTTATACACTTCTGATCATTTGTTTTCAAATATCACCATTTAGAGCAGTGTTTCTCAACCACGTTCCTGGAGGACCACCAGCACTGCATGTTTATGTCTCCTTTGTCTGCCACATCCATTACAGGCTTTTCGGTCTCTGCTAATGAGCTGATGATCTGAATCTGGTGTGTTTGGTTAAGGCACAGGTGTCAAACTCAGTTCCTGGAGGGCCGCAGCTCTGCACAGTTTAGTGCCAACCCTAATTAAACACACCTGATCAAACTAATTGAGTGCTTTAGGCTTGTTTGAGACCTACATATAGGAGTGTTGAAGCAGGTCTGGAACTAAACTCTGTAGGGCTGCAGAGAAACATTGATTTAGAGCATTTATTTGGACAGAAAAATAACTATATATTAATATAAATATTATAATCAAGTTTTTACATATTACAATTTGACTCAAAACGCACGCCTATTAATGATTAATCTAGAGAACAGTAATAACTCTAGAGTGGTGTCTTCATTTTGATTTCTAGAGCTTTATTTTAGATTACCCTACAGGAACATTTATTCTCTTGCACTTCAATTACTGTTCTGTTTGTTCATTGCTGGTCATTATGTTAATAGTGATGGATGACATTTGGAAAAAGAAAATAAACGTTTGGTCCTTTCTTTAAATTGTTTTGTGTTCTTGGTGAAACTTTACTGTGTTTTCAGTATTCAGATGTGCAATGCTCATAAAAAAAAAAAAAAATCAATATAATTCTAATGAAGAGTATTTTGTTTAGTTTATTAATGCATGAATCCTTGCTTGAAAATGTAAAAATTAAAACATGAAACAAAAATCACCAGAAGCTGGCAAAATGACTCGGCCTAAAGAACTGATTCATTTATAAACGAAGCAAGTGATGGGCTGCATCTGAAATCGCATAATTCCATACTATATAGTACACTAAAAACGGAATGCGAGCGGAGTAGTATGTCCGAATTTGTGAATTTGAAAAACAGTATGTGAGAATACCAGATGACCTAAGCTGCGTCCCAAATTGCATACTTATGCACTATTCTACGCCATTTCGTAGTATAAATAGTGTAAGTAGTGTGTTCACACCGAAAACTCTCAAAGTAATAAGTGCACTTTAATTATCCGGATGATGCACTCATTCAGCCGGTAAAATTAAGTGTGTGATGATGGACACTTCAGGCACTCAACGACCGCAGGTTTGCTCACGTAGCAGAAGGGGCGGAGCTATCGGGCGCACAAGTTGGATAACTTTATTTGTTTTGGATAGTGATAGCAAAATTCTCCCGCGAGAGTGATTATAGCGCCTCCCGATGGTGAATGCGGTTATACTCATGGCAGGTATTATTTGATAGTTTGCGCATTTATTTCAGTGATTTGGCAACCGTCAAACGTCATCTGGGAAAAGGTTTGAATTTCCGCTTAGTATTTTATCATGGGTGCCCTTTAAACTACAGCCATGCTTCTCTGAGAGAAATGTTTTACTCCAGCTTTGTTTAAAACTATGTTCCATTACATAAACTGAAGGAAAAAAAAACAATATTGTGTTCAAAATGAAACTTGATATTAATTCCTCGTTGTATAGAATCAATATCACATTAGCGATGGCTATTTTCGAGCTCTGATATTCAGGAAAGCAACACTACATCAAACAAATCTGAACAAAACATTGAAAAAGGTTATATGGGATATTTTTTTCTTTCATAACCTCAATATAATTTCATTATTTAATAATTATAATAATGCGTTTTATTTAAAGGCACCGTACAGGCCAGCTAGAACAATCAATTCAAATAAAATTCAATATAATACAAACTTTGGAAATGCAGTAAGGTTAAAGTGAATAAGCTGTTCTAAACAGATGTGTTTTGAGTTTGGATTTAAATTGAGAAAGAGAGTCTAAATTACGGAGATCAGGAGGAAGTGAATTCCAAAGCTGAGGAGCAGAGTGGCTGAAGGATCTGCTCCACATGGTGACAAGACGGAGTGAGGCGGACAAGTGAGGTGAATAGAAGAGTATTCGATGTGTGGTGATATGAACGAGATTAGCAAGGTATGGAGGAGCAAGATTGTGGATGGCTTTGAAAGTGAGAAGTATTTTATAATTAATTAATATATATTAATTATATATATATATATATACTGTTGAAGTCAGAATTATTAGCCCCCCTTTGATTATTTTCTTCATTTTTAAATATTTCCCAAATAATGTTTAACAGAGCAAGGAAATTTTCACAGCATGTCTGATAATATTTTTTCCTTTTGGAAAAAGTCTTGTGTTTTATTTCGGCTAGAATAAAAGCAGTTCTTAATTTTTAAACTCTATTTTAAGGGCAAAATTATTAGCCCCTTTCAGCTAATTTTTTTTCCAACTGTCTACAGGACAAACCATCATTATACAATAACTTGCCTAATTACCCTAACCTGCCTAGTTAACCTAATTAACCTAGTTAAGCCTTTAAATGTCACTTTAAGCTGTATAGAAGTGTCATGAAAACTATCTAGTAAAATATTATTAACTGTCATCATGGAAAAGATTAAATAAATCAGTTATTAGAAATGAGTTATTAAAACTATTATGTTTAGAAATGTGTTGAAAAAACTTTCTCTCTGTTGAATAGAAATTGGGGAAAAAATAATGCTAAAATTAATGCTAAACCCTGCAGGGACACCGGCCCTCCAGGATCGAGATTGGTGACCCCTGTATTAAGGCATTAATAGACTCCATCACACTATGACTGATTTTTGGACTGCAATGCGGATGTTTTTTTTTTTTTCATTAAAAAAAAATAAAAAATAATTATTAAAACAATAAAAGTAAGTATTGTACACTCATCCTAAAATAATCTCAACACTGCCAACAAAACACTCAAGAAATAACACAAAGTCATTTTTTTGTATTACTTTACATTGTAAACAAGTATTGGTAACAGGCTATTATTTGGTTTTAAACAACAGGATATATTTAAAGTCACTGAGGCAATCATGAGCAAGATCGCAGGCACTTTCAGTACAAACAGAACTGAAATTCATGATGTGAATGTGTGACTTACTGATCCACCACAGTCACTGAGATCCATGCGCAAAACCACACCAACGCTATGTCCGTTCCTGCTCCTAGAAGCTGAATAATGTTGAAGTTAAGGCAGTAAACTCAAGTATAGTCTGTGCCACCTCGTTTTTTTTTTTTTTTTTTTTTTTGTACACGAGGTCAGCTTCTCTGCATGATACAACATTCAAATCAATAAATAACACTAAAATCTCCCTCATTTTGCTGGTAATTATGCTACAGTACAGTTCCCTTCAGAAAGACTTACGCACACTGTTAGACACGAGTTTAAAAGTGAGTCCCAGGAGCCAATAAAGCGAGCAGGTGATCTGCCTGCTATTATGAAGCGTTTACAGTAAAAGAAGATAAAAGTCGAGATACACTACCTAACACAAGTCTCGTCTTGTCAGCTTATCCAAGTTTTAGGAACAACATATAATAACTTGACCTTTAGTTGATCATTTGGTATCAATAGTGGGTAATATGAAAGGCGAAGGCCTCAAGATTATGCTTATTTGACAAAAATAAAATATGATCAAGCCTTGATTTTTAGTTATTTAATCAGGACAGTGAGGTCTGACTTTGCTTAGATAAAAATCTTGTCACCAAACAGAAATAGTGTACAGTATAGAATATAAAGTCATGCTGCAGTAGAAAAAGAATGAATATTGTGTATGACTCCAATAACTTATTAATAAAGTCATCTGGAATGGCAAAGAAAGCGTTCTTGCAGGACTCCCAGAGTTCATTAAAATTCTTTGGATTTATCTTCGATACCTCCCTCCTTCATCTGCTCAATAATGTTCATGTCTGGTGACTGGGCTGGCCAATCCTGCAGCACCTTGACCTCCTTTGCTTTCAGGAACTTTGATGTGGAGGCTGAAGTATGAGAAGGAGCACTATCCTACTGAAGAATTCGCCCTCTCCTGTGGTTTGGGCAGCACAAATGTCTTGACACCTTCAGGCTGCTGGAATCAAGGACATGAATTTGTCAGGTAGTATAATCATTTAAAGCGACGCTGTGTCCAAAAAAAGAAAATTCTCTCAGTGTTTTACTCAAACTCAAGTCATTTTTATAAATTTCTTTCTTCTGTTGAACAAAAAAACAAGAAGAGAGAAACTGAGTAACGAGAGGATGAGTAACCAAATTTCATATTTGGGTGTGCTGTCCCTTTAACAAGGCCATGAGACGCCATAAATTTAAACCATGCAAAGAACAGACTGTTTCTGCTCGTTTTGACTGTTTTGATCGAGTTCAAATGACTTACGTGTTCTTGCAGGACTCTCAGAGTTTATCAAGATTCTTTGAATTCATCTTCAACGCTTCCTCCATCATCTTACCCCAGACATGCTCAATAATGTTCACACTGGGCTGGCCAATCCAGGAGCTCCTTGACCTTCTTTGCTTTCAGGAACTTTGATGTGGAGGCTGAAGTATGAGAAGGAGCGCTATCCTGCTGAAGAACTTGCCCTCTCCTGTGGTTTGTAATTTAATGGGCAGCACGAATGTCTTGATACCTCAGGCTGTTGATGTTGCCATCCATTCTGCAGATCTCTCACATACCCCTATACTGAATATAACCCCAAACCAGGATTTTTCCCTCACCAAACTTGACTGATTACTCTGAGAATTTTGGGTCCATGCAAGTTTTAATAGGTCAGTATTGAACAAAAATTGACCCTCTGCCACTTTTCCAAATGATCAACTAGAAGTGAAGCTATTATTTGTTGCTCTTACAACTGTAAGGTAGTGTAATCATTTAAAGGGACGGCGTGTACAAAAATGAAAATTCTCACACTGTTTTACTCAAACTCAAGTCGTTTCAATCAATTTCTTTCTTCTGTTGAACAAAAAACAAGAAGAGAGAAACTGAGTAATGAGAGGATGAGTAAACGATTTTCATATTTGGGTGTGCTGTCCCTTTAACAAGGCCATGAGATGCTATACATTGAAACCATACACAGCACAGACTGTTTCAGCTTGCAAGTTAAATGAAGTAAAACAAAGAAACGCATTAGGAATAGTGAATGTACAGTACTGTTAACTTCCTTTACTCTGGTCAGTATAATTTAAAGATTAAATCATAGGAATAAAGTCATGTTTTTATATATTTAATCCAACACCAGCTGTAGTGCTTTGGTCCGCGGGCTGTGCACTTAAGTGACAGTAAACCGAGTTATCCCTCGGTCCTGAAAGTCCAGCTTTCCGAGTCACCAGGCGTGTTTGAAAATGATCAGTTTTAGCACCTTATGGCTGTCGCACACTGGTCCCGGATCAGGATATGGAGCAGACTGTGCTGTTGTTCTGGTTTTTCATGACCGCCTCTCTCTTTTTCAGCTCTCTGGTGATTCTCCGTCGGATTCCTTCGAGGTACAGACTCCTGTCGAAAAGGCCAGCGCCCAGAGGAATGCTGGGAAGGACCACACTTGAGTTAGTGGTTTATTAAAATGCACGAATAACATCCCATCAAATGTAAACACAAAGTCAAAACATTACATTCCACTTCAACTGACGAAAAAAAAAATATAAATTGAGCAGAACGTTACATTGCTCAGTGTATACGGTGATAAGAAGTCATCTCTTTACTAATGCTTTTTAAAGGGTTAGTTTTACTTAAAATTAATTGTCATTAAAGGTCCAATGAAATTAAAATAAAGTATTTTATATGTTAGTATCAGTATTGTTAGTTTTTTAGATATCTATGAGCTAGTGCGCTCCAAAACAGTGACAAAATTTGCTTATAAAAAGATATACAACTGATAGAAACCTGTAAAGCTTGCAGTTGATCACTTCCGCTTAAATGGGTCAATAATTTTTTTCGACGTCACCTCATACATCAGTTTCTCATCAAATCTTGACCAATCAAATGCTCTCTAGTGTCTAAAAAGCCCCTCCCCCTTCAAAACGTTTCATATTTGCTTTTCATTTGATGCGCTTGAGCTCAACTGCTCTCACTGGCAGAGCTGTGATGAAATAAAACGCTATTGGCTGCTTTTTTTGCTACACTATGTTCCACCCTCTCTTCTTGTTTCAGTTGAGATTACATCAAACATCCAATAAAAAAAGCACATTTCAAAGCACTTCACGAGATCTTTAATTATTCACACTCATTTCCTTACAAACCCATAAAGCTCCTACAAGATTTTTATTGCTGGCTTTATTGACGTAAATATGGCTTCGACAGTTGTGAACTATGCCACACTACACGAGAAGAATAACACAATTGAATATTATGTCTGGATGACCATTTATCAATGACTTATCTCTACAAAACCCAACGTCAAGCAAAAATCAAAGAAAAGAAAATGCAATCTGAATGGGACTTGAGACCTACAATCATCGCTAGACCACAATAGAATTGATTTTTGAAGAAATCCTTGAGCTCTCGGACCCTCCATAGACAGATGAAACATTCAAAACCCAGACAGGTACTAACAACATTGTTGCGTCCTCCAAAGTACACTTCAACAGCACGACAAACACACACAGTGCCAATGAACTAAGCACAAAGATGTCGTTATTTATTTCAGTAGTTTTTATTCAGCCACAAAATAATGATCGTAGCTTCATAACAATATTTGACCATATAATATTTATAACATATTAATTGGACCACTGGGATAAAACATCAGTGTGTGCACATCTGGAAAAAATCTTAAAGGCAGGAGCTCGATCAAGCCAAACATTACAGAAAATAAAGAAACAAATTTGGCACACTGCCACTTTAGCTCATGAAGGCCATGTTGGCTGTAATGTTGTCCAATTAAATTAGTTTTTTGAGACCATATATACAGTTGCAATCAGACAGAATTAAACGTAATAGTTTTAATAACTTGTTTCTAATAACTGATTTATTTTATCTTTGCCAGGATAAAGTAAAATATATAAATATATATAAAATATAAAAATATATAGGTAAAAGGGGCTGATAATTTTGACTTGAAAATGTTTTTTAAAAAATTAAAAACTGCTTTTATTCTAGCCGAAATAAAACAAATAAGACTTTTTCCAGAAGAAAAAATACTATCAGACATACTGTGTAAATTTCTTTGCTCTGTTAAACATAATTAATAAATATTTAAAAAGAATACAAAAATTCAAAGAGGGGCTAATAATTTTGACTTATGCATAATTTAAACTGTATGCATGTATGTATATATATATATATATATATATATATATATATATATATATATATATATATATATATATATATATATATATATATATATGCACACGCACGCACACACACACACTTTTTAACATGTAATGTTTTGTTCTTGATACATTTCTAAATTTTGAACGCAGTACTGTTTCTAGGTGAACTAATCGGCCCTGCCCTGCACCAGCCCCGTACATGTAAAATCAAATGCTTACTTGTCTCTACCCGGACGTAGTTTGACCTGAAACATGCCAATGACTGGCCGGTGATCTGACGTCTTAATGGACGAGCAAGACGTGTACTTTATCACTCTTATGTCATCTGCTTGTCTGTTTCGATAAAGAATACGATCCTGTTGACACATGAGGAAAAGTATACAACATTATTACAGAGGCCCAGCATAAAGTACATCCCTTTTAAAAATTAATATTATTTTATAAGTGAATATATATATATATATACACATATATATACACGTATATATACATACATACATACATACACACACACACACACACACACACACACACACACACACACACATATATATATATATATATATATATATATATATATATATATATATATATATATATATATATATATGGTTGGACAATATTTATTGGTCATTTTTTTCCAATACAGTTTATTTAACAGTTATTAAAATATTATTTAAAAAGATAGAATTTATAAAAATAACATATAAAATTTAACTGAAATATAATATGATTTATAAAAAATTTGCAACATTATGTTGGGCTAGATTTTTTTTAAATGCTCTCCTAACATTTTAATTTATGAACTCATTTTTTACTTTTATTTATTTTGATTAGTTACTTCCTGTTTTGGCTTTGGTACTGACTAATCTAATGTAAACCCAATAAACCAGATTTGCATAAAATATCTCATTTTATACAGCAGGGGTTTTGAAAGCTTGTTTCTGATTGGCTGATGAACATTTGGGGTGTGCAATGAGGTGTGCGATTAGTTTCAGATAAACACACAGCAAAAGTAGTTTAGCCAGGTCTTGACTACATTATAGCTCCATATGGCCATGCTGGACAATTTAAGCTATTTTGCTGTCTACAACAGTAAAAACCAAACCAAAAAAAAAAAAAAAAAACCTATCAAAACAAAACAAAAGCCTTTGAATTATATGCTCAAGAATGAGTCCCACAAAAAAAACTAATAAGTAAATCTCAGCCTAAGCGGAATTATTAGAAAAAAAATTCAATGGCCCAGAGTCAATTATTATTTACATAAAAGGGAAGGGATATTCTGACAAAATATGTTAGGGTCGACTAACATGTACTGGGAACTGTATACAGCAATGTATTCAAATAAAATGAGTAAGAAAGCTTACGGTGTATGAAGGTGTTCTTTGTTTTGTCGTGGTGTCATAAACATCACAACCAATGTCGAACTTGTAAGTCGGAGGGAAGTGAATTGATGCTTCCTGAAAGCCTTTAAAAATGGATCCTGCAAAAACCCAAACAGATTTATCCTGTTAATCAAACGTACACAGAATAAACATTTCCCCCAGAGGGGAACACCATACTGCGTAAGACTTTAATTTGGCATCACTCTGCATTTGTGTCTTAACTCGCCTTCCTTCATCTCTCTCGTCAGCTGATCATGTTGTAATAACGGGCTCATATCAACGCCAACGCCCTGATTTAAAATGGCCTCCACGTCTCCTCTGGCTTTATTCAGGCGGAAGTTGAAATCTCCAAACCAGAAGACTTCATCAAAACGGGTCGTGACATCAGCTGTGGGTAAACGAGATCAGAATTAGGATCAGAATTATTTTAAATATACAAATAAGTAATGTAGTGTATTTTTTATTTAATGCCATGTTAGCAACCAAGGCTATTTTCATGGCAGGAACATTTCAATAATAAATATACAATTACAAATCAACAAACAAATGAATACATCAATTAAATAAGATTTTTAGTGTTATATAAACATTAATGAATGAATGAATGAATAAATGAATGAATGAATGAATGAATGAACGAATGAATGAATATTACCCTAACAGGGTCATATATTTTATATATTACCCTGGAAGTAAATGTACATAGCAGAGTCCCCTATGTTATAAGTATTAAACAGTCTACTGTATGATAATGTTAACAGTGATATTGGTATTGCACAGTCCATTGAGCATTGTCCATATGACAAACACAGGAAAACTCACAGGTCGTAGAGCGGTAAGGGTTTGTATCAGGAAGGTTTCTAGGAAGAGCCAAAGCTTCGATGATCTTGTTATAGTCCAAGATCCTCTCATATACTTTGGAATCTCCAGCTGAAACAAACACAAAGTCAGTTTGGTTGGATTTATTTTTAATCGAGCATACATTTAACGCCATCGTGACTTTGTAACATGTAACTGGGGTTGTTGAACCCTTGTTTAAATTTCTGAGATATTCTACTTACAGGTGAAATGGGAAGTGACAAAGAGGAAGGACGTCCCGAAGAAGGTGAAGCCGATGCCCACTGCTCCTTTAGTCTTAATCTGAGATATAATTCTGGTTGTGACTGTAGCATGTTCCACCTCTGTAATGTCAGAAAAAGACACATATTATATTATATTATTAGTTTATATTTTATTGTTATTTTATAACATTTTTATTTTATATTACATTATATTATATTATTTTATAATATTTTTATATTACATAATATTATATTATTATAACATTTTTATTTTATATTATATTATTTTATTATATTTTTATATTATATTATATTATATTATATTATATTATATTATATTATATTATATTATATTATATTATATTATATTATATTACATTATATTATATTATATTATATTATATTATATTATATTATATTATTATTACATTAATGCACTGGGTAGAAAACGTTTATCCAAAATCAAATTACATAATGTTCATTTACATATAAACATACATACACTTACACTAGAAATTATGGAATCAGTAGGTTCTTAAATATTTTCAAAAGTATATTCTGTGCACCAAGGCTGAATTAACGAGTTCACACTCACAGATATTAGACTGAATAGAATAGGCGTATTTGGCACACTGTCCGGGGAAAAGGCTCTGAGCTCAGAAAGACACCCTAACTTGTGTTATTCCCCTTATCAGGACAGAGTCTGAGCCAGTGTCTAGACCGGCTCTAGAACCCTCCCCCCTCAGATTTATGTAGGTATCATGTTTAATAGTGTGGAGTTGGGGTGGTGGAGGGATACTAAAATCAACAGAAAATAGAGGTATGACATGTTTGACTATTTTTGGTGGTTTGGTCTTAAGATGATTGCATAATAGAATGATTGTTGATAATGAATTAGCCTCATCAAAACTGATCGTGCTTCTCCTGAAATTTGTTTATAAAATACCACTTAAAAAATAATAATAACATTAATAATAATTATAAAATTATATTAATAAAAATAATAATAATAACAATACAGTTATGTTTTTTGAATTATTACTACAATTTTAAAATAACTGTTTTCTTATTGTTCTGTCATTTATGAACAATCATGTGACACTTAAAACTGGAATAACAGCTGCTGAAAAATTGGCAGGAATAAATTGCATTTAGAAATCTAATGAAATGAAAACATTTGCTTTAAATTGTAATTTTTATTGTAATTGTAATTTTATGTTAATTTTATTGTAATTGTAAACTTATCTATATTAACAGTTCAGTGTGTTTTTTTATTTATATTGTATTATGTTTAATGTTATTAATTTTTTCAATGTATTTTAAATTTATATACATCATTTTTAAATATGTATTTTACCATTTATTATTTTACATTGAATGCTTTTATCATTTTATTATACCATAATATTCATTGGGCGAAGCAGTGGCGCAGTAGGTAGTGCTGTCGCCTCACAGCAAGAAGATTGCTGGTTCGAACCTCGGCTCAGTTGGCATTTCTGTGAGTAGTTTGCATGTTCTCCCTGCGTTCGCGTGGGTTTGCTCCGGTGCTCCACAGTCCAAAGACATGCAGTACAGGTGAATTGGGTAGGCTAAATTGTCCGTAGTGTATGAGTGTATGAGGGTGACAGGCCCAGACGACAGGCTGGCCGGAATATGTATAAAAAAATGAAATAAAAAAAATTTTTAAAAAATTTTAAAAAGTCGTTATCATATGGACAAGTCTAAATGGAGCTGACCCCGCAACCATACGGGACTAAGGCCAAAGAAAAAGAAGAGAAGATACTATATTATTCATTCAGTTATTTGTTTTCCTTCAGCTTAGTCCCTTATTTATCAGAGGTCGCCACAGCGGAATGAACCGCCAACTATTCTGGCATATGTTTTACGCAGCACATGCCCTTCCAGCAGCAACCTAATACTGGAAAAGACCCATACACTCTCACATTTACACACATTCATACACTATGACCAATTTAGTTTATTTAATTCACTTATAGAGCATGTCTTTGGACTACGGAGGAAACCTACGCCAACATGGGGAGAACATGCAAACTCCACACAGAAATGCCAGCCAGGACTCGAACCTGCGACCTTCTTGCTGTGAGATGACAGTGCTAACCACTGAGCCACCATGCCGCCCTACTATTTCATTCTAAAGAAACGATTTACCTGAACAAAACCATATGAGGTCTCTCCTGACAAATACAGTGAGATAGAGCACTCCATGGGCTGCTGCATACAGCATCACGTAATATGGCCCAAGAGTTTCCTGCAGACGGATCTCCCACTCCCTCCTGTGGACAAACATGAAGCCCAAGAAAATGAGTATCAAGAAGGACATTTAAACGCTGCAAGAAAGCAACATCTCACCTATCAGGACAGCCCTCCTGAACCCCTATAACATAGACGTCCTGTGCAAAGTCAGTGTCAGTTGGCAGCAGCAGATCATCTAAATTGTATGGAAGGCCCTGAGAGCAAGAAAGAGAGCTTAGGTGACAACTCCTATGCAAATAAAATAATTAGGAATGACAGTATTGGTTCACACCTTCTCTCCCTGCATGTTCCATGTGGCGATGTAGATGCCGAGACGTCTCTCTGGGAAGTAACGGTCAAGCTCTTCTGCACCCAGCAAGGCGCCGTTGCCCAAAACACTGCCCTCCAGAAAGCTCCTGAAGAATTAATGTGTTTAACATCATCATGGAATCCAAATCATTTTTACAATTAGATATTTTTCATGAAATATTGTAGCATCCCCCAAAAATCATTAATTCTGAGTGTGCCTCAAACAAGTGAGTGGGCTTGACAAACCACCTGTAAAAAACACGCTCTTTCATCTCTTTAACACTTTAACCAATGTGTGCACCAGTTTTATTTGCACAACTGCACCAGACTAATTGTTACAATAACTCTGTTTTAAAAAAAACACTGCGTTTATGAAGCGAGCTTCACACAGGTGAGTGGGCTTGACAAACCACCTGTAGAAGCTCAAAAAAACTCGCCTCTCCTTACTCTAGCACTAAATTATCTGAGCACAAACAGTTGCTTTGTAAAATTAACAATTATTCTTGTTGAATCTCTAAGCGTCTCCTCAATTGTAGGTCGCTTTGACCAAAAGTTTCTGTTAAATGACTAAATGTTTAGTTATTATTACGGATTTTTTTTCTCTTATATTTATGAATTGATGTGCCTAATATTTATCAATCATTAATCCCTTGCTTTTGTAACATTTTTTGCATGAGGGTGGGGTAAACTGTCACCTACATTAGACTGACCGATAACAAATTATTTAATTTTATGGATTAAGTATTTTAGTTTTTTTTATGGCTAAAAATATTGTCTCTATGCCCATAATAAAAAAATTAAGCAAATAAAGCATTTTTTAAATATATAAATACATTTAAATCTGTCCAGGTGGTGACATAATTATTTATAAATCTGCACCACATCATTTATGAGCCAATATCACAGAAAAAAAAATTATATATATATATATATATATATATATATATATATATATATATATATATATATATATATATATATAATTAAATATATATATATATATAATTTTTTTCTGTGTGTATATATATATATATATATATATATATATATATATATATATATCATTTTATTTTTTTTCTGTATGTATACACACACACACACACACACACACACACACACACACACACACACACACACACATATATATATATATATATATATATATATATATATATATATATATATATATATATATATATATATATATATAAATAATTTTCATTTTTTTGTACTGGGCAATTTTATGTAGCAGTCTTTATAGATTTTTTATTTCTGTTCATTCATAGATTTTTGTTGATGTGAATTACCTTTGCTGTCTTTGTACACTCCATTAAAAGTCATTTTTAAGCCTTTAAAATTAGAGTACATTAGGTAACACTTAACAATAAGGTTGTATTAGTTAAGGCATTTACGCATTTACTAATTTCAACAATACATATATTACATTAGTTGTTTATGTTCTTTAATGCAAGTTAATAAAAATACAGTTGTTTGTTGGTAATTCATTTAAACTCAGTGCAATAATTTTAACAAGCATTAATTTGGATGTTAATAATGCATTAGCAAATGTTGAACTATGATTACCAAATGATGTACAAGTATAGCTCATAATTAGTAAATACATAAACTAATAAAACCTTATTGTAAAGTGAGACTGTACAATATTTTACATTTTAGATACTATGTGTTACAGATACACTTAAATGAGTCATCATTTTTAGCTGATCTCAAATATAAAATCCATATACATTTTTCACGTACACGGAAAAATTCATTCAAAATAACAATAGTCCATACACCAAAAGGTATATTTAGACCAACAATAATTTGATCACATATTGAGGATCACAATGCAAAACAAATATGAATCATAATTTTAAATCTACTTTACCACTATCCTACATACCATTAGGCTTTACTAAGGTTTAATCGCTTGCATTGTATCCTTAATCACAGTACAGATCAGAATATGCATGAAGTTTAACATCTGCTTTTATTTTTACATAAATAAATGACGAATGACTGGAACATTGCTATTTTGACTTTTTATTTTATTTGTAGATTTTTTAAAACATTAAAGTAGACATTTTCCTTTACTTTCTGCATAAAATGACTTTCTCAATCTTATTTGGACCATACACTCTTTAACCCTCCTGTCGTTTTTAAGCAGAACTTGAATGAATGGTCTCCTGATGCAGTTTGACAGTCGCTGAACTAGTATCCTACTGATCCAATAATCTCCTTTACATTCACTCAGCTTCACTCTCCCTCTCTCTATACAGTCAGTCTAACATCACAGCTGATTCTGTAGAACTCAGCAAGTGTACTCACTCCTGCAGGAACATTATTCATCACTTCATAATGAAACAATTCATGTTATTAACTCAATCACACAAATATATTCACATTCTGCTTAAGAGGAGGCCTTGATACTTCTGTTTTACAGGGTCCCTACACAGTGTTCACTGTTCCCTAAGCACGGGATATCTGTTGAGGATTGACTTTGCAACGTCATCAAACAGAGGAAATTCCGGTCACACACTGGAAAATGCAGGGTTCCACATGTAACCCCGCTGGTCCTACTCCACCAAACTCGCTCCGAGCTGGTATCGAACCGGCAACCTTCCGCATGGGAGTCGGATGCTCTACCAAGGAGGCTAAAGACCATGGCGTCTAGCGCTAGAGCAGCTTTTGAGGTCAGAGGAGTGAGGTTTACCTGCACAGCACACACTAGCTGGCCTCCGTTACACTCACCCCCCTAAACCTCACTCCCATCCGGGTCACGGCACCAATGTAACCCCGCCGGTCCTACGCCACCAAACTCGCTCCGAGCTGGTATCGAACCGGCAACCTTCCGCATGGGAGTCGGATGCTCTACCAAGGAGGCTAAAGACCATAGCCATAGTGAGGTTTACCTGAACAGCACACACTAGCTGGCCTCCACACAATTCATTCATGTTGTCCCAACACAAATTGATTACATTAACTTAACAAATTGAAGTAGATTGAATATAAAACCATTAAGTTGTCCCCCAAAAAAATCTCAAGAATTCAGTTCATTCAGCATATTTCAAATAACTACTTTGAAAAAAAAATCAGGATTTGAGTGCAAATGTTACAGGACTTTGAGGTTTGACAATATTATACGTACAATTCTTTCCTCAAGAAATTGGGCTGGGAATATCATAATTCTGATGACTTTAAATAAAAATACCCGACAGCCTGCATTAGATGAACAACACATAGATATATACATTAGATGTCGCCTACGCTGTTGTTGTCTATTGGAAGGAATGCGTCAATAGAGCCGCCATTTTAGTACAGGGTGCGCTTCTTTGAAATGAATGTGGGACCAAGCTGCAGTGGAGGACTGTGGCCATCCAGAGCCAGAGATATACACATATATCTATGATCAGGAGTTTTCCCGAAGGTCAGTATGCAATTTTTAAATTACGAAAATTATAATTTTACATCACTTTTCTACATTGATGGATCAGTGATCCCACAGGAATTCCTGACAAAAAGCTTGTGTTTGTGTGTATGAAAATGTACTATCCACCCTCCCTGTTAAAAGTGATCTAATCCGTGTCCTGAAACACATCTCCTCTCCCGCTTTCACTTCTCACACTGACGGAGGGAGCGATTTGTTTGTTAATGAATCCCTGTTATGAACGACTCATTCACTAACAGACAATAATTCAAGTTTCAGCCACCGCGGCATCTCATTGTCATATTTCTTTTGCATTGTTTGCTGATTTTATTCAACAAAACTAGCATAAGCCGAGTGTTTAGTGTGAGTTGCTGCTGCTTTGCCTTATGGTGAATGCAGTAAGTGACTGTATTATAATCAATAATGTTACCTGTTTAGCACAAAAGTTCATAACATACAAAAACGTAAAAAACTAAACCTTACCTATGAAACGTTCTGCCTTTGAGCTTAGTTTTCTTTGTTTGCTCGTTACTACACCCATAGACAGCGCTAAAGTCCAGCATCTTCATGTAGTAACAGTCTTGAATAGTGCGGTTAAATGACGTTTGTCCTGGGAGCCCTGTACAAATGTGGCGGCGCTATTGACGCATGCTCAGGGTCCCTATGCAATAGTGTATATATCTATGTGAACAACAAACAAGACATTTCTTGACTTCCAGTTCTTTGCTGTTGGCTTGGTATGTCATGAACTTATGCACAGAAGACAAAATGAACCAAAAATCTGTCTCTATTCTGCCAAATCAAAAAATAGTTATATTTTCTCCTGAGATCAGGCTTGTATTTACACTATTTAATATGCCAATGAGCATTTTTATATAAGAAATGCAATAATTATTATTTATATAAGAGCTAAGCCTGCACAATATGTTTTAGCATCGATACCGTAATGTGATTATTTGCAATAGTCACATTGTTATATATACGCGATGTATAATGTTGAGTCTAGATTTTAATTTAGCATTTTGCAACTGTGTGTGGGTTTTTAAAGCAATGAGGTCTAAGAAATTTTACAATTTGTAAATTTCACACATTAAAAGAGATTAATTTTATTGAATCGTTTATAAAACAAAGACTATGCGCATTTGAATGTTCAATTAATGTATTCCTTAATACAGTTTAGAAAACAATAAAAGGCTGTTAATTTAAGTTGTACTTTTTCTTTATTGACTTTACATATGCTTGTAGATTGTTTATTGCACTAATATACAGAATCATCCCAATCAATATATAAATTTAAAATTCTTTCTAAATGGTTATTCAACTCGTTTGTTGAAATTGTATTCATATCGCAATATATATTGTAATGTTAGATTTTTTTCAATATCGTGCAGCTCTAATGAGAGCATACTTAAAGCTCTAAAGTGAGTGACAAATTTGGCATTTGTTGTGGCATTTAATATAAAACTAAAATGAAGTGAAATCTTTTTTTAATCTTATTTAAGACGGTTCACCTAAAAATGAACATTTCCTCAATATTTCTTTCGTCTGTTGAACACAAAAGAAGATATTTTGAAGAAAGCTGAAAACCTGTAACCATTGACTTCTATAGAAGAATAAAACAAAACAAAAGTCAAAGATTACAGATTTTTGGGTGAACTATCCCTTTAACAGTAATCATGCTAATTTCATACCTTTGAACAGACAAATACAACTCAAAACAGGTGTGATTTAATGTTAATTAACATTATAAACTCGATACTTAATAATAACTTTAAGACCACTATTTAATTCAAACATCTTTGATATTTGATGTGATGTATATCGATGCTCACTTATTTGCTATAGAGTGAACATACTTGCTCCCTAGGCATTGTCACTTAAAAGAGATAAAATTAAAATTCTGTCATCATGCTTTACTTGTATCAAACCTGTTTGACTTTATTTATTCTGTTGAACACAAAAGAAGATAATCTGAAGAATGCTGGAAACCTGAAACCATTGACTTCCATTTTTCCTACTATGGAAGTCAATGGTTACAGGTCAGCTTTCTTTCAACTATCTTGTTTAGTGTTTAACAGAATAAAATAAGTGGTTACAAACCTTTATGACTTTCTTTATTCTGTTAAACACTAAAGAGCATAGTTTGAAAAAAGCTGAAAACCTGTAACCATTGACTTCTATAGAAGAATAAAACAATATAAAAGTCAAAGATTACAGATTTTTGGGTGAACTATCCCTTTAACAGTAATCATGCTAATTTCATACCTTTGAACAGACAAATACAACTCAAAACAGGTGTGATTTAATGTTAATTAACATTATAAACTCGATACTTATAATAACTTCAGGACCACTTTTTAATTTAAACATCTTTGATATTACATGTGATGTCGATGCTCACTTATTTGCTATAGAGTGAACATACTTGCTCCCTAGGCATTAGAATGTCACTTAAAGAGATCAAATTAAAATTCATTCATTATGCTTTACTTGTTTCAAACCTGTTAGACTTTATTTATTCTGTTGAACACAAAAGAAGATAATCTGAAGAATGCTGGAAACCTGAAACTATTGACTTCCATTTTTCCTACTATGGAAGTCAATGGTTACAGGTCAGCTTTCTTTCAACTATCTTGTTTAGTGTTTAACAGAATAAAGTAAGTGGTTACAAACCTTTATGACTTTCTTTATTCTGTTAAACACTAAAGAAGATAGTTTCAAGTAAGTTGAAAACCTGTAACCATTGACTTCCATTTTTCCTACGAAGTCAATGGGTCAGCTTTTTTCAAACCATCTTTTTTAGTGTTTAACAGAATAAAGAAACGTAGAAAGGTCTGTAACCACCTGAAGGTAAGTAAAATGTCTTTTTTGGGGGTGAACTATCCCTTTAAGATGGTCGGAAACACTTCTGAGTCAACTTTAAAGTCAACTAATGGTCAAATGTATCGCAGCTTCAGATTCTTAAGAGGTAATCAAGACGACACATCAGCACATGTGATCCTAAAGCGGAGCATGGAGATCTGCAGAGCGAAAACTATAAACAGAAAAGACAAAACAAAAGCTTCTCACCTGTTCCTCACATCCCGAGGTCTGATGGGGTTCAGAACGCTATATGTGGACTTCATGGAATGGACAGATGTATTGTCGGACACCATGGTGTCCAACAGCCGGCTATCGCTCAGATTCCTGTGAAGCCTCTCCGACCGCCCTCTTCTCCCCACCACACCGTAATCCAAACAATCCCTGTCAATCCTATTAGTTGTTCTTAAAGACGCAGAGGCGGTGCTGTTCTCCAGAAGAGGATACGTGCCTGTGGGCTGCAGAGGAGACAGAACGATTCTGGATGGTTTCATGCGCTCTTTATTCGGATCACAAAGGTCATGAGGAGACACATCCGTCTCGGACAAGCTCCCGGTCCTAATCCTGAACGGTGGCATCTCCATGTGCTGGAGATCGAGAGGACGTCGAGATGCAAGGGTTTGACCGTTTGCTGAGGCAACATCTTTGAGAGAATCAGTAGAAGAACCCGTCTCTCCCGGATCCGTGAGACTCTCCTGGCTGTTCCTCAATCTCCTTCCCCTCACCTTTTCATCAAACGAGAGGTTTTTACCCCCCATTCCCAATCCCATGGGCTTCGGAAGAGAGGGAGGTCGAGGCTGATAGAGACTATGCTCATCCTGAAGTACTTTAGGACCATCGTATGGCTTCTTAATGTCTCTGAGCTCCTCATTGTGGCTCTTCTCTGTCCTCAGGTCTACACTCAGGACAGTGATGTCCGTTTTGGTGGCTGGTTCTCCTGACCTGAGATCTGTGGGGTTAAATGGGACAATGCTGTCTCCATGCTCACTCATCCTATTGGCGGGCTTGATTTTAGATGTAAACAAGCCCCATGGTACTCTGCTGATTACATCCTGTGGAGACAACGAGATTATTTTATGATCAGTCATTGAATTACTTTTTTTAATGATATTACATATAATTAATAAGCTAATTTAAAAATATTCTCAGGTTTTATTTATTTTATTTATGTATTGCCATGTCAGCTACTAAAGCTATTTTCATGGCATGAGCATTTCAGTAATTGAAAAACATCAACAGTTAAAAATAAATAATTGAATATACAGATTAAATAAGATTTTTCTCGTTAATACATGTTAAAAATTCTAATACTTTTTCTGGTGTCACTTTGTTCAAAATGTCCTTAAGAGAGTTCTCATCACAAAAAGTCTTTCTGAAGTCATTAAAAGCAGGGCAGTCCAGTAAAATGGGTTTTACGGTCCATGGGGTTTTACAGTGCAAACATTGGGTAGGCTCTTCATCTTTGAGTAAAAAGTTATGTGTTAATCCTGTATGTCCAATACGACATCTGGTAAAAATTACTTGATCAGCTCGTTTCTTAAAATGTTTTATACCTCTGTGTGTAATTTCAGGCTGGATTTCATGTAATTTATTGTTTTCCAGAGTATCCCACTCCTCTTGCCACTTGTTTAAAATGTAATTGTAAATAAAAGGTCTCATCTCTGACGGAGAAGTTTGACATTTGTTCACAGCTTGTTTTAGAGCGGCTTTAGCAGCTGCATCCGCTCGTTCATTCCCTGAAAGTTCAGCATGTCCTGGTATCCAGCAAAAAATGATATGGTAAAATTTGTTTTGTAGGTGGTGAACTTGAGTTAAATATTTTCAATCAAGGGATGATCACTCTTTTAAGATTCCATATGTTGAGGGCAAGATTTAGAGTCTGTAAAAATAATGGTTTTCTTTTTTTGTGTATTTTCGGCTAGAATAAAGCAGTTTTAATTAAAAGAAAAAAAAAGAAAAAAAAAAAGCATTTAAGGTCAAAATTATTAGCCCCTTTAAGCATTTTTTTATAGTCTACAGAACAAACCATTGTTATACATGAACTTGCCTAATTACCCTAACCTGCCTAGTTTACCCAATTAAGCCTTTAAATGCTTTATAGAAGTGTCTTGAAAACTAGTCAAATATTATTTACTGTCATCATGGCAAAGTTAAATAAATAAATTTTTAGAAATTAGTTATTAAAACTATTATGATTAGAAATGTGTTGAAAAAATCTTCTCTCTGTTAAACAGAAATTAGAGGGAAAAATAAATGGGGGCTAAAAATTCAGGGGTTTAATAATTCTGATTGCAACTGTGTGTGTGTGTGTGTGTGTGTGTGTGTGTGTGTGTGTGTGTGTGTGTGTGTGTGTGTGTGTGTGTGTGTGTGTGTGTATATACACACACACACACACACACACACACACACAGTTGAAGTCAGAATTATTTGCCCCCTTTTGACTTTTTTCTTCTTTTTGCAATATTTCCCAAATTATGTTTAAATTTGTGTTTTTTTTCTTCTGGAAAAAGTCTTATTTTCTTTACTTCGGCTAGAATAAAAACAGTTATTAATTTTTTACAAACCATTTTTGGGACAAAATTATTAGCCCTTTAAAAGCTAATTTTTTTTTTCGATAGTCTACAGAACAAACCATTGTTATACAATAACTTGCCTAATTACCCTAACCTGCAAAGTTCACCTAACTAACCTAGTTAAGCCTTTAAATGTCACTTTAAGCTGTATAGAAGTGTCTTGAAAAATATTAAGTAAAATATTAATTACTGTCATCATGGGAAAAATAAAATAAATCAGTTATTAGAAATTAGTTATTAAAACTATTATGCTTAGAAATGTGCTGAAAGAATCTCCCCTCCATTAAACAGAAATTGGGGAAAAAATAAACAGGGGCACTAATAATTCAGGGGGGCTGATAATTCTGACTTCAACTGTATATATATAAGCTATATATATATATATATATATAGCTTTAAAAACCTCTGGAATCCTGCATTGCAACATTCTAAGTAACATATTTTTCAATATTATTTAATGGAAAAGTATTATTAAAAAATTGAATGGTAATTGCCCAACAATAATGACTGAGGTAAACTTTATTTATATTTATATTATATTCAGTTTATATTCACAGATTCAGACTTTCTTCTTAATAATATAATTTCATAAAAGTATTCCTTGCCAATTCTAAATTTGAAATCATATCTGAAATCATATCAGCAGCCAGTGACTATCAAAGTCCAAAATGTTTCAGTCGAATTAACAGTGATAATGTTGTTTTGAAGTCATACTTGTTTGTGATTTCAGACCGAATATTCAAAGTAACGTAACGTTACCATGGTAAATAATATAACGTTAGTGAGCATGTCACTAGCTGTCACTGGGCGAATGTGCAAATATAAAGATAGCTTTACCTCAATACAAGACCGTTTATCTCAATCAAACATACTGTATTTATAACGCATTATAAACAATTAGATTATTATATGGTAATCGACGAATTAAACAACATTACCATGAAAACAAGCAAACCGTTATTATTATCATTAGTAAAATATAATGGCGTTTCCTCCGAGCGAATGTTTGGTATTAGATGTTAACTAACACTTAACCAAATATAATTAAAAGCCATGTATAGTGATAAATAAATTGTTTACAGTTGACTGAAATCTCTGTCTCTCACAGCGATGATATATTCACTGATGTCAGGCGTTTGCTGGCTACACTTCAAACCTAGCATTTTCCTTTTTGTAAAATATAATCCATAAAATTGAACTAAAAGCTATATTACGATACATTGGTGTGAATAACTAAATGACGCATATTTAAGCTGAAATTGATGTTTGTTACCTCCAGTTCGCAGATGAAGAAAACTTACTTGACTTCCTTAGCAACGCCAGACAGGCAAACAACAACTCCTCAAGAAGAGGCGCCGACAGTCCGCGCTGGTGTTTTAGTTATCAGCGCCATCTTGCGTTTCCTATTGCATACATTTTAAACGGTTACTTGACCAAGGTATCCGCACACCCAGCACTATGAGAAATGCATTCGCTGGCCACTTTATTAGGTACACCTGTCCAACTGCTCCTTAACGCAATTTTCCAATCAGCCAATCGCAACTCAATGCATTTAGGCATGTAGACATGGTTAAGACGATCTGCTGCTGTTCAAAACGAGCATCAGAATGGGGAAGAAAGGTGATATAAGTGACTTTGAATGTGGCATGTTTGTTGGTGCCAGACAGGCTGGTCTAAGTATTTCAGAAACAGCTATTCTACTGGAATTTTCACGCACAACCAACTCTAGGGTTTACAGAGAATGGTCCGAAAAAGAGAAAATATCCAGTGAGCGGCAGTTCTGTGGGTGCAAATTTCTTGTTGATGCCAGAGGTCAGAGGAGAATGGCACGACTGGTTTGAGCTACAGGGGAGTTGCTAGACATAAAGCTCTACTGGGGCACAGCACCCCAATGTCACACAACTGGAGCGATGCTAAGATAATTTAAGAAATCTTTTGCATGAATATTAATTTCATAAGAATGAAAGTCCATAGACAATTCAATAGAGTGCAAAAAAAATCTGTTGTGTGTTGTAGACCTGATTCAAGGCTAACAATTAGGTTTATTAAGTCTAACCTTCCTGACTTCATCCCTCCTTTCAACTTCATACAAAAAAAAAAAAAAATTCAAAATTCTGCGCACATGCTCAGTTTGCGTCTTTGTTTTATGATTACCACTCTTAATTAATACACTTGCATATAAAGTAAACCGTATCTCAAGGCATTTACTGGGGCACTGGCAATTTTTACTGGGGCACGTGCCCCAGTAAATGGGCTCTAGCGTCGCCCCTGGCTGATAGAATGTCAAAAGTAACTCAAATAACCACTCATTACAACCGAGGCAGAAGAGCATCTCTAAATGCACAACACATTGAACTTTGAGGCGGATGTGCTACAGCAGCAGAAGACCACACCGGGTGCCACTGCTGTCGGCTAAGAACAGGAAACTGAGGCTACAATTCACACAGGCTCACCAAAACTGGACAATAGAAGATTGGGAGAACATTGTCTGGTCTGACGAGTCTCGATTTCTGCTGCGACATTCGAATGGTAGGGTCAGAATTTGGCATCAACAACATAATAAATATATATAATACACAAACAAACTTTTTTATGAATGTGATTAATTACAATAAATTTTTGGCCAGCACGAAAAATATATATATATATTACAATATATATATATATTACAATTATTTACTGTATTATTTACTATATATATATATATATATATATATATATATATATATATATATTGCTTACTTGGAGCAATCACTAAATCCGCCCAAGCTCTCCACCGTTACGGTAGATGGCGCTGTAAGGTTGTAAAGACTAAAAACAGGTCAGTCTCCCTCATGTTGCCAAGTACTCTCCATGAACGTAATTAAATATAATTCCCAAACTGCTCAAAACTATTATCGACATGTACATGATTTAATGTACCAATTGAACTCTATTTATAAGTCATTTTTAGATTTACCAAGGACAAATGTTGCATTTAGCTTTATAATTTGCTGCGTAAAGGGAGGATTTTAGAGTACAAATCTGGCACTCCCGCAAAACCACATGGAAGGGAGAATGTGTGGGTCCATTTGACTGATATTAGTGAATGAATCGCAAATGTAAGGTCTTTAAATTGGACTTAAGACAATACCGATTACTCTTTTTATATAAGTTGTTTTTGACGTGTCTCTGTTATTTGTAATACTAAGGTCCATTCGACATGTGTCTGATGAAAGTCTCTTCGAAACTGTGTAACACACCGGTGTCTTCAACTTTAACCTTCATGATTCATAATGAGTAACACGATAGTGAAAAGCAAAGCCTGGGCTTTTGTGACACAAGTTTTTAATCTGCCTATGGCTCTTCTTCGGCGGATGATAACAAACCTGCTTAATCGAGTGATGATGATGAGCTCGCTCCCGCCACCCAAGATGGACAGTCAAGTTGATTGTAAGAAAAGGAAAATGGTAAGTCTTTTGTCATTATAACATCGTTATGACCAACTATTTTACCCAATTATTCTTAAAATTAGAGTTAAAGTTACTTGTGGTTGTTTTTGTAATACTTAATGTAGTAATGTAGTGTCTTTTTTAATTATTTAAACGTATTCATTAGTAGTTAAAGTAGTATTAGTCGTGAAAGTAGTTTTTCAATTCATAGTTTTTTTTCCATGGCAATTATAAGTCTCAAAATAAAGTCATTTAAGAGGACAAAAAGCCAGAACCCTTATAAAAATTATAGTAATTATAATGTTTTTGAGCTAAACTTTAGTAAAGTACTCAAGTTATTGTGGAAATACAAAAAATTTACAAAATAGCTTTTGAACAACTGTAACTACTACTGTATTTATTGATCATTAGTACTACAGTATGTTGTAGCGTTCATTAACGAAGTGTTGTAAATACAATAATGTATACAATAAATTTTACTATATTACATTTTACTATAGTACGTTCACAAATCCTATGGTATTTACTATAAATGAATATAGTGTAGTATGTTTTCATGTGGGAAATCCGGTTAAAAAGTCATAGTTGCAATTTGCAAAATATAAACTCTGAATTGAGAGAAAAATGTATCTATAACCTTTAATTAAATCATTAATTGTAGCATAAAAAGTCAAAATCGTGGGTTTAGAATTGAACTCTAAATCGAGAGAAAAACCTATCTTTAACCTTTAATTTTTTTAATAATAATTTTTAGAGGGATTTCACCTTCAATTTGGATAGGATAGTGGAGATTACAGACAGGAAAGTATTGGGAGCAGAGAGAGGGGAAGGGTTGGCAAAGGACCTCGAGCCAGCAATCGAACTTAGGTCGCCATGAGCACCATGTCGCTATATGTCGGTGCACTTAACCACTTGGCTATATTGGTGCCGACTATAACCTTTAACCAAATCATGAATTGCAAAAAAAGTCAAAATTGCTCAAAACTATTATCACATGTACATAATATAATGTACCAGTGGAACATTTATTATAAGTCGTTTTGAGGTTTACCAAAGATTTCAGGAAAAAAAAAAAACAGTTATGTGAGATAAATGCCTCTAAATCACAATCACAATCCCATAAACTCATAATTGCCAAATATAAACTCATAATTCAGATTTTTTAGAGTCTGAAATCTGAAAAAAGGCAGAATTGTATGATATAAAGTGGTTATTATATTAAGAAGTAATTGTTTGGGAGATAAAACAGAATCACCAAAATTAGTTTTCATGTTATACTGCGGTTTGGAAACGTCAAGGTTCTGAGACCATCAAAATTTTTTGCAATACCGTTCCAAGGGTATGTGTACGATTTTTTTTTTTTTTTAAGTTTTTTTTAGGACAACAGTATCTCCAGCAGAAAAGATGCCATCAATAATTAATTTAGCCTGACACGTTTACAGTTCCAAAATATTTAAAATGTTTCTCAAGTAAAATATATTATGTTCAAAAGGGAAAAAAGTTTTTGTTTTTTACCTAGACATTTAATATATATATATATATATATATATATATATATATATATATATATATATATATATATATATATATATATATATATATATATTATAGTATTACTCACAATACTTGTGATACCCGTGAAACCGTGATATTTTTATCCAAGGTTATCAAACCGTCAGAATCTCATACCGACCCATGCCTAGATGATACTGCAAATTCCTTTCTTCTTATTAATATTATTTTTATTATTTTAACATTACAATTTACATTGTAATTTGTGTAACGTTTAAGTGACTAGATGACTTCACCATTATGACTAATTAAAAAATAAATCAACTACTACAATAAAAGATACAATAATGTCAGTTTAACAAGATAAAAATGCTAGGCTGATGATGTTTTTAGATTTTTTTTTTAAGTGTAGTTGAAACAGGACTTGTATAATCTTCTGACTGAATCCCATTGTTTGTGTTTCAGGTTGTTGGCCTGGGAAACCCTGGCATGACTGGCTCTCGACACAGTGTTGGTATGGCTGTTCTCACAACGTTAGCTGAACGCTTGGGTGCGCCAGATGGCTGGAGATCTGACCGAAAAGTGTCAGGAGAGGTCGTTGTAACACAACTGCAGGACGTTCAGCTGGTTCTTCTTCGACCCAAATTACTGATGAACGTCAATGGCGTGAGTGTGGCAAAAGCAGGTGAGATATTATTAATGCATTATCACATGACTCTCTGTAATACTTGATTCTGATTGGTCAATCGTGATATTCCAAGGTATGTTATCAACAGATTACAAATGGTAAATACCAGAATCATCTTGAATGTTAGTGAATATAATAATATGCGTAATTTTTTAACCCCTCTGTCCTTGAATGTCTGCTGTAACTGAATAATGCTCGATACGCCTTCGAAAGGGTGACCAAAAAGTGGTAAGGTACAGTTCGCTTTTTGGTAACCATTGACAGTGGAAACGGCCATAAAAGCATACCAGACCGAACTGTACTGTATACTACTCAGTGTAAACGGGCCATTATTTATCAGGGGTCGTCAACTATTGATGGGACTCAAACCAGCGACCTTCTTGCTGAGAGGCAACAGTGCTAACCACTGAGCCACCATGCCACCCACAATACTTATATCAAAAGTAAGGCCCCGTTTACACTAGTGCGTTTTAGTTTTAAAACGGCGTTTTAGAATGAAAACGATCCGCGTCCACACTCGCGTTTTACCCAGCGTTTCTGAACTGCTCTCCGTCCACACCAAAACGCTGAAAACGCACATCACGTGACCACACACACACACACTTTGGCCATCGCTGGAGGCTGGAGCCCATCTACCCAGATGAGAGCTCTGCTAGTCGGACTTCTCATCAAGCATCTCCCGCTGGATCTAATCTCACTATATTTGCTAAACGTGATATTTCATTCATGTTGTTGTCTTTATCTAACGACATATTCCCTGACTTTGGTCATTGGAATCTATTACTTGTTCTCAGGTAACGTGTTTTGGCTGAGCGCAAAGATAAGTTAATGATTAATGTAAGCACGTAGCCTACATTCTGTATATTGACTGATCGCTTGCCTTTATTTCCTATAATGTATAAACTTATTGTATGTTATACTTTTATAATGGCCATTATCGATTATTAAAACTGATATTCAGCAAAAGAGAGGCTGTGTTTCGTATTTTCACTGAAATTGAAAGGAGGCAGTTGTTATCGGCTCCGTTTTGTTATAAATATGCACACAGTGAAGATGACGCTCATGCAGCATGACGCCTCAACATGTCTGCTGTCTGTTTAGTTGTTAATATTAAAATAAAAATAGGCAGTTCCTTATATCAAGTTTACATTTTATTGTTGAGAAAGTGAAACAACGTAGCCAAGGTGATGTGAATGAAGTTATAAAGTACACTGTTCCCTGTGAAGATTGACGCGTGTCCTCGGTATGTTTTCCATATCAAACTGAGAAGGGGGAGACTGCAGCCTTGATCAAACTTGCGAAGTCTGAACTTACACGGAGAAGATTCAGGACTGAACTGTGTGTTAGGCTACTTAATATTGAGGAAAAGCCCCAATCAGAGAGGCGAATGTCTGCAGCCCCGCCTCCGTTTTCAGATGTCTCCGTCTTTCCCCATCCACACTGAGACGGAGCAGCAGCGTTTAAGAATGAAAACGGCCCCTCCAGCGTTTTCGAAACGCTCCATTTTCGGCGCTCGAGAACTCCAGCGTAGTGTGGACGGATGGCGTAACCGTAGCAAAACTTATGCGTTTTCAAACTAAAACTGTAAAACTGTAAAACTGTAAAAAACAATCAGCTAGATAGATGCACATTATCGCTTTTACTTAACGAATTTAAGATTCAAAATCTGACATTTTGATGATTTTACCCTCTCCTCTCATATCCAGTTGATTCTTCTGTTGTTGTTATTTTAAAAGCCAGCAGATATTTAATTCAGCCCGAACATATTCTCTTGATTCACGATGAGCTTGACAAACCGCTTGGGAAGTTTGGCATCAAACATGGTGGAAGTGCAAGGTGAATCCAAACATTAGTTTACATTTCTTTTTTAACGTGTTATTTTAACGTAGCTACTTAACCCAGCCATGTTTCTCATCCTCTCAGGGGTCACAATGGTGTTAGGTCATGCGTGGACTGCCTACAGACTGATGTAAGTTAAATATTTAATCATATATTTTATATAATGTATCATCTGTTGTCATTAGCTGTATGTATGGAAAGAAAATAAGATTTAAAATTTGTTCCAAATTTCATATGAAATTATAGTAATTTAGAGATTTTTTTTAAATTTATCACAATAACAAATGTTTTTAGTCATTGTGATTAAAACAATAAAATGTTTGTATTATGTTGTCTAAAAATATACATATAAATTTTATGTATGCATTTATGCGTTAAATTTTAAGAATGAAGTCAAGTAAATAAATTTCTTATTGAGTAACTGAGATGATTTTAATGATGTAATTAGAAATGAATTTACATTTTTAAAGTAACTTACCCAACACTGAATACAACACACACTGATTGTGCCCACAGGTGATGCCGCGGTTGCGCATTGGCATTGGCCGACCGTCGGATAAAACGCCCATCGACCGCTATGTTTTGGGACGATTTTCAAAAGAGGAACAAAACGTTTTAGACTCCGTCATAAAGCAGAGTTTAGATGTGCTTCTGGATTATCTGACGGACTCGCGATCCCAGACTTCCCCAGCAGAGGGCAGGAGAGCAGCACAAAAGAAAAAAGCCAGGACACTTTCACCGCCTCAAAACAGCTCAGAAGAGCAAACGCAAAGCTGAGCTACTGACGCTGCACGTCGAGTGTTTGATGACTGAGTACTGGCATGTTTACAGTCAGGCAGAACAAAACCATTTCTGATAACTTTGTTAGGATCCACTGCACTTGCCGTATTGTAATGTTCAAGCGATAGTTCATCCAAAAATGAACCATTTATTTGTTTCAAACCTTCACGAGTTTCTTTGAACACAAAAGGAGATACTTTGAAGAAAGTTGGAACTTCCATAGTTAAAGGTATTGTTCTCTAAATAATGAACATACTGTCATTATTTACACTCTATTCACTTGTTCCAAACCTTCACAAGTGTCTTCTGTTGCACACAAAAGGAGATACTGTGAAGAAAGTTGGAACTTCCGTAGTTAAAGGGATAGTTCACCCAAATATGAACATTCTGTCATTATTTACTCCCCATTCACTTGTTCCAAACCTTCATGAGTTATTTCTGTTGAACACAAAAGGAGATATTTTGAAGAAAGGTGGAACATCCAGAGTTAAAGGTATTGTTCTCTAAATAATGAACATACTGTCATTATTTACACTCTATTCACTTGTTCCAAACCTTCACAAGTGTCTTCTGTTGCACACAAAAGGAGATACTGTGAAGAAAGTTGGAACTTCCGTAGTTAAAGGGATAGTTCACCCAAATATGAACATTCTGTCATTATTTACTCCCCATTCACTTGTTCCAAACCTTCATGAGTTATTTCTGTTGAACACAAAAGGAGATATTTTGAAGAAAGGTGGAACATCCAGAGTTAAAGGGGTAGTTTAATCTAAAATGAATATTCTGTCACCATTTATTCTCCATTCACTTGTTTCAAACCTTCACGAGTTTCTTCTGTTGAACACAGTAGATGCTTCGAAGAAAGTTGGAACTTCCGTTGTTAAAGGGATCGTTCACCCAAAAATCATCATTCTGCAACCATTTACTATCCATTCACTTATTCCAAACCTTCATGAGTCTCTTCTGTTGAACACAAAAGGAGATATTTTGAAGAAAGTTGGAACTTCCGTAGCATTTGTTTTTCCTACTATGGAAGTCAGTGGTCACAGGTTTTCAGCTTTCTTTAAAATATCTTCTTTTGTGTACAACATTTTTAAAAAAATAAGTGAATGTTAGGTAAATAATGACAGACTTTTCATTGTAGACTGTTATTTAAATATAAGGTATAGTCAGTTGATTTTCTGTTGGGAGATTTTCAGATAAATAAAGTGTTGGCACAAATTGTGACGCAGCAGAGAACATTACCATATTTATATAAACGCATTTTCCCAAAAATAGTTTTGCTGGAGGTTTCTGAAAGTTTGTGAGCATGTTATAGACCAGGGGTGGGCAAACTCGGTCCTTGAGGGCCGGTGTCCTGCACAGTTAAGCTCCAACTCTAATCAAACACTAGTGTTGGAACAAAACTCTGCAGGGACACCGGCCCTCGAGAATCAAGTTTGCTCATCCCTGTTATAGACTGTATTAAAGTGTTTGATTTTAAAACAAATAAAGTATATTTCAAAAATGTTGATTTAATTAATAAGCAAATGGAAATGAAGAAAACTAAATGACACTATTTGTGTAATTAGACATGTATTAGACATTTTATATATTTTTTTTATTATATAAAATGGATAATATTTTATATTTTGATGAAACTACATTTGTTCAAATGCATACACTGAAAAAATATTTGTTTCCATACCATTTCCGTTTCCATACTTTGTGATTTATGGGTCTGTCTGCTCTTTCTACTTTTGACATTGCAGTTTAACTGTGGCTTTTTACATGTATTTTCAAACAATACAGTGTGTAAGAAATAATTACGTCTGTAAAGACACAGGAAAAAGTACTGGTGGTTTATTACCAGGTTTTTGTACCAAAAACACCAAACCATGCAGACAATACACTGTAAAAGATGCAGGGTTCCACACAATTCATTCATGTTGTCCCAACATCAAGTTAATTTAACAGTGGCTTGAACATAAACCAATTAAGTTGTCCCCAAAAAAATCTCAAGTATTGAGTTGTTTCAGCTCATTTTAAATAAATAGTTTAAGCAACTAGCATATCACTTAAAATGAGAAGAAAAATGAAGGTCCCATAATGCAATTCAAGAGCATAAAAGGCGGGAAAAGGGACCATGAATCGTAAAATACTGAAAACTTAATTTAAGGCTAGTTTCTGCAAAAACTTTGGATTTAAAACCTTAAAGCGCAACTGATCTCACTAAATACTTGTGTCATTTGGATAATATTATATTTTATACTACAAGGCTGAAGATTGTTTGATTTTGATTGGCTGATGAACATTCTAGCATGTGTAGTTATTTTCTGATAAGCGCACAGAATAGAGTACACTAAAAATGACATTGTTCATTTAAATGAGCTGAAACAACACAATTCCTGAGCATTTGGGGGACAACTTGATTTTTTAAGTCCAATCCACTTAAATTGGTCAAAACTAATAAGTTAACTTAATCTCTTCATGTTTTCCCTGCACAATTTGATTGTGTGGAACCCAGCATTTTTTTTACAGTCGGTTACACACAAATGATTTGTGTTGGAGCAACATGACATACGTTAACTGGTTAGTTTGAACAAATTTAAGTTGATAGAACATAAAACAATTAGCTTGTCCCCAAAATAACTCATTTTAAAGAAGTAGTTTGAACAAACAGCAAACATCATTGTTTTGAGTGTAGGTTTGTCTCTGAATTTCATGCAGGTTTTGGCTGCATTTACTGTTCGCTATAATCACGCAAAATGGTTTGAGTCGTTTATTATCATTTTACAGCCTGAAACAGACACAAAAAAAAATATATCAAATCAAGATGAAACAAAAATAGAGTGGGAATCACCAGAGTCCCCATGATACAATATTATCACAATACTTGCGTCACGATACAAATATTATTACATTTTAAATATTTTGCCATAGGCTCTGAATGAAATACACAAGAATCTCCCATAAAACAGGAGCAGTTTGAGGATGAAAACCTGACAAATGTGTTGAGATATAAAATCTGAATGGTGTTTTAAGGTGTGGTAACATATATAAACATAACAATTGACTCTGATCCGTTAAATTATTTTGTATTAGTTTGTTATAATACTGTTTAACATAGGAACAATTATCATTTACACACACAGCACATACAGCTAAAGTCAAAATGATTCACTCTCCGTTTTTGTTCCCAAATGATGTTTAACAGAGCAAGGAAATTTTCACACTATTTCCTTTAATATTTTTTCTTGTTTGTTTTATTTCGACTATAATAAAAGCAATTTTAAACTTTTTTAAACTCCATTTTAAGGTCAATATTATTGGCGCCATTACACAATATATATTTTTAATTGTCTACAGAACAAACCATCATTATACAATGATTTACCTAATTACACTAAATTGCCTAATTAACCTAGCTGAGTCCTTAAATGTCACTTTAAGCTGAATACTAGTAGCATCCTAAAAATAGTTAAATATTATTTACTGTCATCATGGAAAAGATCAAATAAATTAGTTGAGATGAGTTATTAAAACTAATCTGTTTAGAAATGTGTTGAAAAAAATATTCTCTCCGTTAAACCGAAATTGCAGGACAAAATATACAGGGGCGGGTAATAATTCTGACTTCCAACTGTATATATATAGAGAAAGGCGAATAATTGATGACAGGCCATTGAATTATTTTAATAATGCACAGCTGAGGTGGTGATGCTGAAACTCTAAATAATGTTTGATTATGTTCAAATACAATTATTCAACTTAGATCACCACAGCTAAAAAACATTGTTCAGATTTTGTACTTCTAAAAATCTGTCAGGATTTTGTCCTCGGACTGCTCTGTTGTGTACACTGCAAAAAATGCTGGGTTCTACACAAGTCCTTCATGTTGTCCCAATATGAAACGATTAAGTTAACCTAATAGTTTTGACAAATTTAAGTGGATTGAACATAAAACAATTGTACACCCCAATTGTGTTGATTCAGCTCAATTAAAGAAGATTTGTTTCAGCACATTTCTAGACATAACAGTTTTAATAACTCATTTCTAATCACTGATTAATTTTATCATTGCCACGATGACAGTAAAGAATATTTGACTACTAGATATTTTTCAAGACACATCTTTACAGCTTAAAGTGACATTTAAAGGCTTGACTAGGTTAATTAGGTTAACTAGGCAGGTTAGGGTAATTAGGCAAGTTATTGTATAAAGATGGTTTGTTCTGTAGACTATCGGAAAAATAAATAGCTTAAAGGGGCTAATAATTTTGTCCTTAAAATGGTGTTTAAAAAAATGTAAAACTGCTTTTATTCTAGCCAAAATAAAACAAACAAGACTTTCTCCAGAAGAAAAAATATTATCAGACATACTGTGAAAATTTCCTGAATCTGTTAAGCATCATTTGAGAATAAGTGATGATAACCCATTGAAATATTTGAATATAATAATGCACAAAGTGAGGTGTTGATGCTAAACAGCAGTGAAAATTATTTATTTTATTATATTCAAATAACAATTATTCAACTTATGACTACCACAGCTAAAATAATTGTCAGGATTTTGTCCTCAAACTGCTCTGGTGCGTGTACACTGTAATAAAATGCTGGGTTTTACACAATTCCTTCTTGTTGACCCAACACAAATCGAATAAGTTAACTTAATAGTTTTTACAAATTTAATTGGATTGAACATAAAACAATTAAGTTGTCCCCCTCCAAAAAAAACCTTAATAATTGTGTTTCAGCTCATTTTTAAAGAAGTTTGAACAAGTCATTTGTGTAAGACTTTCTTTCTTATCTCATTTCATCCAAAGCCTTTTTTTAAATTAGGTTTTCTTGTGGAAGGCTAACTCAAATTAGTCACCATGCTGACATATGATTATAATACACACTTTAGAATAAAGAGCTTATAGGGGCTAATAATTTTGTCCTTAAAATGGTGTTTAAAAAAAATAATAACTGCTTTTATTCTAGCCGAAATAAAACAAATAAGACTTTTTTTCCCCAAAAGAAAAATTATTATAAGACATACTGTGAAAATTTCCTTGCTCTGTTAAACATCATATGGAAAATAAAAATCAAAGGGGGGCTAATTTTGACTTCAACTGTATATTTCAGTGGATTGAACGTCAAACAATTAAGTTGTCCCCCTTCCCCCCTCCAAAAAAACACCTTAAGAATTGTCGTTTCAGCTTATTTTAAAGTAGTTTGAACAAGTAATTTTTTTGAGTGTAAGACTTTCTTTCTTATCTCATTTCATCCAAAGCCTTTTTAAATGAGGTTTTCTTGCTGAAGGCTGTAAGAATTACTCAAAAAGTCACTATAGTGACTTATATAGTGACTCATATATGATATGTGATTATATCCACACTTTAGAATGTTCATCAGCGAACCTGAATCCAGCGTTCATCAGCCTTATAGACTGAATAAAATTAATTGATTTTACTCAATTTTTTTTAAGGTAAATGATTGCAAACAATTAAAATGGGCTGAATTTAAACAAACACATTAAACTGAATGTTCAACTTCATTTGTTTGTTTAATTTCAGCCCAAATTAATTGTTTGCACTTACTTTTAAAATTTTAAGTAAATCCTGTTAATCATTTAGTCTTTAGTTAATTTTTTCAGTGTCTATAATAATAAGTTTTTCATTAGCACTACAACATAACAGAAGAGCTGAAAACTCGATATGGCAGATTGTACACATTCCAGCTGTACACTCACAAATACGCTGTTTCCCTGAGCAGTCCTTCACAATGGGTCATTGGCAGCGCCTTTGAATGGTCAGGACTGCGTGATCTGCTCTCAGCTCGCACAATGCAGCGGGTCAGAGGTCACTGGCACGGCTGGACACACAGCGCACACAAAAAGGGTAAATTTATTCAGGGTAATGTTCTGAGCGCCGCCGGGGGTCTTCCCTGTTTTACCAAAACATTTAAAGTAACACCATCTAACACACAACATTAAAATGATATCTCAATACGATCATTTACACAAAACAGAAAATTCGAGAGAATCAAACATGCTGAAGTGTTCGTTTAATTGATTTCTAATAATAGTTTGTGTTTTAGGTTTTCCTTTTTCATTTTAATTTAAGTGTTTTGTCATGTTTGCGGCACGGTGGCTTAGTGGTTAGCACTGTCGCCTCACAGCAAGAAGATCGCTGGTTCGAGACCCTGCAGGTGGCGTTTCTGTGTAGAGTTTGTACGTTCCTCCCGTGTTGGCGTGGTTCTTCTCCTGGCGGTTTCCCCCACAGTCCAAAGAGATGCGATACAGGTGAATTGGATGGAGTGTGTGAACGTAAGTGTGGGTGTTTCCCAGTACTTGGTTGCAGCTGGAAGGGCATCCACGTTTATGTCGATTTTTAAAACATTTTTATTCTTATAATTTATTTAATTCAAGCCCAAAAAGCTTGTAGTTTAATGGTTTTAGTCAAATATAATAATATTGACACCATTAAAAATAGTTTGAAAAGGCAGAACATAAGCATAAACTCTGCCTTTCAAAGTAAACTATTTTAAATATATTTAATATAAATTCTTGAAGTTTATCAGTTTTTTTTTTAAACCAACAAGTGATTAAACTTTAGCATATTTTGGTGTTTATCAATAATTTTTCTTTCACTCTTGCCAATATTTCTTTCGGTTTTGTTATAAAATGACTACTATTAAGGCCAAATATGCTGTGATTTTCCTTCAGCTTAGTTCCTTTATTCATCGGGGGTTGCACAGCGGAATGAACCACCAACTTGTCCAACATATGTTTTACACAGGGATTCCCTCCCTGCAGCAACCCAGTACTGGTAAACACCCATAGCCACACACATTCTCTAAAGGGCCAATTTAGCTATTCAATTCACCTAAACCGCATGTATTTTGCCTGTGAGGGAAAACTGGAGCACCCGGGGGAAACCCACGCCAACATGGGGAGAACATGCAAACTCCAAACAGAAATGCCATCTGGCCCAGCCGGGGCTCGAACCAGCGACATTCTTGCTATGAGGCGACAGTGCTACTGCTAATCACTGAGACTTCGTGTCGCGGCAATATGCTGTCATGACATTGTGAAATCAATAAATTGTATTTTTCCATAACAATGACAACAATGCAAATTTTACTGACCAAATTTGACACTAACCAAAAATAAACTTTGCGAAATCATTATGAAACACGACAACTTATTAATTAAATATTTATTTTATTTATTTTAATATTTTCACAAGAAAGCACTAGCCATCTCTGTTTTCTTCTACAAAATATCATGTTAAATTTAATGCATGTCTTTTTCTAAATATAAAAAATTATCACCATCAAAAAATACATTCAAGCTTCTTATTTTAAATACGCAAATACCGCAGTTTAAATATCAGCATTCAATAAGCATGTACACAGACATAGAGTGCTCAGCATATATAAGAGCACACCCCTCACAAATCGATCATTTAAATTCATATTTTAATAGGAAGCTATAGAATATTATATTTATGCATATACATTAGATTAGTCACTACTGAAGCCAAATCTGGAGCTCATAACAAAATACGGTCTAAAAACTACAGCCAAATTTACGTTACAGAAAAATATTAAATACAAATAAAAAAGAGGAAAAATCAAGAGAAGCAAAAACATGGATGAAATTAGTTGAAAATTTGGAAGTTGTAATTTATTTTTGCAATATTTGCTTGAATTTAATTGTATTATATTTTAACTTCTAAATATGTTTGGTGACTAAAATATTATTTTAATAAATATATGTTTAATAAATCTGTTTTTTTTAAATGCGCCAAAATATATTGCCTATATTCACTGAGAAATTGATGAAAATCTTCATTTTCAAAACGGGGTGTACTCAGTTATGCTGAGCACTGTACATGCTACAAAACTGCAGGTTAACTATGTTTAAACGTAACTTATATTTGATTGTAAGTTATAACTTAGCTTGATTATAATACAACAAAGTGCACCTTTTGTTATTTTATAATATTTATTGTAAAAAGCGCTATACAGATAAACTTGAACGTAATTGAATTATCAGAAAGCCCTGTATTATTCGCCTGTAAAAACACTTTGCTAATGAAGCGTTAATGAACGCTGGCTTTGTGGTAAAGTGCCAGGTAATCCTATACACGAGTGGCTTTTGAGAGCAGGCGAACGTCATCGAGGGCACATGCAGCGCGTAATGCCACTGTAGACACTGTCGGATTGTAATTGCGACGGGGGCCAAAAAAATGGAGTGTTGTTTCTTTAAGAGGCTGCTGGTCCCAACGCAGCTGCTGGTCAGTGCGCCGATTGAGACAGTGAAAACTCATCCCCTTTTCTCCACAATGGCCATTTATCACTCACTGTTGCGTTATTCAAATCTCGTACCAAGCGGCCACCGACGTTTATTCAGAAAGCTGCGCATGTTGTCACGAGAGCCCGCGTGTTTTCTGATGTGTGTGTGTGTGTGTGTGTGTTTTGCTCCTCTGGATGGAAGCGATAAAAGCCTATGTATAAATGAATGCCATCCTCACTTAACGCGCATTGTGAGGGTCACGAGCGCCGCGTCCTCGTGAACTTTTATTTCATTCTTGCGCATTGGAGAAGTTGAAGACTCGCTGCGACGCGGAGCCAAACCTCTGGAGGAATTTGACGCACATCAGGATGTTTTTTTTTGAGGGCTATTTGCTCGTTTTTGGTCTTCCATGCTGGATGAGAAACATCTCACAGGTGCAGAAATGGCGAATCGCCGCCTCGGTGGCTTCTGGAGAAACTGATCGGTGGTTTCTGAGGGCACATTTTCATTTCTGCGAAATGCAGGTGGACATTTATGCATTGTATGGGAACAAATTAAATGTTAAGATTTTACATTTCGATGCACGCGGTAAGACATTATTTATTTTGCTATTTTTAGCCTGTTATTATTTTAGTAATCGAAAAAATCTGCCTTAAAAATGTGCTTTTGTTTTTATTGTTGTTTTTTTATTTAGGGTAAAATAACACAATCCCTAATCAACATTACAGCAGAACGGTAATTATCTACTGATTGTCAATTTCGATCTATAAACTACCAACCATAGATAACGAAAAGTGAAGCTAAAAAACATTACGCGATTTTAGTACTGAGGAATTTTGGGATACATCCGATGCACCGAATTATGCAAAGAGAAAAACACAATGTGCTTCAAGGCCTTTTCTTCCACCGAAGAGCAGCAGAAACACACACGAGGACCTGAACGCATATAGATCCTATACTGTATATTATATTCACGCTGGTCTTTTTTTGTGGAAATTTGAGCTCAAGCAGTTGATTGTCCAAACGCAATTCTTGTGAAATGTCGAGCGATCAGTCGAGAATTGTGCCTGGACATCTGTTGCTGGAGGCTCCACGCGACTCATCATCATCATCTCTGCCTTTCATTTCTAGAGCACATTCTAAAATAGAATTCTGGAGACGTTCTATTCTATTCTAAATTAGAAATTTTGGAGAGCTTTAATGTTGGTGGTGTAAAATCCAACATCGAAGAAAACTGTTTAGTTCAATTTAATCGGTTTTTAATTCTAATTAATCTGTCGTGTTTTTGTGGTAATGTGTTGAATTATCAATAGAAATGAGCTTAGCTTGAACGTTGAGTTAATGACATGTATAATATGTATTCGTTTAGTATTATAATAATTGTATATTGTATTCGCTGGTTTGTTTTGATTGTTACATATACAAATCACAAATGTTAATTCATCACTAAATTATCAGATGTTTTTAAGTAAAAAAAATAATAAATCTTATTTACATATTTCACAGATTTTACTTCAATAAGTTTTTAATCGTTGTTTAGTTGGATAAGCAGAACGGAGCAAAATGTTTAACAAATGTTTTGAATCAAATGAATTGTGGACAAAAGTAACTATTAAACTAAGTTGAATAAAGATTTTATTTGTGATTGTATTGTTTCTGTTTGTTGAATAGAAGCTGACGGTATTTCAGGATTTTGTCATTTCTCCTCAGTGTATGGGTTGTCTGATACAGACTTTAGGATAACAAAGAAATGGCGTGTTAATCCAATAGGATTAAAGAAGATTAGTTTTACACACAGGTCAGATCTTTTGATCTTTTGAATTCAGCACGAGCAGAGCATTAAACGAATATATAATTGTCTTATTTGTGATAGACTTTATTATTTTTTTTTGTAGGCTACATTCGGAAAGATTGATCAGCTGTGCTGTAATACATGTTTACGGTAAATTAAATCGTTAAAACGCATAAACTGAAAAAAAACAATAATTTTCTCACTCATAGCAATTAAAAAACCCGAATTGTAAATATAGTTAGCCTATTTAATTAAAACAAGGCAAATACAGAAGATAAAATACAAGTTGTTAACATTGAAAGAATAGTTTCATTAGATTAAATACCGTTTTCATTCAGATAAAATAAAAAGGCGATTGAATATCATTGCAATAAATATACTATTTTTAAAATATTTTTTTAATGATTATAAGACACTTAAAAACGTGAAACTAACATTAAAAGTAAATCAAATATAATATATATTTTAATATGCTCAGAAATGCTGGCTTATTTTAACCCACATTTAACAAATCCAACTGCTGGGTTAATTTTTAAACATTAAATCTATGGCCTAACTGTAAACTATTAATTGAGCTGGTCGATATTTTACTCCTGCATTTTACAATTTCTTTGAAGCCCTAACTGTTTTGTTAATGCTCAATCTACATTCTTCTTATTACATATTACACTAAAAATATATTATTTTTCTGAATTTCTGTGATGTTTTAATCATATATATATATTATAATTCTTACATTAAGATACATTTACTTGAGAAGCAAAATGACAATAATATTTTAGATTTCTAGATTAAAAATCATTTGCCAGAGGGGCAATAAACAAGACAAGAATACAATGTGAGAATATATATATATATATATATATATATATATATATATATATATATATATATATATATATATATATATATATATATATATATATATATATTCCAGTGCATCCTGTTTATCATAGGCACCTACTTTTGAGGTTAATTTAGCATAATCTTTTCTTTACCCTCTCAAAATGTTTTATTTTAACCAAAATGTAAATGAAATAAGGACAAACTAAATAGTTGGGTTACACAAAATGTTTACCCAAATGTTGTCCATGCTTTAGCCAAATTGTGGCGGAAACAAGTATTGTTTGAGTATAAAGCACAGTACTAATAAACAGCCACTATTCTAGTAATCTTCTGTTAGTATGCAGTAGGTAATAAACTGTAATTTCATCTGAAACTCCACAGTTTCCCCTGTGATGAAAAGGTTCATGTCCCCACTTTCAAACATAGCTGCTGAGCTCATAATAAGACGATGTTTAGAGGAATGTATACCCTCATCATTCCTCACATGGACACAAACGTAGCCACATTATGCAGAGGGAAGACGTGATCGTGTCACCATCACAGTCTCAGCAAGGATTATCAATCACTTCAGGCTTGTAAAGTGGGGCAGATTTCACACAACCCCCCGCCCCCCCCCCCCCCCCCCCCTGCATCCTCCAAGGGTGTTCTTCACCAGCATTCCCTCCATACATCTCCAGCATTACTACTGTGTTGCTTTCCAGCCCTCTTCAGCATTCCCTTTCCAACATTTTCACTCCATCCCTTTCCGGAATTCTACCTGAGTCCTTCTCAAGCATTCCCACTTCTTGGACATCTCTTTTTAGTATTCCCTCTCAGTCCCTCTCCATCCTGGTTCAGCATTCCCTTGACCATTCCCCATCCATCCCCCTCAGTTTCTCTCCAGCATTCCCAATCTATTTCTTGCCGTCATTCCCTCTCCAGCATTCCCACTTCATTTGCATTGCCTTTCCAGTATTTTTACTCTGTCCTTTTTCAGTATTGCATCTTCGTCATTCTACATCATCCCGAATCCATCCTTTTCCAGCATTCCCACTGTCCATTTCCACTATTCCCACTTTCCCTCTCCTGCAATCCCTTTCTGTCCCTCTCCAGCATTCCCACTCTGTTCCTCTCCAGCATTCTCTCTCAATCCTTCTCTAGCATTGCCACTCTGTTCCTCTCCAGCATTCCTTTTCCATCCTTCTCCCGTATTCCCTTTCCGTTCCTCTCCAGCATTTCTTTTTCGTCCTTCTCCAGCATTCCCACTCTGTTCCTCTCCAGCATTCACTCTCTGTCCTTCTCTAGCACTCCCACTCTGTTCCTCTCAAGTATTCCCTCTCATTCCCTTTCCAACATTCCCAATCTGTTCCTCTCCTGCCTTTCCTCTTTTTCTCTCCACTCTGTTTCAGCAGTTACCCCTCTATTTTGAGCATTCACTATCCATCCCTCTCCAGTATTCCATGTACAGCATTCCCCCATTTTCGGCCAATCATTCACCTTCTATTCCATCCCTCTCTATTCTTCTCCAGAATTCCCACTCCATCCCTCTCCATCATTTGTCAACAATCCATCTTTATCCCTCTCCAGCCAATCTGTCCTTCTTCGTTCTGCTCCAGCATTCCTTCTCCAGTGTTCCCCATCCATCTATCTCTGTCCCTCTCCAAAATTCCCTCTCTGTCACTTTTTTACCCAGTCCTACATTTTCTCCCCGTCCTTCTCCATCCCTCTCCCGCATTCTCTTTTCTCCCTGCTCCAACATTTCTCATCTATCCCTCATTACCCATCTGTCCATTCCTGACCCTTTCCAGAATTCCCCATCCATCCTTCTCCAGCGTTTCCTCTCCGTCTTGCTCCAGCATTCCTCCTGCATCAAGCTCCAGAATTCCCTCTCCATCTTGTAACAGCATTCCCCATCCACCCTGCTCCAGCATTCAACATTCTTCCTTCATCCCCTCCTCTCGTTCCAGCACTCCCACTTCATCCCCTCCTTTTCAGCATTCCCTCTCAGTCCCTCTCCAGCATTCCCACTCTGTTCCTCTCCAGTATTCCCTCTCAGTTCTTCTCTAGCACTCCCACTCTGTTCCTCTCCAGTATTCCCTCTTAATGCCTCTCCAGCATTCCCAATCTTTTCCTCTCCAGCATTCCCTGTTTGTCTCACTCCACTCTGTTCCAACAGTACCCCCTATTTTGAGCATTCACTATCCATCCTTCTCCAGTATTCCCTCAACAGCATTCCTTTATTATCGCCCAATAATTCCCCTTCGATCCCTCTACAGCATTCCCCCATTATCGCCCAAGCATTCCACTTCCATCCCTCTCCAGCATTCCCTCTCGGTTCCACTTCAGAATTCCCATTCCATCCCTGTCCAGCACTCCCAGTCCATCCTGCTCCAGCATTCCCCATTCATCCCTCTCCAGCATTTGACAACAATCCATCTTCATCCCTCTCCAGCCCATCTCTGTCCCCCCGTTCTGCTCCAGCATTCTCTCTCCAGCATTCCCCTCTATCCCTCTTTCCCCCTTTTCCAGCATTCTCCATCAATTTTCTTCCAGCATTCCTCCTGCATCAAGCTCCAGAATTCCCTCTGCATCTTGTAATAGCATGCCACCCTGCTCCAGCATTTAACATTCTCCCTCCATCCCCTCCTCTCGTTCCAGCACTCCTCCTCCACCTCCTCCTCTCGTTCCAGCATTCCCCCTCCTCTCACCCCTTTGTTCACCTGTTGTCCTGGAGACTCAATTGCCACGGTTTGGGTGAGAACAGAGACGAAGAGAAACTGTCCGCAAAAGCTTGATATAATGCAAATATTGACTTTTTAAATAATCTTAAGGCATTCTTCCCAAATAATCGTTTAATTGCACAAAAATAGTGCATTAAAATTTTTCCTAATATTATGTTTGCATTAAAATAAATGACAACCTACAAAATTTCAACTAAAATTTTCTATTTTTTTTTTGTCTCTCTTGATTTTTCTTCTTTTTAAAATCTGTACTAGTTTTAGGACCATCATCGTAAGTTATTTTGTTAGATAAGCTCCAGATTTGGCTTCAGTACTGACTAATCAAATGTATATGCACACATATAATATTGTATAGCTTCCTATTAAAAATATGAATTTAAAAGAGATATTTGTGAGGGGTGTACTTATACAGTTGAAGTCAGAATTATTAACCCCCGTTTATATTTTTCCCCCAATTTCTGTTTAACAGAAGGAATTTTTTTTCCAACACATTTCTAAACATAATAATTTTAATAAGTCATTTCTAATAACTGATTTCTTTTATCTTTGTCATGATGACAGTATATAATATTTGACTAGATATTTTTCAAGACACTTCTATACAGCTTAAAGTAACATTTAAAGGCTTAACTATGTTAATTAGGTTAACTAGGCAGGTTAGGGTAATTAAGTTCTGTAGACTATCGAAAAAAAATTAAGCTTAAAGGGGCTAATAATTTTTTAATAACTGGTGT